GCCAACAACAGCCAAAGAGTTATTGAAAGTTACAAATTTATGCTTTTCTAAATACTTTACTTTTTCGTACTCTCAATCTATATTTAATAATAAATTTTGAAGATAGTAATATTTTCTCTCTGCGTTTTATCGGATTTGAGATGGATGCTTCTCTATTTACGGCCGCATCAAAACTATTTTATAATTTTGCTGTTTTTCGTAACATTATTTTTTATTTATTATTGTTTTTAAATATTTCTAATCTTAAATTCATAAAAATGTAATTTATAACATTGAAGTTTCCTTCTATTTTCATCTCTCAGAGAAATGCAGTTTTGAAACGATTGTGTGGTTGTAATTTTAACACTTATAAATTTGTATTTTAATTCCTTTTTTGTCTCGAAAATAATATCGGCAATGTTCACCATCTTCTTTAACATGGTATCCGTCTGCATTGCTAGGATCGCTTGCATCGACTCGCACATACGTCGCAGCTACGTATTTATAACGTGTGAAATGAACTGACAGCGTCCCCCGTAAAATATTGAAGGTGTCGAAGGAAGTCTAATAATTTCCCATCACTGATGACTTTTGTATACAGCAGCTGCATTATTTTTTTTCTCCTGATTTATTATCTCTCAACGAGTTCTTATTATCTTCAACGCTGCATAAAGATGCTCGGGTGATGAGTTCAGAATGATGTACTTGACTTTCAGTGCGAATTTCCAATTGAGACAATCGATTACATGGATGAATTTCATATTTTGGACGTGATCTTGGCTGATGCGAAACGCTGCTGTACCATGCCTAACCAAAGTTGCAGATAATTTAATAACACAAAGTAAATTGCTTCAGTAAATTAAGAAAGAAACAATCTTTAAAATCTACTGTTTTCTATATATACTATTACTGAGTATTGATTGACAATACAATGAATAAAAAGTATTTGAAGTATATATTCGTTATATTTAATAACTGTCGATTTACGCACAAAATTTTTATGTATTCTTGGAACACGGTTTTAAACCATGTTTGAAAGGTCTTACAAGGCCATACGATAAAAATAAGACTGGGTCATGTATAGATAATATTTAAGTTAAAATTGAATACCTTGATTATAAACCTTACAAATTAATAAGTTATACATACCATTACCACATTATTACTTAGTTTCACATACCATATAGAATATGTTTATGGAGTTAATAAATAAAGATTTATTAATTAAAATAAGTTGAACAGGGTAAGTAGTGTAGTAAATTACAATGAAATACAGATTCTTAATACTAGAAATAACTACAGAATTTATTTCAGAGGAAATTAGGAAATGCATTGATATATCTAAAACGAGTAATAGTATCAGATTTAAATGGGTCGAAGATTTTCACTTAGAAGAAATAGATGTCTACAACAGTAATAAATTCGTGTAATCATTAGTGAAATTTTTCTGCTTTAGACTGGTAAAGTTTAATTATTATATATATTTATATAGTTTATTAGTTTATTTATTTACAACTTATATGTTACATTTGGTTTTCATTTCTTATATTATAATTGTGTCTCGTGTCCAGTTTGTGTAATTGATAATGTATGTGTTTTGTGTGTGTGTGTGTGTTTTGTGTATGTGTACGTATGTAGGTGTGTCTGCAACTCTTGCGTTCTCGTCTTCTGCTTCTGTCTGTTCAGCTTTTCTTCCCATTTTTCTGTTGATTAATCTTCTCTTCCTCTCTCTCTCTCTCCGAGATCTACCTTTTCCGTTCTTGTTTTTCTCTTTCTTGCTTATTTTCTTTTCGACTTCTTCCTTTGTTACTTTCTTTTGCCTTTAATTTGCTTTTGCTCTCTTTCTTGCTAATCATTTCACCTGTCTTTCTCCTTATTAGGGCTTTGACACCTTTTTCTCATTTCCTATTGCGCCCTCTGCCTTTCCTTTCCTCAACCTCACTTATTTTCTTTAGTATCTTATAATTTGTCTTCTTGTTTTCCTTTTTCTTTCTCTTCTTCAAATCTTCTTCTTTTCCATTTTTGCTCCTGCATCCAATACCTGCTTCCTTTCGCTTGTGTAGTTGCTAGTACTTGTGTTATGTGTGTGTGTTTTGTGTGTATGTTTGCGTATGTAGATGTGTCTGCGAGTCTTGTGTCTCTGTGTTCTGTTTCCTTCTGTCCTTAGGGTTTTGAAATTTCGTCTTCTTGTTTTTCTTTTTCTTTCTCCTCTTCGTTTCTTCTTCTTTTCTATTTTAGCTCCCTCATCCACGCTATCTTTTCTTTGCTTCCTATTATTATTTTTTCCCATTCTTCCCCATCCTTTTTGCTTTTTTCACATTTTTCTACTATGGGCTTCCAATTTTCTTCCTCTTTCACATCTCATATTTTCTTCTTTTTCCCAATACCTGCTTCCTCTCGTTTCATTACCTAACCTAAACCTTTCCCTTATTTTTAGGTTTTTTATTCTTCCCTCTCCTTGAATTTCCTTTAATCTGTACTTTTTCATTTCTTCTTTCAGTTCTTTCTACTCGTTTATGTATCTTGACCTTTCTAGCTTTTCTTCGAATTCTTTATCTTCTTTTTTCTTTAGCTCTATTCTTATTTCTTCCCAAAACTCTTCTTTCATTTCGTCTCCTTCCTCCCTCTCTATATATTTTACTTTTTTCTAGCCTTCCTCTCTCTCCTCCTTACCCTTTTTATCTTTTTCATTTCTTTCCCTTTTCTTTAATTCTCTCCATGCTTTTTTTTTTTATTGAGTCATCTCTTTCTTCTCTTATTTTGTTTTCATACCTCATTGCTCTTTCTAATGCTGTTTCTTTCATTTCTTGTCTTCCTGTTTCCCATCGTATTAAGTAACTTGGCGTGTTTCTATCTAAACCCAATACCCACTTTATGTATTTTAGTTGTAATCTCTCTATTTCTTCATATCTCTTCCATCCCCAGATTTCTGCTCCATACATAATCACGCTTTTCGCCAGTGCGTTGAACAGGTTCATCCTTAGCTCCCAATTTTCTCTAAATAGTTTTTCTCCTAGCCCCCATAATCTTCCGAGTCCCATATTTATTTTCCCTTCTACCTTCTTTATCAGCTTTTTATTTTCGTTATTCCTGCTTATCACATATCCCAAGTAATTGTACTCTTTAACCATCTCTATCTCCTCACCTTCCCATTCGAATTCTTCTTCCTTTCCCCTTCCTCCTGCTCTCCTGCATTTCATCATCTTTGATTTTCCTACATTTAGCTCTAATCCCCTTTCTTCCAGGTACCTTTTTAATTTTTTCAGCATTGCTTTCATTCCACTTTCACCTTTTGCCATCATTACTATATCATCTGCATATCCTAATGTCCATATTTTCTTCCTTCCTATCACTACCCCTCCTTCTTGCACTTGTTTGATCTTGACTTCTAGGTCAGCGAAGGCAAGATTAAATAGCGTGGTGCTCAAAGGACACCCTTGCCTTACGTTTTTGTAAGTCTCGAACTCCCCAATTATTTATTCTCCAACTTTTACCTTACTTCCTGTTTTCTTATATATTTCTTCTATTCTTTTCCTAATTTTTCTATTTATCCCTTTCTCTTTCATTGTTTCCCATATTTTCTTCCTCTTTATCTTGTCAAAAGCGGTCTTCATGTCGGCAAAGAATACAAACAGTTTTCCTCCTTTTTCCCTTATTTCCTTCTCTATTATTGTTTTTAATACATATATTGCGTCCATTGTTCCTCTTTTCTTCCTGAATCCCATCTGCGTATCGCTTAGTGTTTCTTTAGCTTCTAGTTCTCTTTCCAGCTTTTTGATAAGATAGTACTAAGCGAAATAGCTATAGTGTTACAACAATTGAACAGTAAGCAATCTGTAGTTCTAACGTTTGAACAAGGGTTCTCGTTTCTAAATTCTAATGATATTTACTACGTTTGCTTTTCTGACACGTTTTGAATGAATTACTAACGAAACATACTTACAGTTCTCAATATTTTTTAATTATTACTTTCGGAAAGCTTGAACACTCGCTCGTAACTAATTAAAATAACCGAAAAAGTAGGTGTTAAGATTTATTTAATTTAAAAAAGGAGCTATTAAGTGAATTTATCTCAGCACTAAACTACAACGTTACAACGTGCTCTATAAAGTAATAAAAAGGCTGATTTGACGTTCATGTGCATTTATTATTCTGACACTATTTATCTCGGTTAATTAACTTATAACTTTCCTCGTGACATAAAATACCATGGATTATATATTAATTATTGACCGTGAGTCCGCTGGAGCGCTACCGCAGCCTTACGCCGAGGCGTCTTCTTTTGATTAAGGCTACACTTTCCGATGTGTCGGGCCCTCGAATTTTATGATTGATTTCGATAGCAAAAATCCTCAGGAACACGCAGGAGCAAGAATTAAAAAAATATATACTTTTTGAGATATTAGCAATTGTTTAAACAAAAAGTCGAAAAAAATTTTTTATTGTTTATTGTTGTAATTATTTCGAAATTTTAAGGCATTATAAGTATTTTCAAAAAAATCCGACTTCGATATCTTTATTAGTTTTTAAAATACAGCCGTTTAAAAATTTTGTATCATTTTTCTTTAATTGTTAATAACTTTTGATATAATTAATGTATCGTCATCAAAATTTGGGAAAAATCTCACTTTCATATGTACAATAATTGTACCAAATTAAAAAAAATCCGTAACCTAAGGGTTATAAGTCAATCGAAATAGCCAAGAATAACCCTTATATACAAAGTTGAATGAAAATAGATATGTAAAAAGTAATTATTATAAAGCAACAATTTTCAGTTGACAGCTTACAATTATTTTTGAGAAAAGATGCATAGCTATAATGTAGTTTAAGTCGATCGTACGAGTTTGGGACACAAACTTATCAAATACTCAACTTAAAAAAATTTTTTCGTAGATGAATATTTCGATTCAATAGTTTAATATTTATATAATTAAAACTAATTATCATATAACGGACTGTATACATGGCTTATAATTGCAAAGTCAGTTTAATTTTAATGAGTTTATTCGTTCAACAATTTAAAAATACATCAAGTACAACCGAATTATCGAAGAACATTAAAAGTGACATTTTCGTTGCATAGTGACTCGTCGCAACGATTAATGCCATTTAATTGGAATCCAACATACGTCAAACTCATTATCGTCCAGCTCTCATCGTTGATGTGTTTCGGAATACATCCTCTACCCAAAGAAACTTTGGCACTAGTAATATTAGCTGTAATAATAAAATTGAAACATACACCAATAAAAAATGACCGATTTCAATTTAGTTGCAAACCAAATGTACTCACTTATCGAATATGTTGTACATTGATATTTGATAAAATTTAGATCTAATTGATCTGCGGAATAAAATTTTTATATAAATTACGTGCAGAAATGTTACTATTAATTATCTTACTACAGCGGACATAATTATCACGACAGGACACGTTTTGTCAATGTCAGTGTAGTCGATATTCCTTTAATTCTTATACTGACTTATTTTTAGTTATATTTTAATATTCCTATAATCGTTTCTTTGGTTTCTGTAACTTAATTACTAGAAACAAAAAGTTTTGCTTGTCTTATTTGCATCATTTGCCATAGGTACAAGCTACCACTCACACCTCGCTAAGAAGATGAAGTTTATATGCGAGTAGCCTACGAGTGCTTCGAAATCTATTGACAAGAAAGGTACATAAAAAATAAATCACTGCGTAAAACCGAAATTGTTTTCAAATAACTTTTCTTTGCTGCGGGCAACTAGTGCAATTTCTATAAATAATTTCAATAAATTGTGATTTCTATTGTAACTCCAAAATTCATTTTTACATATAATAATTATGTTCCTAGGCCAGGAAAATATTGGTAAGTCCGTGGCAGGTGTTTGTCAAACGCGTACTATGGGCTTCTCTATTACACGGAAGTTGTGCGTATACTATTTTTTGTCCATCAAGGCCTAAATTAGTCGGTACCGATCGAGCCACGGCCGGGAAAATGCTACTTTCGGACCGCTGGACAAAACGGCTACGTATTAAGTGACTACTTGCTTAATAACTTAGTTAATAAAATTTGTTTACTGTACTGAAGAGTAATTTATGCTATACTGGTAGTATTAATGGATTTCTATGAGTAAATTTAATTATTATACATTTAATAACTGTTATAAACTTACTTAATCCGTCAGAGAAGGTAGAAAACAGAGGCGGAAATTTCTTATCTTTAGCTGGGTCTCTCAAGTTACATTTCGCGATAAATTTTTGCTGCGCAGGTTTTGCTATGCAGTCTTCATCGAATTCGGAAAAGCAATCGTAACATTCAAGGGTTGAGACTGAAAAGCAAACAAAATCATCAGACATTATCGTTGATTTCAGAAATATTTGTTATTTAATTGACTGGTTCGAGACAGAAAACAGAAAAATACAAATTCTTACACACTCATATCGTTGGCTTACCTTGATTTATTATAAACAGAATAACGACAGAGAAGAATATTGAATTCTGAGCAATCTTTTGTGAGTTGAACATCATACTTTTTCAATGAAATCCAGAATGGAGTGAAGCGATTAGTGTTCAGTTAGCTATATACCTCTATACTCCCCAACTTATCAGTTTATTGTGTAATTTATCGCGTGATATAAAGGTATGGTTGAAAATTATAGCGATGAAGTAAGCCCTCTTGAAGTGATTATTGATTAAGTCGATTAAAGTTTATGATTAGAGGGAATTTTGTAGTAAAAGGATGCCAAGCGTACCATTGCTGTATTCGTTTATCACGTAATCAGTTTGCTTGCGTTTCGACACTGATATATATATATGTATATAAGTGTATTACTGGGACTGGGGTTTTTTATGCCGGATAAGTACATATGTTAGCTTTCCTGATTAAAAAGTAAGATTTCACTTAATCTCTTAGTCAGAATTTTTACTTATATTACGCACACACCACTAACCCTAGTCTAATTTAAGTACAAAACATAAGCCTTCATCTCCAGGTGAAATTATTAATAAAATGTCTCCTTTTCTTACTATTACGTAGTAATTGAACACCATCTAAATAACAATTCTTAATGTACTCTAACTACTCTGTATTGTTAGCAAAGGCTTTCCATTGTAAATCCAAAAACAATAATATAAATCAAAGACAGGTTGAAAACTGCGTCCAGGCAAAGAGGTCACTGATCAATAAGTAGCGGATAAATAGAGGGCACCGTTCAGTATATGATGGATGAAAATATCGTATTCAGAAACGATGAAGGACAAGTGGATGCATGACGTATAGAGGATACTAAAAGAATTCAATGATGATATGTAATAATTAAATTTTTAATTATCGAATATGATTTTAGTTTTTAAATACAGTTAATTTTTGTTCTTAAAGATTAATTAAATTTGTTAATTCTAATATGTTACTTAAAATTGAGGGTTTAGGTAGGAAAACGAAAAAAAAATGTTAATTACTTTTATATTATGTACTCAATATCTTCGTGTATTAAATGATGCTTCTTCAAGATCCTTTTTTTATGCATTTATTAGAAGCGGCATAAAGATTTTCAGCTGAAATCTTTCACGTTATACATGCATACTTAATGCAATCCAATCGCTTGCACTTTTTCGGATGTTAATTAATTATATAATATTTTTTATTACGCACCTGATTAAGGCTAAACTTACACGCAATAAAATCTTTTTGTTAATTATTATTATTATTGTTATTTTACTCAAAACGCATCTCTATATCTTGTAAATAAAATAGCTCATAAATTTTGATTATATGGCTTTCAGATGTTATTTACCTATACATTAAAATCCACCTGTCGATTTGCAAAAGTGGGTTTCCAACAACAAGTTATTTCATTGATACTTATGGTAATAGTACTTATGATAGAAAAGAAATTTGATAACGGTTAACGGATATATGAGATCTCCTGACGTTGATTAAAGCGTTCTGTCGAAGCAGCATGGATAAATAATAGCACTTTTCGGAAAATCATTGAGATATAATAGCTGGCGTGCAAAAAAAATTACTTCCCATCCAACGTTTAGCCCTATCGCTAATATTTTCCTTTGTTAGAAGACTTGGCGATAGAAAAGATAGCTTTTTATATATGCAAATTGACTGGCGATTCTGCGATACCGTAATTTTTCTTCATTGGTTATGCTTGTAGGCCCGTTAATATTCTATAGTGAAAGGCTTGGCCAATGCTGGTCATAGTACAAAGAACTCTCATAGCGTGTAGAGATAGAGAAGCTATATTCAGAGATTATAATCTATTTTATTTTCCTTCGAAATATTACTAATCTCATATATAAACAATGGTTAAGGAAAATCCCTCATGTAATTAAAACAACACTCTTGAAAATTTCAACGTTTCGCCATAAATTCATCTTCAAATTTCAACGTTTCGCCATAAATTCATATCAGATTTTATATCTCTGACTTTTCGGTTTGTTTCTGATTAGTAAAAATATTTTATTAATTAACATTACTATGACTTAGGTTTTCTATAGTTGTGAGTACGAATGATTTTATTATTATTGTTAGATGTGTACTGTAGTGTTATGATCATGTCGATTTGTTTATAAAAAAGTTTTTAATTGTTCATAATTTTTTTTTTTAATAAAGTTTTCCTGAAGAGGCCATGAATTTATGGCGAAACGTTGAAATTTTCAAGAGTGTTGTTTTAATTACATGAGGGATTTTCCTTAACCATTGTTTATATATGAGATTAGTATATTCAGAGATATCCAATATGCCAGATACAGTATATTATAGTGGACTTTTTTTCATTGACATTATTGATATTTTTAGCTCTTTATTTTGTCTATCTTTGCACTAGATTATCATTCCTAAAATTCAACAAGTAAGTGATTTTTAGTTGAATTTGATAATATGCATTTGATCAAAACAAATTAAGTTTCTTCATCGAGACGATGTGAAGCTGCTGATCAAGGTATGAGAACTTAATTATATTCAATTTCGATAGACGTTAAGTCTTTCTTACTGTTCATCAAAGAAGAAAAGATGACTTTCATATAAATCTTTGTCATTTCACTTAAATTTCACGTAAAATGTTAGAAAATCAAATGGAAAATAATATGTTTGAGAAATTATTCAATGTTGAAAGGCTATAATCAATTACGAATAATATTGGTAAGTATGGTTCAACAATTAAAAATTTAGTATCTTATGCGTAGAATCACAGTTTACGTCATTTCACAAATGCCACTTTTAAAAATTTTGAAAGATTAACTTTTCATAAAGTAGGTGTTGTATTTTATTTATCAATAAAGAATTAATCAGTGATGTATTATTCTAGCCCTTGTTGATTTTTTTTTATTTACTCCAAGATTATTTACAATCTGTCTCTTACATTGGAACAATAAGCAAATATGATTACTATTATGATAAGTTAACATTCAGCATAGATATTCAGTAGAATACTCCAGTGGGTATTCTGTTTTTATTTTTAGCTTGTATGTATATGAGATGGATTTTAATATATTTATATCTTCATCGATTTGTGTTTCTCGAGTCTAGTGGAAGTGATCCTTGTCTTAAGAAGTTTGCCGATAAGTTTATTAAGATGGTTTTGCAATTTGGTATTGTATTTTTCGTAAAACATTTTGAGTTTTTCTTTTACTAATGATATTTGTAAATCGTTTCGGATGATGTAGTTTGGTATGAACCATGGAGTTCGCATGATGTTTCGTAGGATTTTTTATTGAAATCTTTCCAGAATTTCAATATTTGAGTTCAGAGCGGTCCTTCATAGATGAATGCCATACGGCCAGATTGGTTTAATTATTGCTGTCTTGAGCAGTATTTTGTTTTCATTTGTAAGCTCTGATTTTCCTTCAATGAGCTAGTAAATTTTCGATTTCAGTATTAGTTGCTTGCGTTTTCTAAATATGTACTTTTTCCATGTAAGCTTCTGATCTCGATGAATTTTTAAGTACTTGACATTACTACTTTGTGGTATATGTTTGTCATTAAGTTTAATAAGTTGACCAGTATCTCTTCTAAGTGTGAAAGGCGTATGTGTTGATTTGTTTTATTTACTTTAATTCTCCATGAGTTTAATCAATTATGTAGATAATTTTATATTACTTTCGTTACTATTATTGCCTTCGAATGCAATGTGAAAATGGTTGTGTCGTCTGCATAGGTTACTGTTGTGATATTTGGGAACCTTGACAAATCAGTGGTGAATAACAAATATAATTTTGACCCTAGCACGTTACCTTACGGTACTCCTGCTTTAAAATAGGAATAACAAATTCAAAAGAGTATTCGTAAAAAAATCAAATACCTTATAAATTATTTTTCTAGTCCCTGCGAGGGTACTATATTTATTTTAATCTTACACATTCAAATATCAAATTCTCGATTTGGAATAAAAAATAATTAGAATAATTCCAAAGTATAACCTCTTGCTTTTACAAAACGATTTACTCGCTGACAGTTTAATTAAATAAGTGTTAGAACAATATCAATGCAGCCTATTGTTCTTTACTTTCATTATCTTCAAAATGATCCGTATCGATTATAATGCATGGAATTTTTAGTATACCATGATATGTACGCTGATTTGCCACTACATAGCAGTATATCACGTGATTACATCTCAGCCAATCAGGTCACAAATAAAATGCTTCAACATGGTATCCATAACTTTTTTATAAGGGGAATTACCACTACATAGCAGTATATCACGTGATTACATCTCAGCCAATCAGGTCACAAATAAAATGCTTCAACATGGCATCTATAACTTTTTTATAAGGGAAATTACGAGTTGGTAACGTAAAAGAAAAATAAAGGTTTCACTGATTAGTCAAGTGAAAAATTGTCAAGAATCATTTTTAGAACAAATTATCTTCCAAAAATGTAATTTAATTAGTTTTTTACATTTTCGAAAAAATACGCTCTTCTATTTATCTCCCACCTTTTATTTTTAAGTTGATGACAACATGAAGATAAATAAATAAATAAAATATCATGGTAGCTTTAATAATAATTCAAAAAACTATTCCAGCTCATTCAAAAAGTAATTGGTTGTATTTTTTGTTTCATCCGATGAAATGGGAAAAACGTAACGCGAAAGCGCTCTCTTTTATGTGCTAGTATCTCACATCAATATGATGAAGTATAAAAAATCGGATAGATTGCTAGATATACCTGATCAAGAGGCGATAAGATTCTATAATAGTCGCTATTTTGTTATCAATAAAAATATGCTAAAATATATGGGACTATGGCCTTACCAAAACCAGGTACAAAAAGTTTTCATTCGAATTGTTCTTTCATGTGTGATCATCATTTCAACCGTACCACAAGTAAGTAAACTACATTTTACAACATGTATTATATTTATTAGACATCTACTAAGATATTTTAACTTAGGTTATCTGTGTTGTGACAATGAAAAAAAATATAGAGAGAATAATTGTTGCTATTGGAACAATAGTTTATATTTTTGGGATTGGTGCAAAATTTTTTGGAATGATTTTCACAGAATCCAAGGTAATTTAATTAAGTAAAGGTTCAATGGGGTTAATCTCAAGACCGTTATAATTATTTTTCGTTTTAGTTAAAGTTTCTATATAAAAATATAGTACAGAATTGGAATATGTTAGAAAATAAAAGTGAAAAACATATCCTTGAAAAATCTTCCGAGGTGGGAAGGTTATTAACACTAGCTTATGTTGGTTAGATCTTTCATTGAATAAATGTATTGTGCTTAATTTTGATATATTTCATAAAAACAATATTGAACTAATATCGTTCTAGGGTATATGGTGAACGCTGGAATAATTTTTGTAACTTTACCACTAACTCACCACATGTACGATATTATTTGGCCTTTAGCTAATGCATCTCGAGCGCCAGTATTTATACTTGATGGAGAGTATTTTGTAGATAAAAAGCAATATTATTATTATATCTATATATTTGAAGCTTGCACTGTGCTTACATCTATACCTTTGTTCAGTGCGGTCGATTCTACTTATGCTGTTTGTATTCAGCAGTGCGTTGGTTTATTAGATGTAGTTAAGTAAGTGATCTGAATCAGTACATATATTGCGTACGATAGAAGTAACAGTCTTGTCGCGAAAGACCTTTTTCAGACTGATATGGTACACAAACGTTTATCAAGGGCGCAAACTTTATAACTCGAGCCTTTTCAGCTTCCATTGCTGAACCGTGCTAATGAAATTTCTAAAATATCTGAATTGTTATTTGTAGGTTACGTTTGAAACTTGCAACAAAACAAAGTGAAAAATTTGATTCAACTATTTATCCTATCAAAGATGCCTCGTATCGAGCAATTAGCAAATCTGCAGAACTGCACGAAAACGTTTTAAAGTTAAGTCTATTTAATAACATCATCGTTAGCCTGTCTAATATAACTACTTACTGAAATATCAAATTCGCGCTTTAAATTGAAGAATAAGATGGTTTAACGAGTGATTGTGAATATTGATTATAGTTTTGGTCAGGTTTTGGAATCATCATATTCTTCAACATTTCTATTCGTCATAATTGGCAATGTATTAGTACTAGCAGCAGGAGCAGTAAATGTAAATGAACATGATAAAACTACTAAATATTTTGATAAACTTTCAAGTGAAATTACATATCTCTTTTTTTAGATTCTCTTCAATTTGAACAATCCAGTTTTATTGCTTAGATTTATTTTTCTTAACATTGGATTTACTATACACATGTTTTATCTGAGCTGGCCGGGTCAGAAGATGATTGACGGGAGCAATGATATTTTTTATGCAGCGTACGTATTAAATAATTCTAACACATGGAAGTAGTAAATAATAATTTACCAAGCAATCTACTTTTTAGTTACAATAATCAATGGTACGAATGCTCAGTCGCAAGCCAAAACCTTTTGAAGTTCATCATGCGTCGAACCTTAAAACCTTTTTATTTGACCGCCGGTGGATTTTATATTATGAATTTTGAGAATTTCATAGTGGTATATATTACATTTGTATTTTACTTTTATTTACTTTAATGATCGATATCATTTAATTCCTATAAATTTATCATTTGATGAAGCTTTTGAAATCATCGATGTCATATATTACAGTATTCGCATCGTTCAATAATTGATTCCTGGATTCGGTCTGTATCTACACTAATATTTGTATCACAATGCTCACTAATTTATCCTTGCAAAAAGTCAATTATTCAATGGGGTTGATAATAATTATTTATGTCAACTATTTATTATTGCAGTTAATCTATGGGGCTAAGTATAAGATCAGATTTATACTATACAGACAAACATATAAATCGTGTCTGCTATATGCAAATATGTGGGAATGTGTTCATGGAATTTTAACCATTAAGGAGCGTGACGTCACTATATGCCGAATTTTCTCAATAATTTACATGAAATTTTGCAAAAACATTAAATAAGTACTTTTATAATGAACGAAAACCCTCTTCTTATACTTATAAATGCGTAGAAATCGTATTTGTAAGTTTTAAGCAAATTCAATGGTTAAAAATTGGCAAAAATTCATTGAGAATGTTCAATGGTTAATAAAATTGTTAATATTATTTAATCAAGCGATTCAACTGTGCGTATTCGTAAAAGACAATTTAATCTTCCCAAAGCACGAATTTGTTCTATTGGTAGCCAACTACCAATAAAAGGTATAAATAAATGAATAATTAATAATTCTGTGTAACAAATTAAAATACCTTGCGAGATAAAAAGTTCGACCTGTACGTACAGGGAAAATTGTCAAATGTATAAAATACATTACACGATTTTATATTAACAATTAAAAGTCTTGCAAATGTTTTATTATTTATAATTCAAATTCTATTGTTTAAACTGAAAAACGAAAGCCAACAGTATGTTCTACAAGTTAAAAGCTATCTTTTGATATAAAGTAAACCTATAATTTTATTGAAAATTTTGCGATATTAACTAAACAAACTTTACTTCTAAATAATTATTATAGAGATTTTTTTCAGATTCTGTATGTATGTCATAATTATCGGCATTATTAATTTAGAGTTTTAAAAGTAAAATAAAATGTCTAGCATGGTTGGATTTTGCGTTAATAAATAAATAAATAAAGTTTGCGCCCAAAATGCGGACTCTTGCGCGTTCCAAGGCATGAGATCCATTTCTGCCTTTCCTTTTTTTTTGGCTAATCCTAAATGTATTCTTATATTTAGAGGAGTATATGCAATCTTTCCTTTACCACATCAAAGAGTCAGAATCTAACTCTTGGGAGTGATATCACCGGAGCTAATAGCGTCTTGGGACCATGTCCTTCACGAACCTCTCTCAGCTCTAGTGGTATTATGCTGGCTGATCCCAGCATAAGTACTAAAGGAAATTAGAATTTTGCGAGGTACATCAGGAGTTAGCGTTGAGACCGCGAAGTTTTAGTGTAATTAATAACAAAAGTGGATGGAAGTATCAGGACGGTGTGCGAGTCGCTATGGCCTGTGAGCTATATGAACTGTGGGCTAAGCTAAGAAAAAGTGCCCAGCGATGCATTTAGTTGAGACATTCGTACACTAGGCGTGGGTGAATTTGCAACCCGGAAAATTAAAAATTGAAAATAAGCTAGGTTGTTTGATTACCATTGTAACCGACCCATGTTAGATCACAGTTTTTATTTATTAAGATGTAAGGTTATGCTTTAAGCAGAAATGGCTACAGTAGCTAGAAATGGTTACAGTGGTGTTCAAACGACCTAGCTTATTTTCAATTTTCAATTTCCCGGGTCGCGAAGTAACCCACGTGTAGCTAGACAAAAGCGGCGAACAGTTGACTTCAGACTATACATACATTCGTGGCCGGTGAATAACTAGGTTTGTTCGTCGTCTCTCACATTGAGCTTTTCAATGCGTGTGTTCGAAATGGAGGGTTTGTTAAAATTTTAGCTATAATGTTGGCTATATTGGTCAACGTTGCTATGACAATAATGTACACATACATACAGTTGCCGGACATTGATTCTGTTTACATTTAAAAATTTCAAGTGTTAGTTGGCCGATCTGGATTTTAATGAATAAATGAATAATATAATAGTATAACTAGTTAAAAAGTAAATATATGTATTAATATGTGTTAGAGATGTTGAATATCAAAGGAAAACAATGTTTATTCAATTGAAAATCATCAACCTCACCACTAGACTGTTTTCAAATAAATAGTATTTATTTTATCCCATTTAATATTGTATAAAGAATATGATACTTTGGGGTTCTTATCAGAAATAAACTAAGGAGAGGAGATAAGAAGATTATTATTAGGACTTTCTCTTACAAATGATATTTGTAGGGATATACATGAATTTGCACTGGTTCTGTTTAAAAAGCTTGTCAAGCAAATTTGATAGCTGTAATTGGTGCTTGACCAAACTATTGTAAAACTAAGTGCTTGTAAAAATTGTTCAAGGGTCTTGTACTTGATCAAGGAATATTTAAAACCAAGTTATAAGAAGCACTTGTTTTTACAGATCTTGTTGTTTGAGCTTTAATTGATGGTAACTATCGAATTTGTATGGGAATGGCTACCAACTAAAAATCAGTTGAAGGATTACATCTATGCATTTCAAGTGATATGTACGTATTCAGTGACAGTGATTGGAATCTACAAGTATCTTGATATAGCTACAATGAAAGCTCGACCAAGTATATCAATAGTGCTTTCCAAGATTTGATTATGAGCATTTCTGGATATAAAGGTACTATTTTCTTGAGAAAATGTGTACTAGCACTTGGTTCCAGAGCATATTATGATGGAGAAAGTTTGAATAATCTTCTTTGTCTCCTCTCCTTAATTTATCCTGTGTAATATCCTTAAAAGAACCACAAAGTATCATATTTTTTATACAATATTAAATAGGATAAAATAAATACTACTTATCTGCAAAAATAGTTTAGTAGTGGGGTTGATGATTTTTAATTGAATCTTAATTTTTTCCTTCGATATTCAACATCTTTAATATACACATATATTTATTTTTAAACTAGTTATATTATTGTATTATTCATTTATTCATTAAAATCCAGACCTGCAAACTGACATTTTGAAATGGGTGAATCAATGTCCGGCGACTGTACATGGTTGTCATAGCAACGTTGATTAATGTAGCCAATTTTACGGCAAAAATTCTTAAGGGGCCCTTCATTCGGGACACACCCAGAGAAATGTGACGACGAATAGACCTTATTCACCGGCCACGAATGTATACATAGTCTGAAGTGAACTGCTTGCCACTTTTGTCTAGCTGTAGCTACGAATGTGTCCTGTGGCTTGTGATCTGATCTGTGATTATGAATAGAGTTTAAATAATATAACCTTAACTCTCTGATAGGCAGTTTTTACGTTAAATGTATGTTTTTGAAATTCTTCTTTTCATAAATGTTTGACATTTTATTTAAGTGAATAATATCACATTAAAAACCATGAAGAAACCAATTGAAGCAGTTATTGAAGATGTGATTATTCAACCAGATAAAATTCAACCTATCATAGGTATGTAGGTTCTTATTTAGATATATTGGTTTTAATTTTTGATTAAGTCTATTTTGATTGATGCAATAATGCTCCATGAAAGATATATAGAATTATATTATAAATTTTATAGTTAACTTTCAAAACGGATATCTGAAAGATGAGGAAACACAGAAAATGAAATCTGGATTATACAATGATGAAAAAAAGAAAAAAACCGTTTTAGCAATGTCAAATGGTCAAGTGGTTTATAAAGGATACAGACCTGACCTTAACAAAGAATTAACTTACACAATGTTAGCTGTCCATAATAAAAAAACTGGTAAAGTCAGATTAATACAAGCTGAACGATGGGATGTTGCTCCAGTACTTGATCAGCATGTTGAAGACAATAATGATGATAATGTTGATCAAATTGTTGCTCTAAATAAGCAATTTGGTTCTAAAAAAGCAAAACGCAGAACTGAACAATATGAAAAAATGAAAATCAATATAGATAGTGTTCTTAAAGAGCAGTTGGAAAAAACTGTATCAAGTGAGTTACATTTTCAGGTCTCAAATATTTTATTTAATTTACCACTTAACTAACAATTATTTATTTTTTTCTATAGATGTTGAAATAGAAAGACAAGATCTTGAACCTATTGCTAAAGATGACTTTATTAATGGTGTGCATTTACCTCCATGTAATAAAGATGCTCCTAATGAATCATTAATTTATAATATTGAAGATATTGTACCAAAGAATATTCTAGAAACCCTTTATGATAGAGCAACTGAATTATTAACCGAAGAAGTAAATGAGTAAGTTATTATTACCTTTTCATCTATATAAATCAACTATTTTGTATTTCAGAAATTACCTAAATTTTCATTCATTTGACTTATTTTAGTAAACCAGAATTTTTCTTGACAACTGTGCAAAAAGTTAAAAATGACCCAAAAGGTACTGAAAAACTTGCAATATTATTGTACATAGAAGCAGTATCATCTTGGCTCAATATTCCATTGAAAATGGCAAAAAAGAATGATATGAACTTATGCCCTTATTCTGACGATGTGCATAGATACGTTATTGAAACATATAGTCTAAATAGTGCTAATGGGAGGTAACTGATAATTTCTTTGACAAGATTGAAAATAAACTTTCATATAAATGTTGTTACCAACATTTTTTAATATTTCAGACAAAGACCGAACACTATAAGAGATAAGGGACTCATCCACTGTATAATATTGGGTCTTATAACGTGGAATTTCAAGTTAAATTTAGAGCTTTTCTCAACAATTTTCTCATTTCGTCTAAGTCTCAAAAAATTGTTTGAGTTGGCAAGATGGATTCATGCAGTACCTCTTAAAGATGACAAAAATACTGTAATTCTCAAAGTACCTCTACCAGCACCATTAACTAAACCTATGCATAGGAAGAAAATAAATCATTAATATTGGATTGTTTTATGTTTGAAAACGCTAGTGTAAGTTATGTACATTTGTAATAAATTTTTGAATAATATCTTTAAATAAGCAAATTGTTAGTTTATTCACACTTCCGAAAGAGGTAAAACGTACTTTTATTGGCTCTTTGAATTATCATCCTAAACAAGGAGTTGTTTGATTACTAAAGATTACAATTACTTTCAAAATCAAGGTTACACATTTTCTTCCATTAAATTTAAATAATCTTCATTTGGCATCATTTAGTTAATGAAAAAAAGCTTGATTTCAAAACCGGCAAAAAACGGCCAGTATTATAGGTTAGGATCATGACGGCCATATTTGAGCTGCTAAGGAGGGAAGGAGTTGGTCGATACTGCTCACAAGTGCTCCACACGGTCCAACGGCAGCAAACGACACTGGCCTCAAAGAAATCCAGAATGGTAAGATACTGATGTTGTTTGTTGATTGAATTATTAATAATAACGAAAATAGAAACTATAAATAACAGTAATTGTTTATGTATAATATTTAAATTTGATTCTTTAGTTTAAACCAAAATTTTCGTTGGATATTCCAACAAGTGGCTGCGCATGTTTTTACTTCATTCATAATCGATATCTCTTTCGCAAGAAGGCAAAAAGTGAAAGGCTTGCGGTGATAAAAGAATACATTCAAAATAGTTAGAAATCAATTTTTCAATAAATATTTGTATAATTATTGTATATTTATAAATGCAAGGTTCATTAATTAGCAAATTTCGTATTTGCTGTATTAAAATGGGTGTTGCCCGTGAGTTTGATTTTAACGGGATTTAGGATCCTAATGCCCTATCAACTATTGTGACCTTCAACAACCTTTATGTAATAATATATGTATTTAATGTAAAAGTGAAAATTAATGATATAATAACACTTTCGCAACAAGCGACTATAACTTTGCTACTTCATTTGATTTCGCGTGCATAATTATTTTTATATTATTATTTTTAAATATAACTACTTTTTCTTATTGAATTGAAAAATGGAAACAACTGAATTGAAAAATTATGTTTTCGATTGATTATAATCCAATTAATCTTGAATTATTAATATCAAACTAAACATGAAAGTTGACATGAAAAGAAAATTTAATAAAGGACCGATTCAAGTACATCGAGGCGAAATCTCATATATGCGATGGATTGTTAATTTTGTAATAAATTTCGCTTAACCGTTTTTAACATTTAGCTTTACCAATGGTAAGGAGTTTTTAAAAAGATTATATATATTGATCTATGGTAAATTAATTTAGTTATGGGTATAGCTAAGGCAATAGTATAACTATATTGAAATTGTTATTACATATGCAATCGTATTTAATCGAAATTCTTCCATGAATGATTTTATGTTTTAGCCTAAACTAACTTTAGAAGATAGAGAGAAGGACATCAAACCATTGGTGTCCAACGGCTGGGTCATTCAAGATAACAGAGATGCTCTGTACAAAGAGTTTGCTTTTAAGAATTTCAATCAGGTAATTTTTGTAAAAACATTTTCTTTTGTATGTATCTTATTAATTGTATTATATGATTTTCAGGCGTTTGGTTTTATGACGAGAATTGCTATGCAAGCTGAAAAAATGGATCATCATCCTGAATGGTACAATGTTTACAATAAAGTTAACATCACGCTGTCGTCTCACGACGTCAACGGTTTATCTCAGCGCGACGTGAAACTTGCAAACTTCATCGAGAAGGCTGCCAAATTTGTTAATGAATAAATTTTTGCATATATTTTTTTACTTTGTTGAACGTCAACAGAAAATGAAACCAATTTGATGTCTTTGCGACAATAAATAGATTTATCATGTGAGAATATGAAAGCAGCATAATTTAATCAGCATAAACTATAATGAATCTTTAGAAAGTACATTTCATTTTCTTGTATCCAATAAAGTCGGAGCCGTATAATTAAGTTCTTTATATGATTCTGATATTTCTATTTGAAATACATATGAATTGAAAATATTCTGTTATTTATTGGTGAAAATGTAGTTTTTCAAGCGTTTAATTTAAATAAGTAAAACAAAACTACAGAATTGTTGAAGGAGCGTGTAAATTCTCATTAAGTTTCTATTTTGGCTTGCTATGAACACAAGAATGAAAACTGTCTGCGTGAAGTGTCAGAAAAAGAAGGCACGGCGGAGAGGAAAACTGTCGCGAAGATGTAAGCAAAGTAATCAAGTCTAAAAAGAGGAGAGAAACAATAGAAAGAAAAATCGTTGAAAAAAAAGGAATGAAAATTAGGTCGGTGAAAAGAAAGGAGCCAAAAAATCAATGCCAGACTGCAGTACCAGTGCTCCATTACCCGTCGTACGTTATATACCACTACACCTATGCTCGTGATCTGCAAGCTCTCTTTCCCTCTCTCTTGCTGCAAGCGCAATTTCATCGCTTCTTTTCTAGTGCTTCTAAATAGTAGCCGATGCATTTGCGATTTTCTCCTGTAGATATCGAGAAACGAGGAAAATCATTTACCGGAAAGCTAATGCATTTTGCGTAGCCAAGTTGAGTTATTGCATTATTACGCGATATTTACTCGAAATATAGCATCGCTTCTAAGAATACGTGAGCACCGTTTAATTTGAGCATTTTTTTTTAATTCGCGTTTAATTAAATTTTTAATTATCGCGTCTCTGGAAAAAATATCCTATTTAAAAACTATGACCTATTTTCTGCAGAAATACCGCGGAAAATGTTCCACCGCTGGAAGTGATGGGAAACTTTGTGGCGAGAAATTGTATACTGTTCTTCACATTTCCCATTCTTTCGTAATTTTTTTTCACAGCACAATTAAGAAAAAGTAATCTCTACGAGCCTTGCAAAATCACACGTTAAGTTTTCTTTGACCCAAAAACTTCGCTGAAGTCGCGTCTATATCATTTTCTAGCGAGCGACCAATCGAAAAGCAATTCACCCCGCAAATTGTTAGCAAGTTTAGTCGCGGTTGGCGTCAGCGAACTTTTCGTTGCTGATTTTCGTGCGAAATAAAACTAAGCACGTACGCGCGTGCAGACAGCGTGGGAGGGCAGCGGAGCTTTTTCTTTCGGTACATCGTTTGCACAGTTGTTCGCAACGTACACACGTGTCTGCATATAAAGCTCTCATATAATCAGGGCAATTCTATATTGGTGTGCGGTCCGCCGAGGAGAGATGAGCAATAGAGCATATGTATCGATCAGCCCTGTGGCAGACAACTTCACCGCTGTAACTTTTCCTATTTCCCGCGGAATAAGCTTGGCATTTAATTATATTTGGTCTCGTCCGCGACGCCCTCGTATAACTTTGCGAATCGCCAATTGATTAGTAAAGTTCAGCATCCGTGCGCGCGCGTAGATACGCTCTCACGTGTAGTGCGAATCATATACGTGAGTGTTGATTAAACAGTCGCATACGTTTACGCAGTGTCGTTATTAGCATCGACGAATTTGTATAACAACAAAAAAAGTCGAGGCCTAGGAAATTAAAGACATTGACAGGCCCGTGACGAGATATATAACCAGTCTAAATCTGTCTTCGGTTGGCTAATTGCTCGACAATAAGTCTAAGACTTGGCGCGGACGTGCGCGTGTGCAATACCTCGACGTCCGTGTTAAACGGCGCGCAGTCGTGCCGATCGTTTTCCGATGTATTTTTCGAGGCACTTCCACGACTCACCGAAACTACGTTCTCGGGACACATCTCTAAACGCGCGAGCGCTAATAATGTGACGATGCTCTCGCTTGCGCATAGAGAAGACAATAGAGGCCGCACTAGATGGCTGTTCGCTATATATGTACTGTATCGCTGCGGAAGAGGGCATCAAGCTCGTCCAGGATCTAATAGCCAATCTGCACCTTTCTAGCGCGTTCTCTCTCCCATCGCCGATAGAAGAGAGAGAGGGAGAGAGAGAGAGAGAGAGAGAGCACTGTCCGCTCTCTTTGTATCGGGCTTCCTTCCTCTCTCTCTCTCTCTCTCTCTCTCATCATAGCTGTCTGCTCAGCCTCTCTCTAGCTTCGATATCGATGATACCGCTAGTTATTTGCCTCCTTATTTTCAATGCGAGGGCGACGATCGCGAACCTGCTCCGAACTGATTTCACCCGCGACTCTCGGCCTGACTCATCCAGGAAAAACCACCTGATTAACGATAATTGCCGCGTGCCTTTCGATTCCTGCGAACTTTCTCCAAATGTTGTTTCTCAATGTTGCACTGGAGCGGCGCGAGGATGCAAATTCAAATATTAATAAAGTCACTGAATTTGCGTGTCTGACCGAACTCGACCGCTTCTACTTCAAAATTTGGATGTACAATAGCCGTATGCGCGTATGTGAATCATACCTAATGAATAGCAATGCTCAAGTTATGATACTACGCAATTTTATGTATCCGATAAATAGCGCAATCAAGTCCATGGGTGTAGAGCAAAAAGAGAAGAGTACTATGTAGCTGCGCACGTATAACGTGGCCGCTTCGAAGCGAGGAGGCAGACCGACAAAGAACAATAGCCAAGCGGAAGAGAGGCAGAGAGAAAAAAAGCCGCCGAAGAATAAAGAGGAACAAGTAGAACGAGTTCTCTAACAGCATTCCGCTCGAACATGCCCATCGGATAACATTCTCGGAACTTCAGCTTTTCACGCGCGAACAATCCGCGCTCTCTCTCTCTCTCTCTCACACACACACGCACACACAGGCATGCGCACTCACGCGTACCTATACGGCGGCGTCGAAGTGTATAAGTCGCGCGGTGCAAGACAGACGCGCGCGTGCGCGCGGAAAGCTCCGAGCCGCAGAGGCTCTCGCGCAAGTAAAAGTTGGATGCTTCGGCGGCAGCATCCGCGTTTGAGATATCAGTGGTGGCAACGATGAGCGAGCGAAAGGGCCGCCGAGGATCCTCGTCGGCAACGTGCTGGCCACCGTCTTCCTCGTAGACACAGACACAGCAGGTGCACGCAAAGTAAAGGTGCGGGTAGGTTATAAGTTGTTCTTCTGCAGTGGTGTCTCGCTTCGGCGCCGCCGCCGCCGCCGCACACCAAAGAAAAAAAACGAGAAAAAGAACGAGAGAGAGAGAGAGAGAGAGAGAGAGAGAGGCCGCCGAAGATAACTGTAAAATGTCATCGGCGACGAATCTGTGTCATAGCGCCCGCTAGCTTTCCGACGCGCTCGCCGGATTCCTTCGTCTTCTCAGCAGAGAACCAGCGATTCGTTCTCTACGTCTGCCTTTTTCTCCTTTACCTCGTCTTTTTTATTCCCTCGTTTGCGCTGCGGTACTTTTGACAGTGAATCGCATATCCGCCTCTGCCAGTCTGCTGCTGCTGCTGCTGGTATTGCTTTTTATTTCTGTTGACACCTGTCGATTGCAAATTTTTCTTTTTTTAATTGAAAACGCTTTTTCCCACGCAAGGATAAATGGTAAAGTACATTATTCTATTTATAATTTCATTGTGCACAGTCTCGTTTCAAAGGATTACATATTGGCATGCTAGGCACAAGCTGTGATGTGTTCCTTATAAAAAGCTTTTAATTCATAGTCAACTCAATGGCTTGTTTTCAAGATTGATATGAAAGTCTATTCAGAGAATCTTTATTGTTCAACATTGTTTTGTTTTAGAGAAAACTTAACATCTAATCTACTCCTAATTAACTTTAGAACTAAAACAGAGTGCAATATTTGAAATGAGATGTAATAATTATGACATTCTGGCAATTGCAATAAAGATACTATTATTTTTAAAAACATGATAATGTCAAACATAACACCTTTCAAACTTACTTACTAATTGATTGTTTTTTTTTCAGTGACAAGTAAAAATGGAGAGTTCAGAAATAACATTTCTTTTTCAATTTGGCTTAACAAGGGATACTGTTACTGTACAATCCGGAAGTCTTACACTAAAGTCATTAAAAGAGCTAGCTTGTGATTTCATTAACACTAAGTGTTTTGATCATGGTTTGAGTCAACTCTTTGACAGATTGTTACTTTTCAAACATGATTACAATTCAATCAATATTTTGCAACTCATCACAAACACAACTGAAATCATAGATGAGACTTTGGTTGAAATTGTATTGTCAGGTACATACTTTAAGTATCATTTGTAAATGTGGTAAACCTAAGTTATGTAAATTATCAGATTAAAAAAATGAAAATATTATGTATTTCAGCTCAAGTACCAAGTGAACAGATACCCATTAGGCCACATGCCTTAGCTGTCCACTCGTATAAAGCTCCTACATTTTGTGACTTTTGTGGTGAAATGTTGTTTGGCCTTGTTAGACAAGGGTTGAAGTGTGAAGGTTTGTATAATTCTAATTTACGCAGTTTTCAGTAATACACAAATTCTATAATAACCATTGTTTGATTTAGGATGTGGTATGAACTTTCACAAGAGATGTGTAGTGAAAGCTCCTAATAATTGTTCACAAGATATGAGTCAAAGACGTCGTAGTTCGACATTTTTAAATGTTCCGAGATCTCCTAGCCAAGGATCAACCAGCAGCTTAGCCAGTGCTAGTGATGACAACCACAGTGCTACAGTCACGCCCAGTTCCAGCCAAAACAATAGTACTTTGGTATGTTGAATTATAAAACGTATATGATTTATATATTCTCCAAACGGGAAAACCTTTTTTTCTAATATCCAATGATTGATGTATTTTTATTAGGCCATTCCAAGCATTATAACTCCAAAACAATCTCGTTCACCCTCTCTCGGCGGTCGCCCGGTGTGGGTCGAGCGAGAATTAGCAGCTCGTGTAAAAATTCCTCACACTTTTGTAGTGCACACTTACACGCGACCCACGGTATGCGGATACTGTAAAAAATTATTGAGAGGCTTGTTTAAGCAAGGTTTGCAATGTAAGGATTGCCAATACAACGCGCACAAAAAGTGCATTGAAAAAATTCCTAAAGACTGCACAGGAGAAAATCCATTAGATGTTGGAGGTACAAGATAATAGTATAAAATATTTAGAAAGCTTTAGAAGACGATAGTGGCTTTATATTCACAAGTACTTTATGTTCAATTCCAGGGAGTGAATATCCTGATAGTGGAGTAGGTAGTGAACCAGAAGGAAGATGTGATGGTAGGAACGAGGAAGGAGATAGCGACAAGTTTGCCGATAATGATAATGACCATGACAATGAAAATGATAATGACAATGACAGCGATTCAGAATCGCCACCATCAGCTACGCAGATACCATTTGCATCCGATGAAGATAAACAGAATGGCGACTCCGTGAGTTTTCGCAAGCAATTGATCTAAGGATATATGCAGTGAATAAAAATATGTATTTAGATATTTAATTAAAAAAATTAATTTCTAGGACAATACGCCCACACGAGATGTGCCTTCTGATGACTCAGATAAATTAAGAGGAGCTAGGTAAGTTGCTCGTAATATATAGCATAGATTTAACAGTAGTTTATTTCACAACAAAATGACTTCGTTTTACACAGTTCGACGCCGAGTAACAACATTCCTTTAATGAGAATCGTACAAAGCGTGAAACATACGAAAAAACGCGGATCCAAAGTATTAAAAGAAGGGTGGATGGTGCACTTTACAAATCGCGATCCATCAGTAAGTTTTTCTTTTGTCATTCACGATAATCTGTGAGAAGATTCTATTATTCATAATCTGATTACATTATTTTTGTACAGAGAAAACGACATTATTGGAGACTGGATTCAAAAGCAATAACTTTATTCCAAAGCGATACCGGTTCCAAGTATTACAAAGAAATACCGTTATCTGAAATTTTAGCAATTGAAAGCGCTAGAACACCACATGCACGTTAGTATATTCATGTTAACTGATTACACTAGAGTTCTGCTGGTATTTTATAGTTGTTAAAATCTTCAATTCCAGAAGCAATGCACTGCTTCGAACTGAGAACGGCTAACGTTGATTATTATGTCGGCGAAGATTTAATGTACGGCAGTGAACGAAAACAACTTCCGCCCCCAGAAAGTGGCGTTGGGGCTCATCTAGCCAGATCTTGGGAAACGAGCATTCGGCAAGCTTTATTACCTGTAACCAGTGGTTCAAGTATGTGTTTTATTGGTTGTTATATTCAAGTTTGAGTTTTACCTTTTATGTTCAGAGAAATTTTTGGATATATTTATAGAAATTAATAAACATTACGTGCGCAGTACATATATGAGTTGCTAGATTGTTAGTTATAATACATGACAATATGAACTTACCAACATTCTTCTCTGTCATAATCCTTTTTAACCCCAAGATCGGATAATCTGATTATAGACATTACTTAAATGACTTAAATATTACGGAAAAGAATCGTTTTTTCCAATTTGATAAAGTTTAGGATATTTACATTTGTCCAGTCGAACGTACATAAGTGCTAAGAGGCTAAACATAAAAAGGAATGAAAATCAGCGGTAAATATTCATATAATACAATATTATCACACGTTTAACTGGAACAATGTAAAAATCCTATATTTTAAATCAATTTGGAAAAAATGATTTGTTTCTGAAATGTTTAAGTCGTTTAAATAATGTCTCTAATCCGTTTATCCAATCTTGGATTTAGAAAGGATTTTGACAGACGTGGGGTATGTGATTGAAAGGGCACAAGAAACATATATTGTCACGGTTATTAAAATAAGAAACATTCAGTCAACAAATTAAATTTGTTCTGGCCAGATTTGTTGGAGATTTGTCATGACTGGTGAGTAATTGTCTAGCAATTCATATATGCCTGTGTGTGTGTGTATTTTAATTTGTATAAATATATCCAGTACAGCTCTTTGAAGATCGAGGTTAGAAGATCTGCCAACCAAAATGTTAAAATTGAAAAAATATCTCAATAAAATCTGACTTGTATTTTATTTCATTAACCTATATTGATGAATAATCAGAATATCGCACATTTGACTGGTTGAGCTTTTTTTATTGTTCTACAACATTTTATAGTAAATGCTGTTTGCTTTCAGAACAAGACGGTGAACCGACAGAACCAGAAGAGAATGTAGTCGATATGTCACAGCTTTATCAAATTTTTCCCGATGAAGTCTTAGGATCGGGTCAATTTGGTATAGTTTACGGTGGGATTCATCGTAAAACTTCAAGACAAGTCGCTATCAAAGTCATAGACAAACTACGCTTCCCAACCAAACAAGAAGCCCAACTAAAAAACGAAGTAGCTATCTTGCAAAACCTTTCGCATCAGGGTGTTGTCAATCTGGAAAGAATGTTTGAAACTCCAGAACGAATTTTTGTTGTGATGGAAAAATTGAAGGGCGATATGTTGGAAATGATTCTGAGCTCAGAAAAGGGACGACTAAGCGAGCGAATAACGAAATTTTTGATCACGCAAATCCTCATCGCGTTGAAGCATTTGCATAGTAAAAATATCGTTCATTGTGATCTAAAACCGGAAAATGTTTTACTAAGTAGCAACAGCGATTTCACCCAAGTGAAATTATGCGACTTTGGTTTTGCGAGAATCATAGGAGAAAAAAGCTTTCGAAGAAGCGTGGTTGGTACTCCAGCGTATCTAGCACCTGAAGTGTTGCGAAATAAAGGCTACAATCGCTCATTGGATATGTGGAGTGTTGGAGTTATTATATACGTATCATTGAGTGGAACTTTCCCGTTTAACGAGGATGAAGATATCAATGAACAAATTCAAAATGCTGCTTTCATGTATCCCCCGAATCCATGGAGAGAAATTTCATCCGATGGTAAATGTTTTACGATATCGCATTGCACAGAAATTAAAAACTCTATGGATTTAATCAAACTTTTATCATTTTCAGCTATCGATTTGATAAACAATTTGCTGCAAGTCAAACAACGAAAGCGATTTTCCGTTGACAAAAGTTTACTCCATATCTGGTTACAAGTAAGTTTCTTATTCGTTTATAATGTTGTAAGGTAGATTAATGAAACGAATAAAAAATAAAAAATATGATATTTTCCTAAAGGATTATCAAACGTGGTGCGACTTACGAGAATTGGAAACTCAAATAGGTTGCCGCTATTTGACTCACGAGAGCGACGACGCGCGCTGGCAGGGTTACGTCAACAGTGCCTCCGACAACGCATGACACATTTCACCCCAAATCTCATCATCGGACACTCGCAGCCTCGAGACTTCTTCAGCGCCACTCTCCAAGAGTTGGTTACGTACTGCTCGCGATATATTTCGTCGTTTCGTTCACGTGTGAGCGTGAACGAATTTTTTATTAACGAATGTTATTTGTCTATTCGGGCAGCTAAACTTCTCATTTTCTTTTAACAGATAACAATACGATCTCGTTGTGCTTTAGCGTTCTCTTCCAGTGCTTTTAAGAAATGTTTTTTTTAATTTTGGACGCTTTTATATCGAGCTGCTTATGGATAAGCGGATAGGAAAAACAAGTATTTAGCTAAATCTTGCGAATGCACAAGCTTATATGCTTACATGCTTTTAATGGCATTTATTAAGGAATTTCAATAATGTTAGTTAATTACCATTCGCGATATGGTATATGATAATGTATGGGATGATGGATAATTCGTAAAGGTAAAGGTTTTTTAAATGTAGGGATCATGACATAACGTTCATTGTATTTGGCAAAAATTTTATATTCATTTATATACTTGGATATTGATGTATCTTTAAATTTTTCTATAATAGATGTAAATGAATATCAATTTCGTAGTGAAAAATTAAATGACGATTTTATTTTCATTACTGATTACAAAGATGGTGCCACAGTTGTTTATTTGCCGTGATAACTCAATGAAAACAAATCATTTTAATGAACACAAGTTATTTAAATCATTTTCATGCATTTTTCTAAATTAACGAAGAAAAATGCAACAATTTAAATTTGTAGTTTAAAAAATCAAATGTAGTAAGGAAGTCTATTATGAATTTTATAATTCGGTACTGATACTTTTTATACAGTTTAAAATAATAATAAAATATTTATGACTGTTTATAGTGATTAGTACCAAGCGAATATTACATAAAACACCTAGCGAGATGGTAATTGGTAATTCAGGCAAGTGTCTTTATGTAGAAGTATGTGTAATTTTTTAAACAGTTACATTTAGATTTCTCAAAATATAAAATTTCGTTAAATTCAAGTATTGTGAAATTAATATTACGTCCAATTTGCAATTTCGGTTATATGTTTTATTTTATTTTAGCTTACAATATTCTAGTGGTATTAACCATTAGTCTACAGAAGAGGAATTTTGTCTGCTTTGTAGGAATTGTATACAAGTATAACCTGTAAAATATTAAACATTCCAATAACACAAAGAACATTCCATTAAGAATTTGGGTGTAACTGTTATTTTATATACATACTTCCATAAAGTATCTAAAATTGTCACAAGTTTATATTGATGGCTGTATCATGTCTTGCTGGAAATATTTTTATAATCAATTTAATCGAAATTATGCAGTAATTGACTTTAAGGTCAATATATATTGTTACGTAATTATATAATATAATCAATGACTGTACGTGCCAAAAATAAAATTCAAAATTAATAATTCAAAAATAATAACAAACCATGATAACGCGAAAATATCTCAACTATCACGATGAGCGCTATAATTATACATTGTATATATATCTTTTATAAATGCTGAGGAGTATAATAATATGTCGAATGAGTAATATTCTAATTTGTAATTGGTGTTTGTACCAGAAAAGAAACCCAATGTTCTTGTGTGATAAGTGTTTCAATACTATATTGTAAATTGTTAAATTAAAAAAGAAAACAAGCTTTTAAAATAGCAAAAAATATGATTCAGTACAGGTTGTAAGCGATGATATATATTTTATTTCAATTTTTAGACGCACTTTATAAAAGCCGGAATATTAATGATTAACGAATATATTATTAATATGTACATAGAAATAAGGAATGGTAGCTTTATTTCTAACGAAGAAAGGAATAGCTATAGCATCCTTCAATATAATTAAATTAAAAATATTTTTCAAATTTTCATTATCATTTATAACACTACTTCTTTTTAATGAACCATAGCACAAATGATTTATTTTGAACTGAGAATTATATTTTATTCTATTCGAGTATGTTAAGTTTTTAAAGAAATTCATCCATATAATTTTATGAAGCAACTAGAACAAAATCTTAATCTTTGAAATATTGTAAAAAGCTTATATACTCTGAATATTCAAATTTTCATGACAAATACTGTAATACACTGAAATTTTTTGACTCAGATAGAGGAAATAAGATTCAACGATCCCTTTTTAATTATCTCAATATTGATCAACTTTATTTATTATTTTACTTGTATTATATTTTTCATATCATGGAAAACTATAATTTATAATAAGTTTATATTGTTATAAGACTTTAATCTTAAATTTTATTTATATTTGTATCATTATACACATATCCATATGCATACCACGGGTGAATAACATTATTTCACAATAAATATGTTTATAATAAATTTTTTATTTTTTTTATACCTACAAGGGGTACTTTGTACGTCAAATATTTAAACTTGCAAAAAAGGTAAAATAATTTTATTTTGGGTATCTTTTAAGAAAACTATATAATTTTAGATTCCGAAAATAGCATTAATAAACGTAATTCATATGCTATTATCATCACTCTTTCCGGCGAATCGCGTGAAATTGAAGAGTAACTAAATATATCTTCTTCTCGCGTGAGAAGAAGATATATTTAGTCATATCATAATCCATATTTTATTGACTGTTATGACATCGGTTTTGAACGGCATTTCATGAAAAACTATCGTAATCAATAAATGTATTAGAATATATATTGCGAAATACTCATTTACTAATTTAGTATTTACTAGATACATTTTGTAGAAGCTGCAGTTTTCAACAGTACACGAATAGAAATAATTAACACAAAATAAAAATTGATATTAATATATAGTTGATATACTATTATAATAATGCACAATTAACTGTTTTAATATAAATGAATATTTTATCGAAAACTATTTTTAAGGAATGCTTTATAAAAAAAATTATACAAATGGTTGATCAATCAATTAAATAAAATAGCCAATAAATAATTTTATCAAATTTACCGAAAAAGTTGTAGTTTCAAAGCGAAATAATGGGAAATCACGTACAACTAAGTTAATAGTATCCGTATGGGATATCCGGGTACAAAAAAATAAACTATTATTCTTCACAAAACATGGCCTAACTAGATAGATTAATGAACGAATTTCAATGTAATATTGCATTAAAATATTTAAGAGAGCGTGTGAATTAGGTAGGATTGTCAAATATACAATCGACGTGTTACAGAATATAAGATGTTTACAGACTTTGACATCGAATCAAATTATGTTATAATATGTCATTCCCGCTTGCAACTTTAACAGTATTACATTTAAGATTGTTCAACATATTATAAACGCAGAACAAATGACATGTATCTTGTCTTCCTAATGGAAGAAGGAATTCCAATAAAAAAAATTTTTTACTCTCAAAAAAATTAATTACACAGAAATCATTGTTCAGTCATACAAATCATGGAATAGATAATTTCAGACCTCCAGTATCATTAATTCAAACTAATATTTTCCAAGCTATTCAAGTAACCAGTCACTTGTGGTCTAATCTGGTGTGTGTTACGAAAGTTGTTTATAACTTGAGTAAAAATGTTATCGACACTCAAAGTTGTGTATAGGACTATAATAGTACTCATATGTCGGATCGTAAAGGAACGCTGTCAAAATTGTCAAGCCTGCGGTAGAAATACTTTTTCAGTTACGAACTTCGCGGTTGATTTTTCAAAAAAGCTAATAAAACTCTGCTATTCTACAAGATGTTTATAAATGCAACTTTTTTGTTTATCACCACTCCAGTAAGTACATCATTTTACGCTCTTTGCATGTCCATCAACGAAAACCGCCGTATGTATTATATTTTTAGCAACTTAATGAATGTCTTCATCAAAAAACCATAAATTATACACGCATTAGTCCAAAGAATATGTTCCTTCAAGTATCTTTTTTAAGTAAATAGCTTTTCAAGATATTTATTTATCATATTGGATTCGTTTATTCGTACTGGTTTGATGTGGGTAGTGATTAGCTATTATCCTGTATTTGCACAGTTGATCAAGTATATATTTTTTCAATGTATTAGAAGTAAATTTTTATATTCTATTTGGAACAAAATAATACAGATATAGACCGCTGGATAAAATCTGGCATATGTGGATGATTTTCAGAGATAATGATGCATATATCAGCTTTTATATTATCTTCAATCATTCTTGAAATTTCAGATTGTGTCGTATTGATATATTGATATAGGTGTTGCAATAAGACATGACCAGTCGAAATTAATTTTGCCACGCTCGTACAAATCTAGATTATTTGAAATAGTCTTTCCTTACAAGCTAGCTCGTCTCAAAGTACCACTGTTATTATCGCAACCTGAATAAAGATGCCATTCGCTTTTTATTTTGCATCTATTAATTTGGTTAGAGTTACGTTTATACAGCGCACGATCTGAAAATTAATACATTTTTTATATTAATATTCATCTTCACGTCTTTATATTCGTTCTTTCCATTTTTCCATATTTCATTTTTTCCAAAATATAAAAATTTAATTACATAATGAGTAGTGTTGAACAAAATCCTCGAAGATAAACGAAATTTTGACTTCTTTCAAATTTTAAAGTAATTATCTAAAAAATCACTTTAACTTATAGCTGTGCGATAATGTTTTCTGAAATTTTTAAAGTTAGTAATTTTTAATGTCTTCAATAATTCATTTCTGCTGTTGCCTCGAAGATGAACTCGCTATAGTTACAGTCATACTTGAACTTTAACATTTCTTTAAAAACTTGCAAATTTTACTTTCTATTTTGTTATATTCTAGATATAGCATTTATTGCCGTAGCAAGCTTCAGTTGTTTTATGACATAGCATTTTTTAAATATAATTTTCTGGTGACATCCTGGCATATCTTTTGATTTCATTGACAGGAGGCTCAATGACTCCGGTATCAATATCATAGGACAGTAAATACTATCACAAATGATCTGATTGCTGCTCAAATTTGTAATAAAAGCATATTATAACGGTGTAAGTAAGTAAAAATAAGCAAATTAAGCTAATTTTTATACAAGAAAATTATTGTTGAAAATGTGAAAATATATCTTAAGATTATTTAAGAATATGAAATAATAAGCTTTTCGACACTCCATGCGTAAAGTGAACGAATTTCTCAATAAAAAATTCTTAAGCTTTCGGCAAATGATTTCATGATCCGACTCTAGCGTCGAGGCACGTTCGGAACGTGACGGCATCGGAGTTGTAGTTAGATTTTAGTTTCAGCGATAAGACATTGTACACAGCCGAGTGTAAATTGGCACATTCGACGCCGCTGTCTCAGGTAGGGAAACGTCCAATTTCCGGAGTCTGAAGATCGTTCTGGTGATCGAGGTTGCAGATCGGCAAGTCGCACGGACATCGAGGCTGATTGGCAGGAAGTAGAGAGGAAAAGCGGCCGGGCGAGCGAGCCGAGTGCGGATCCAGCGCGCACGGCTCGGAAAAGTCGGGCCCGACAGGAGAAAGTTTGGAAAAGCGGCCCCTTAGCGGATTCTCGACAGCTCTCGGCGAGGCAAGTCGAGCTTTTCTTGTTGCAATCTCGCACGATTGCAGCGTGGCTTATTGTACACTTGGCTTCACGCGCTTTCCGTCGCAGAATAACGTTCATTTCATTGGCCGTTGACGGGACATGTTTGCTCCTTTCATAGTTATCGAACGGCAATCGATTTGAAAATTTCCAATTAACTGACTAAACAGGTTTATTTGTCATTGGTAGAAATAGCTCAATAACCCAACCAACAGAGGATTATGGTTAGGGCTAAATTTAACGAGAAGGATGTGGCTTGTAATCTGAAATTGACAGATTGGAGGTAAAAAACTGTAAGAACAAAAGTAAGATCGCGTAAAGCGAATGGACACGATGCTTGACAAAAAGGAAAGCGGATTGCTCGCAGAGACGAATCTTTGTTTTCGATGAATAAAAAAAGAAAGTCCTTCTGCCGTGCGATGAATAATGTGCTGGAAATTAGAGTGAAATGCCAGCGACGACCTCATAAATAATTCGTCTACTGGCGGTCAGTTGAGAAACAACAGTTAAGCCAAATGTTTCTGCCATGTGTTGTTAAAAGGAACAAGCGCGCGCCCGGCGCACAGTGCCTTCGAAAATTTTTGTACCGTGACAGAATCCCAAGCGCGTCATCGTCTTCCGCCTTTGCCGGCTCGCTCTGCGCAACTGTCGCGCTCATAATATACGACCATAATAATCGACATTTTTCAAGAATCCAAAAGAATTTACTTTTCTTCGAAAGCCGATAATTTTTACAGGTTTTGCGTTCGCAATGCCGGTTACTTTTTTTATTATATTATCATCCTTACTGTTTCATACAACGGTAATTTCGCTTCTTATGAAGATTCTTTATAACCAAAAATGTTTTAACAGTAGTGATAAGCAGTGTGTTAAAAGCTAAGCTGAACTAAAATGTTTTTTATTAAAATACGGAAATACGCTTTTACTTTAAATATAAAATCTATTTAGTCAATTATTTTGGAGTTTAAATAGTTTAAATAAGTACTTTAATAATTTTTCTATCAATCTTCCAAGAACGTAATGTCCTTCTGAAAGTATATAGTAACTTCACAGTAATTATTAATGTAAATTTTGTTGGTAATAAATAATAATAATAATAGTAATTTTAAATATTATTGTCATTGCGATGAAATTTCAATTTTACTGATTCTCCATCAAATGAACGAGAGTGAAAATTCGAGCGTCGAAACAAGGTCGAAGTCCCTTTCCGCTCGGGAGAGTTTCGAGCGCAAGCTCTACATCCGATGCTGCGTATACGTGAGCAGCAGAAAGAAAAAAGAAACATTAGTTGACGAGGCGATTAGATAATGTTGAAAAATCATGCGATGTTGCCGAACTCGACAGAACTCGCCGTAAGAGAATTTCTTCGCAAACAAGTACTTATGTTGCTAGATCAACGTTCTTTTGTAAATGTATCATGCGGTCCGTATATCGTGTAGTTCATACACATATATCGATTTGTGCAGACAAGATTTTCTACAAATTCGAGTGTCCAAAACGACTGTCTTTACGATAAACGAATTTATTCGTTATCGAATTTATCTCTGCGACTTTCAGAAATTGAGTAATGGTAACACTTCCGACTCTCTTCGTTAACTAAAAAAAGTAATTAATTACAAATGAGCAAGATTTCATTGGATTTATCGATGTGCAATTAAAAATCGATTTGCAATAGCATAAGTGAGGAAGTATATAGTATGGTAAACACTCTTTAACAACATATCTCTAAGCATTTTATAACAACAAAAGGAAGATGAAAATATTCTAATAGTTGTAAAAATAAGCGAATTAAGGACCCTGTCAAATATTAACGTGGACAAGCAAAATAGTAGAGATTTTTTGCTTGGCATTGTCGTATACACGCCCCGATGAGCTTGCAAAAATGATAATAATATGTTTAAGTTTACTTGAGCGAAGCTCAACGATCATATAGACTTTAAAATTTGATGTCCAAGTATTCAGAGAATAAACTTATACTAGGTTGCTTTATTATAATTTGTAGAAGCTCGTTCGATTAGTTGTTAGTGCACAGTCGAGAATGTCGGCCGTGCGCTCGGCAGCCCTTCAACAAGATGAGCAATGGTCGTATTCAATCTAACTGAATTGGCAGTCCAAATACAAGCCACGGCCGTAAAGGGGTAAGGAACGCAACCGACGCAGCGCGATCGGCACACGCTGGCGAATCTGCGCCTCGAGTGTCAGACCGCGTAGAAAGCACGCAGAGCCGTGCTGAGTCGGCTTCGAAATCAAAAAGGCCGCAAATGTCCATGGTTTTCTCCTCGTCATCGTGCTCAGCGACTGACTAACAGGCGACCTCCATCCTAACGAACGCTAAATCTCTTGGCGTGAATAATAGGCGCCACGGGTGCTCGTGGCTTGTCCTAGAAGTCCAGCCGTGGAGCATCCGTCTTGTTCGTCAGTCGGACGGTCGGCGCGAGGACAAGCTAGTGCCGTATTGTCGTAGGCGCGCGATGGTTTTGGCGATGTGGATGCTGGTGAGCACTGCGAGGCAGCATTCAGAGGGGTGATAAGTGCGGTGTGTGTGGTCGGAGCGATGAGTTGCTCTGGGCTGCTGCCTCTGTCGTTACTACTCCTGCTGTATTTCGCCAATGCCGAGTGGATCGAGATTCCTCAGTATTCCGATCAGCACAAAGTTTACAGAATGCCAACTTCGCGACCACATCATCGCGTGACGCAACTCAATGGCACTCGTAGGCATCACGTAGCCGATGATCATCGACATGGACATTGGGCTGGCTTTCATCAAGTAAGAGCTTTGCGAAAGCAAGCGCATAGTAAGTAGGCCAGTAGGAGACATTTGTGCGACAATATGAGACAACTTATTTCCTGTTCTTTATCTTTTTTATTTATTTTTTAACTTTTTTCTTCTGAAAAACAATTAATTTGAGAAATATCAATCATTCGTAGTACTTTAGTTCATTTTAAATGTTGAAAACGGTTATTTTCCTCACACGATTGTCCAATGCCATGCGTATCATTTCATATACTAATCTTGTACCATTAATTGTTATAAAATATTTCTGTTGGGCTTTTGCAGTTTGTTTAATTTTCTAATATACTACATAATATACTACATTCAATAATACTACATAACAAGTATCGTAAATTACATAAAAAAAAATCTTTTTTTTCGACCTTGAAAAATAATTTAAACCGAAAAAAAAAATTTTTCGAAAAACCAAAAAAAAAATTATTGCAGTATTCTACGTGAAATAACAAGCATTTTTTCTCCTATAAATTTTTTTCGATTGTTACAATTTGACGGAGATAAAAAATGTTGAAAAAAACTGTCACTTCCAGGAAAAAATGCCCGTGCGCGCGTCATATTTGACGAAAATAAATTTTTGATGAGTGATTCAGATAGGGCTTGGTAATAGCTAAAAAATGGTGTACTTCAAATTTTCGTACGATTTTTTTTCCAAAATTGGCTAATTGTCAAAAATAATAAAAAAATTTCAGAATTTTCAATTTTGCATAATTGTTGCAAAATTTAAAAAAACAATCAATGGCAACCGTGAGTCATATCATTTGAAAGCTCTCCGAAAGACCTTTCAAACGCACCCACGCGCGTCTCTGTACGTTAATTTCTACCAGAGATATAAAACTTTGAAGTTAGACTGATTTTGCCCGTGGGGGGGTAAAAGTGCGTGAGCGGCACTGTATGTAGGAGAGAGCGTAATAATACAACTAACGATAGCATGCACGAACTGATGCTCATGAGAAATTGACGAACATTTTATTTAGGAAGAAAATGTGCGGAATATCAGTAAATTTTCTCGAAATCGTCACTCGATTCATTCCAATGCTAAACCGTCATTGTTTGACGGAACCATCTCTAGCTTTACCACTGATAGGACAATCAGTAGTATCGACACAGGCATTGAATATATTAACTCGGATGAAGGTATCGTTGTCGAATCTAGCGAAGATATTGAACCCCAGGTAATTATTCAACTTACTTACGAACGTCCTTTCTACGATTGGAAGCTATAATAATAAAATGTCAAATGAGGAAATTAGACTAGTGTAGCTGAGCTCTCCAATTGTTTACAATCAATCTAGTTTAAGTTACATATATCTGAGTGGTTAATTAAAAACAATGGTGTTTTCAGTTTGAGGAAATTCCAGTTCTGTACAGTTCAAGTGAGGACGTTACTGCCACGTTCAATGCAAATACGAATTTTCCAGTAATCGTTGCTTCGTCTACTGATCCGCCAAAACCGTCGAAGCCACCGCCAACTCGCGACGAAACGGAAAATGACCAAGGATTTTTCGATTACTTACCCATCGATTTGCTAAAACGAGTGCACAAAACTCTCAAGTTACAACCTCCAACCCTGAAGGGAAAAATACGCTTCTTGAAAGCTTTCGAGCGCACTTTAGTCCAAGAAATTGGTAATTCAATCAGCTCGACGCCCAAATATAATCTTGTTAATAACGAAGCTAATGGAAAATTTCGTGGCCGACAGAAAATCGTCTGAGCAAGGCCCTTGCGCCAAGGAGAACGACCAGGGGAGCAAGAGGCCACGACGATCACGACGAAAGCCTGGGTTTTCCTTCGTTAGAGGGAGCCCTCATGGCCATTTCCTTTCTCACATTTGCTGTTTATTTAGTCAGACTTGTTATGGTAATGCGAAAAACATTCGCTTCCTTTAATTATTGCATTCATTTAGTGCCTGCATCGTCATCGACCTACATTGTGATTTCTTTTCAGTTGCTATTTCGAAACGTTGGAAACGGAGCACCTCCCATTATCATTGGTAGAAAGAAGAGATCAATCGACGAATACACTGAACAAGCTGCAAGGATTTTCAGTTATTTGGATGCGAGCTCAGCGCAATATTACAAGTCACAAAAGAAATTCTCACGTTTGAAAAAACACGTTTGATTTACAAAGATATCGTATACCGAACTAGGTGGAGCCAATGTTGGACCACATATAAGCTTGGCTATTGAATTTACACATGCCGTATCAATCGTGCTATCATTCATAGTTCCGTAGATTTAAGTCGACTCTGAGAATCGAATTCGTTTTGCAGCAGCTCGTACAATATATTCGTCTTCTTTTACTATCAAAATGTTCATCAGAAATTTTCTAGCTCCTAAATAAGCCAAACACCAGCCCGATGACAATGACTAAATTATCAATAAACATTATAATAATGTTTTCTTATTTTTCAAATTTAAATTTCTGCATATAGTCGACGAAAAAAATTGACAGTTAGCTAAAATACATTTAGTTATTCTAGTTATCAAAGCTAAAATATCGATTTTTGCATTATTTTTTCAAATAAATTTTTTCGCGTAATTGCAATATTGTCGTCTAGTAGTAAATACGTGAGAAATACCGATACCGTTTGTTATTTGTATATATATCACGCACGATGCAGATCATTAAAAGCCCCTTTCTCTAAAGGCTTCGACATTGGGTCCACCGTTCTCGAATACCTGGGAAAAATGAGAGTCTTCTTTCAAAGCTACTTTCACAAGCTATCGAATGAGCCCTTGGACGCGTCAACCAACGCATGAATTCTTAATCACAAGTTACCGCAGTCAGCGCGTAGTAATCTTATATAGGGCCCATCCTACCTAATTATGATTGCATGAATGTTCCATAATTAAACTATTTATTTGTGGATTTATTTATTTATTCTTATAGTAGAATAAGAAAGGGCGTTGACAATTAGACGAAAATTTTATTTTAACTATTGTTCTAATAGCATTATTCATTTGAAATATTGTCGAAACTAAAAGACTTGAAATAAGCTAGTAGCACGTATTATTATTGAAAATCTCAAAATGAGTACGGAAAGAAAACAATTCTTAAAAGTTTTTAATGCATCTTATATATAAAATTAGATTCATCGTATTGTGTTTTGATCTGCGAAAATAATGTTTGTCAAACTAACGCTAAATAAATTATTTATGTAAAATAAGTACATGTAAATATCGTAAAGATTCGAATTTAAATTTTTTTAAATGGAAAATTCTGTAAATGATTTTTGGTTTATATTTATTTTCTAGCAATATGTAGTACACCATACAATTTATAAGTGCAATAACAATATCCATTTTTTTTAATAAAAAAGTTCAACATTTATTCATTTATTTAGTTTAACAATTAATCGAATTTTACGTTATGACTTTAAATTATTTGCATGGTGAACACAAAAATCACTTTCACTTCTCAACTGCAGTGATACGATTTCTTGTCCGAACGAAATGATCAGCGTTGCCACTGGAAAAATTTTTTTCAGGGTCCCTAGAAATTATTCCATTTAATATAATGCAATAATTTCTATGGACTCTGAGAAAACGGTTTCCAGCGATAACACTGAAAATGATTCTGTTTTATTCGGTTTTATTGACACCATTGGGGCTTGGATAAGTAAAGTTAATTTAATGGCGATGGGTCTCTTATATTGAGACTCCGATATACCAACACTCATGCGTAATTTTTTTGGGAACGTTATAGTGAGAGGGGAATCTTCTCGAGAAATATTTCAACTACATTGATATAGTCATAGTCATTTAACTACGGAAGAGATGGTAGGAAACCCTATAAGTATCGAAATTGTCCAGTCTCGATACTGGAACTACAATTTAATAGACAGTAATTTACTTTACATTAGTCCAGTTGAAATCGAATCACTGCGAGAACCACGGTGTTAATTTTGATGCATACACTTTTTTTTTGGACAAAGCCATTGGTATCCGCTGGGAATCGAACCTAAGTCTCCTATATGGGAGTCCTGCCCTGTATTCTATCCACTGAGCCACCGCGACTCTGGGCCATCAACTGACTATTACACAAGCGCGCATATTTTCTGACTTGATGGACAGTTCGAAAGCGGAGAGAAGTATATATAGTAAATAGTCTAAAAAAAAGGTTTTGTTGACGATAGTAGTGCGAATAGTTGAATTGTGTAGGTGTGTGGAGTAGATTTTGTGTGTGTCATTTGAGTATCTTTAGATTATTTGTTGTGAGTATGTTATATGTTGATGTCACATTTTTTCAAGAACTTACATAAGATAATTATGCGGTCGAATTCGGAGCTGTGAAGGAATTGTGTAATTGTATAAGGAGAGAAGAGTCTGAGTTTTATGACATTTTTAGGAGAGTTTTACATTGAATGTCAAAATAGTTGCAGGAACAAAATACGTGGTTCAGGTCTTCTATGTCATAACCGCACTGACAGAGATCTGATTTGGCGAGGTTTTTCCTATGGTGGCTTAGAGCGAGGCTGTAGTGGTCTTCTCATTCGAGTTATCGTAACAGTTTCTATCCTTGAAGGGGCAAATTTGTAGAATCATGGTTTGGGAAAGTTTTCGTAAAATAGGTCAAAGTAAAGTATACCTTTGTTTTTGCGTGTGTTTAAGAGTATGTTGTGGAAATATTTCTTGCAGGCGTCGTCGATTAGTTGGTGAAAATCGGTATATGCATGAGATGAGTTGGTTTTGATCCGACACCCGATACTTTGCGAGACCATCAATAATTTCGTTGCCCAGAATGCCTACGTGACAAGGAATCCAAGCTAAAATAACTTTTTGTTTATTTTGTTGAATTTCTATAGGTAATATAGGGTAATATGGGGAGAGTTAATTATAGTAGACTCATTTTGAGAGAGTTTATATTATATCGTGCTCAATGAGCCTTAGAAAATTATCGATTTTGAAATATTGTGTAGGCGTATGTATTTGAGTGCCAGTTAAATGGCATATTAACTTCTGCAGAGAATATCGATACTTGGGGGTCGATTCTGAATTCTGCATTAAGATTGAATGGTTGAGGGCTGTGTGTGGTAGACCTAAATAAAGTCCAGGAGCCTTTTCAGAGGCATTGGTGAATAATGGTGTATGAGTCTCGAGGATATCTTGGAACTGAGTAAGAAATTCTTAGGGTGGAATGTGTGATTTTTTTTTTGAGTTCCTCTGTCCATGATTATCTTTAGGTTGCTTTGCTGTGATTCCAATGAAAAGGAGTAAGAAAGAATGAAAAAATGGAAAAAATGTCTAAATTCACCTGGTCAGATCACGAATGTACTGCCTTAGCAGTCATAGCAACGCTCGTCTAATCGTCTCTGGTCTCTGAGCGAAATGAGATAACGGCTTAGCTTCAGAAAAAGATTTACGTATATGATAAAACACGAACACACTACTACAATACAATCACACACGGAGCTTTAATTCATCTATAGTCGATGTTTTGCCGGTGTTAGCACCACGCAGATAAAAGCAGATGTCAAACAATTAAAGATAACACGTTAGGTTATTTGTTAAAGTATTTTTTTACAATTGTTGCTAAACTGTTTCCACGATTTTTCGTTAATTTTACAAGAACAATGACTCAACGTTTGAGTAAATTAGTGGATTTTTCGTTAATCGAAAATTTGGCGAAAAATGAACATAGTCGAAAATATGAAGGAACAATTCAGTATGGGACAGCTGGTTTTAGAACAAAGTATGTATTAAATTAACATGTAAATTGTACGACTTTCAATCTTACGTGTGTACAATGTAATTTTTATGCTCTGTAAAGGTTATACAAAAGTAGTTTCTAATTCTAGTTTTAAATAATACACACCCTTACAAAAGTTTGAATAATTTTTATTATTTATCATGTGAGTTGATTATCACTAATTTTTATTCTGATATCAATAGAGCTGATATACTGGATCATGTATTATTTCGAATGGGTTTACTGACTGTACTACGATCACAGGTTAAAAAAGGTAGATGTATTGAATATTTTTGTGAGATCTCAATTTCCAAAAAAATTATTAGTAATCTGTTATCACTTTTGTATTTACTATTAGCTGATATTGGACTAATGATAACAGCAAGTCATAATCCAGAAGAAGATAATGGAGTTAAAGTTGTTGATCCTTGCGGAGAAATGTTAGAATCATCATGGGAAATTATTGCTACAAAACTTGCTAATGTTGAAGATGACAAACTTGTTGCTATACTTCATAAAATAATAAAAGAATATAACATTGACTCAAGCTTTCCCGCATCTGTTATTATTGGTAGAGATACTAGAAAAAGTAGTTCAAGTTTGTTACAATCTGCTATAGATGGAATTAAAGCCATGAATGGGATTGTAAAAGATTTAGGAGTAGTTACAACACCTCAATTGCATTACTTAGTAGTTAGTACAAATACAAAAGGAGATTATGGACCTGCAACAATTGAAGGCTACTATAAAAAAATAAGTAAGGCATTCAAGACCATTGTAGGATATAAAGTAGATCATGAAAAAGTAGAAAGTAGTAAATATTCTGCTGAGCTACAATTAGATGCAGCCAATGGTGTAGGTGCATTGGCTGTAAAAGAATTTACAAAATATTTGACTGGCACCCTTGAAGTGACAGTTTTCAATAATGGAGATGGAAAACTGAATCATTTGGTAAATCTTTTACATCAAAATTTTGTTAATAGTTTAATTGATCATTTGTGCTGATAAAGATTTATTTTTTGTCTATCAATTTTACTATTTTCACCTTCATAAATAATGAAAAAGAGTTTACAATTTAAAGTGTGGGGCAGATTATGTGAAGATTCAACAAAAACCCCCAACAAATGTTCCAGTCATACCTTTTACAAGATGTGCTAGCATTGATGGAGATGCTGACAGAATTGTTTATTATTATACAGATGAAAAAAATAAATTTCATATATTAGATGGTGATAGAATAGCCATTTTAGTTGCAGCATATTTAAAAGAATTGCTCACAAAAAGTAAGTTAGATTTGCAATTAGGGTTGGTCCAAACTGCTTATGCTAATGGAGGCTCAACAGCTTACATATCAGAAACTTTGGTAAGAAAGTAGCTTTTATTATTATCATCTACTTATAAAAATGAAATTCAGAGAAATTTAATGTTTTGCAACATATAGTCTATAAAAAGAAAAAAGTCATGAGAAAGTATTATGTTTTATAATTTTCTATTCAATTTATTAAGAAAAAAAAAGGAGAATAATTTTTTTTTAGTCTGGTGGTTTTGCACTCAACAACATAGTCAGCGTTATTTTACGAGAGAATCGTGCACCTCGTTTAGTGAAACTATGCCACTTTTCCAGCGGTAACCGTCTATGGAACGTCGATATTACGTTGAGTAGTTTAGTTTACTTTAAGTGGTGACCATACCATGTGACCCAAACGTGATATTTACATTTGATTATTTCTAAAAGTGAAGATTTTATTACCTTCTTTTATTAGTCAAAAATTTTAATAAATATATCTTTATAGTTGATGTTGATGTTTAAAGTTAATTTTAAAAAAATATCCTTTACGTTAAAACTACGATTACCAAAACGAATTTTTATTTACGAAATTGCTAGGTTAGGTCGACAAGTATTATTTAAAAGTTTCTTCGTTGAAAAATAAAAAAAATAACTCATCATGGAATCCAAAGCTGTCACTCGAACAAAAGGTCATATAAAATCCAAATTGAAATCAAGTTTACTTTCTCATTGTTCACATCATCTCATACCGGGACATAGTAAAAATAGATCGACTTTAGATAAAAATCTCAATGAAGGAATTAATGAACTCTCTATACCAGAATTGTTTCAAGCTTTTCCTTATAATTGTGATTATCCTAAGCCACTTTTACCTCCAAGTAAATTAAAACGTGATTGCTTTAGAGAAGACTCAAGCATGCAATTAATTCATACTAAAAGTAAGATACAAGATGACATTAATAGGTACGTGGAATTATACAAGAAACACTCAAATACTCTTGAAAAGTATAATAAACAAAATTTTAAATTTAAAAAAGATGGCATGAGCTCTGCAACAATATCAAAGTATTTGCTTGATACTTCACAAATTTTGGATTGTGATCCAGATCCTAAATTTTCTGGAAACTATAATTGGTATTACAGCGGTGGTACTTTAAATGGTATCTTACATGATGTAAGAAATATTTTACTATTTCCTTTTTCGAATGAACTTATAGCTTTGCCAATAGAGCTGAAAGAAGATTCACTTTTCAAACCAGATTATAAAAATGCTGCTAAAATATCTATAAAAGAGAATCTTTATCAAATAGTGTGCTCAATGATAAATAATAATGGTAGAATTCTAACAAGATTTAAAAATAATTGTTTTCTATTTAGTCTTTTCAATTTGGATAAGAAGAAATTGAACTTAATGAAAATTAGTAATCAGCCATCTGAAATTCCATATATTTCTGTAGATCTTGATCCAATCAATATTAACAGCTACTGCACAGTAGATGTTAATAGGAATATCAAAGTTTGGGATATAAATAAAAAAAGATCAATTATAAACAAGAATGTCCCTGTAATGAGATACCTTGAAGATAATTGGGCTTTTATAAAGTATGATGACTCTACTATTAATACTATAAAATATATCGATAGACATTGTGTTTATTATTATGATAGCAGATCATCAGAAGATAAACCTATATTAACAATGTGTCCAAAAGATTATTTAGAAGATTGTGAAAGTCTTTCATCTTATGTGGCTAGTAGTAAGAGTGAATATTATGCATATGTTACATCCAATCACAACTTATGTTTGATAGATAGTAGATATCCTGTAAATTCAGTTGTTAAAAAGTGGACTCATCAGTTCAAAAGAAGTCCACTGTATTGTGATATATGTTTTAGAGGAAACGAAGAATTTATTGTATTTGCAAGTCAAGTTGCTGGAGAAACAGGTGTAATATTGAATAATTGGAAGTCAACTGAAGAGCCACCTCAAACATTTGGTACACCATTTACTCCTCCAAGTAATATAGAAACATTAATTGCACTGCAGTCACGAGGCAAATGTCTTAATCCACACATAAGGAATAGATTATCATTATGTAATACAGGCTGTATGGCTACATTTGACCAACAATTAAACAATATATTTCTTTTTACACAAAATTCTGTTAATGACATTTTTTACCAAAGCATCAGTCATCAAGAGACACTAGATCTTTATTCTTTAGAAAACTGCAAGGCTTTGCATAAACTTAAAATATGGGAGAGACAGATTTTGAAAAATGATCACCATGAAATTGTTGCTCCACTTGTAGTAACAAAGAGAACTAGTGCTCGAGAAATGCTTAGAACTTTCATAAATCAGAATCTCCAGCCATCAATAATTACCAAAGATAAGACAGATAAACAATATGTACCATCATGGAAAAGATCTATAACAGAGCTTAATTCATTTGTTGACATACTCGCCTCGGAGCTATTACTTCCTTGGGAAGTACTAGAAGATGCACCATCATTTCCTATAACTGCAGCACCTCATCAAAAAGTTTTGTCTTGGCTGGGAATGACAGAAAATAATCAACAAGATCCATTACTACTAGATGATAATCATGAGCAGCCAAGGATAGTTACACATGCTCAAAGTCCTAATGCGATTCAAAGACCTAATACATTTGAGGAAAATCATGACAGTGATTTTATACAAGCATTTTTACCCAAAGTCAAATCTCAAGTAACACAGGGTAGCAGAAAAACTAAAAAGAAATCAGATTTTGTTCCGGGTTTTTAGAGTTTAGTATACAAAAGAAAATTATAAATGAGTTTATATAAATATACCAAATTTCTCTAAATTTCATAAAAAGGTAATTTCATACTTTATTCAAAAAGCTCATTTGATATCATTTTTGTATAACTCATATTAGAAAGTTCCTGTTTCGTGTGTACCTACTGGTGTAAAACATTTACATCACAAGGCTATGGAATATGATATTGGAGTTTATTTTGAAGCAAATGGTCATGGTACTGTTATCTTCAAAGATTCTGCTCATAAAACCATCAAAGCTGCTGCTCAAGATAATAGGTATAATAAAAAACATTTTGAGTTAGTCATTACATTAATTCACTAAGGCTCATATCAAAATTAGGTAAGATGACAGATAAATAAAAAAAATTTCCATGTTTTTTGTCGTTTTCAAATATTTATACAAAATTATTTAAATAAATTATCAAAACCGTTAGTCTGTGACTCAAACGTGATCTATAACATAGATTTTAAGATTTTACAACAGAAAATAAATTTTTTTCAAACTCATCAACCCAGTCATCAGCTTGTGTTAGTCAGATAATCATTGCCATCAAAATTTCAAAATTGTTTTATATTCATTTTCCGTAGACAAATTGAAGTCTGACAAAAAATGTTAAATATATTTCTTTTATTTTTTTTCTCGTAGAATAGATTGTCGCAATCAGTTTTTCTTCATAATTTGTTTCAATAATTATTTATAAACAATTACAAACAAAAAATAGGGATATCTTTTTCAATTTACCTATTATTGGCATAGTTTGTTTATTGTTATCTTACCCATTTTTGGCATGGGTCTTAATAGGTTAATATTAATGTTTTAAACATTTTACTTTAGTTTACCTAAAAGTGAACAGAAAGCAGCTTTAATTTTGAAGTATGTTATTGATGTTATTAATCAAACTGTTGGAGATGCTTTGAGTGATATGTTGTTAGTAGAATTAATTTTACATGCTAAGGGATGGGATGTAGTTACATGGCAGGAAAGTTATGAGGACCTTCCTAATAAGCAAGTAAAAGTAAAAGTTCAAGATAGAAATGCAATAACTACTACAGATGCAGAAAGATGTTGTGTAACACCTAAAGGATTGCAGGAAGAAATAAACAAAATTGTATCTAAATATCCGAGAGGGCGTTCTTTTGTGAGGTATATGGAAATTTATTCTGATCCTTCATTATTACATCACAATTATATTCATACTAAAATTTTATTATTTATAGACCTTCTGGAACTGAAGATATTGTTCGTGTGTATGCTGAATGTGAGAGTTATTCTGACATTGAAAAACTCACTGCTGAAGTGTCATTATCAGTTTACAATTTAGCAGGAGGAATTGGTGAAAAACCTCAAGTGCCATCATAAATTGAAATGATTGTAAATTTTATCCATAATACATTATACTATTCATTTAATTTTATACTTGTGGAAAAAAATGGTGTGGATGAAATAGTTATGGTTGAAAACAATATTTTTGTATCTATCATTATAAATAAGTTTCAAAGTAAATGTCTCAGAAAAAAAGTATTTTAATAAAGAAATATTTTACAAATATGTATTTTATAGTAATTTATGTACGGATTCTCAACGTATTTATTTGTTATTGCTTCTGTAGGTATGACAACCGTATTGATTTTCTAATTCACAGTTGTTTGAGTAGTAAGAACAAAAGATCCTTTATTTTAATCATTTCAATAATATTTCATTAAATATTGTAAACTGTAAAAATGTGGCAAGACAATTCAGTCAAATTTGATATTGGTTTATCGTAAGTGTAAAAAGTTTCCAAAATGTATAAAAAAATATAATTTGAAAATTATTAAATAGTTTAGTAATAAAATTGTTTGAAACGTGAATAAAGAATTTGTAAAATTGTATTTATTTACAGTCAGATGGAATTAAGATCGGGTGAACATTTAATTGATAAATTAGAACTAATAGAAGATACAAAAGGTAATGCAGGGGATCGCGGTAGACTGTTGGTAACCAATCTCAGACTCATGTGGCATTCAATTGCATATCCTCGTATTAATTTAAGCAAGTTTCTTTTTAATTTTTGTCGTAAAATTTTAAATGACTAAAAATAAACATTTTTCCAACGATTTACGTGTAATAGGTATAGGCTTCAATACTTTTGTTACTATAACAACTAAAGTTATTAATACGGTTGGTGAATACTTTTTAAACATTTTTTTATTCAATTTTCAATAAAAACATCTACTGTACAAACATTTCAGTTATATGGAAGTACTAATCAAGCGTTGTATATTTTAACTTCATTTAAAAATTGTCGGTATGAGTTTGTATTTAGCAATTTGGACACCAGAAGTTCTCGACATTATACTTCAGTGATGGGTGTTCATAGAGCATACATTTCATCAAAAATATATAGAGAAATTAAATTAAGAGTAGGCATCATTAATGATAAAAGATTAACTCTATTACCACAAGAAATTATAAATGAAACGTTACCAGGAGTTTGGAATTTGTCAACAGAACAAGTAACGACTATTTCTGTAGAAAATTTAATTAAAATTTCTTTCACGTGCATCAAAATTAATTTTCAGGGCAATGTCGGAACTTTTATTGTTACTAACATAAGGATAGTTTGGTATGCAGAAATGAATCAACAGTTCAATGTGTCTATGCCTTATTTAACAATAGCTAATGTAAACAAAGTTTTATTTTCTTTAAAAATACATTAATTAAAAAAGAAAAAAACAAAAAATAAATAAAAACTAATATTATAGATGAATGTAAGGAATTCGAAATTTGGACCAACGCTCGTAATAAACAGTACTGAAGCATCTGGTTCTTATATCCTAGGATTCAGAGTTGATCCAGTTTCTAAATTATATTCTCTACACAAGGAATTAACGTCGCTTTACGCAGCATACAACAAATCACCAATTCTAGGTATTGAATATACGTTTGAACACCAGGTAAGAAAACAATAAGTCATTAATTCGATTTAGCCTTGTACGTAAACATACGTGCAATTACAACTTATTGACACATTTTTATATGTACATGTTGTAATGTATATATATTATAATTATGATACATATTATAATTATAATACATATAATTATAATTACAGTCAGTTCCGCAACCTGAATCGATAACAGAAAAATTTACTGAAATCGAGTCATGTGAAGATGAAATATCAAATGCTTTCAATATGTACTTCTCAGAAGGTGGTGTAAATCAAAGAAAGCCAATATTAGCAACAAATTTAGGACTTGCTGCTGAAGAACCAAGAGAAGGAAGTACTTTAGAAACGTTATGGGAATTACTTCCATCTAAGTAATATGAAAAATATCTTGAGATTGATTACTGTATATAAAATTTTTTTTATCAATAGAAAAAAAAGTAATATATTACATCACATTATAATAATTTCTTTTCAGTACTCTCTGTCTTCCTCTTCCTTTCTCCCTCCCTCGCTCACTCTCTCTCTCTCTCTCTCTCTCTCTCTCTCTCTCTCTCTCTCTCTCTCTCTCTCTCTCTCTCTCTCTCTCTCTTCTTTCCCTCATTATAGCGCAGAATGTTAGACACATATATATACACATACAAATACTTGTATACTGTATATACATGTCCTCCTTTATTTATATATGTAACATTATCTTATCAACAAAGCTTAACTTGGTCTGCAATTTAATGGCTGAGTATTTGAGGAATCTTGTCGATCTTCGTTGTCATCTTGACCATTTCCTGAGCCTTGGCCAGGAAATCTGTATCCCATATTAAAAAACATCACCTCATAGTGATCTGTATTCATTCTAATGTGGTTTGCTATTGCAGCATCATTGGAATTTTCAACTTCCCAAACGTTTACACTTCCGTCCTTAAAACGATATTGATTTAAATTTTAGTAATTAACATTCAATATAAAAACACATTATTGGCATAAACAAATAGTATACCTCTGGCATAGGACTCCACAACCTGATAACTGGATCAATACCACTGGTAGCTAATAGACACATGGATGGGTGTGGCTGTAAACAATTCACTATCCTCTGATCTCCTTTTAAAACTCGTGCTATATTTGTTGTATATCTGTCCCAAATAAAGAATGAGCCATCATCTGATCCAGCGATAATGAATTGACCATCACTAAAAGAAATTTGTTAATCAGTTAGATCTATTGTTAAACTACTATTATTTTCAATTTGGTTAACAAATATTTCAAATAGATTATTATATTCTGTTTCAACAATACATAAACTACTTACTCTCCGAAAAAGTTAGCTTCCTTGATATCAGTTATTGTATTGCAATGTCCACACAAACGTAATTTGAAATCAATAGCATTTTTCCGCCACTCTCGCTCGTAGTCTGAAATCTTTACTTCAATTGATTGTTTTGATGCCTGGGACTCTTTATTAGTGTTCATTGCCTCTTTAATATCTTTCCTTAAGGATTTACAAGCAGAATTATTAGTGAATTCTGGGAACTTTTCTGCGAAGTTTTTCATCACAATGTTGGCCTCTTTTACTCTGTTTAAATCGAATAAACATCTTGCCATCCTATGAGCAATCAAATAAACTTATAAACTTTAGTTATAATTACTTAATAATAATGCATCAGTATTTATTTCTCTATATTAACCTGAAATGAGCTTTCACGTGTTCTGGATCGAGAGCTAACGTGACGCGACAATCTCGTAAAGCAGCATATATATCACCATCCCTAATTTGATATAAAACAAATCATAAACTGAGATTTGAGATCGTTTTTTGATTATTTTAATTATTTTTTTAGAAATGATCTAATAAAAGTTACCATGCTCGTTTCATGTAAGTTCCAGCTCTGTTGCCATAAAGTATTGCCGCATTTGGACACAAATCAATTGCATCATTGTACAGTGTTACAGCATTCGCATATCGTTCTTCTTTAAAAGCTTGCTTGGCCTATCAATAAAAATAAATGATAAAAAAATTTTGAAAAGAACAGTTAAAAATAAAAAACAAATTATGATTAGAAAAAATTAGGCAACTGACTCTTTTTTGTAACTCTTCAACTTCGGGACTAAAGTCAGTAAAATTTATTGAAGATAAATCTTCTAATACTACAGGAGTATTGCTGTTCTCTACGATTGGCTCATTTCCATCACCATCATTTGTAACTAGAATTAGTGATAAATATTAATGTAATTGATTTAAATACACTAGAGTTGTACAGTAAAATTATTTTACGCACTTAATTCAACAGGCACAATAAAATTTCTTGAATTTCCATGATTATTAATATCAAATAGATAAATCTGTTCAGCTCCCATATTGACTAGTAATTCATTTCCATCATCACTAAACGTTAAATACGTTGTACAATATTTTTTACAGTTATCTTTGTATCTCAAGTGGCCTATAAATAATAGAAATGTGAATTGACAGATTTTTATAACTGTTATATGTTTATGTACTGACTCTTTTTTAAATACAATCATTTTTCAGTTAATACCTGCAATAAAATATTGAGCACAAGCTAGTGGTACATTATTATCGTAATCTCCTTTGCCAAGATTTAAAACGTTGCTATTTGAAATTGTTGAATCTGGGCTCTGGAAAAGTAGGAAATGTAAGATTTCTGAAGTATCAGTATCATTAATATCAAGTCCATCAATCAAATTAAAACTAAAACAAACATTTGACAGTTTGATCATCCGACGATCATACATCCTAATGTAAGCATCACTGGCTCCAACGGCAATCAGCTCGGGTCTCCTGGGGTTGACATTAATGCATTTGGCCTCAGTGAACCGACCCGTATGATTGGACAAGTTGATCAACACATTCTTTTGAACATTGCTTTTACAAGAATGTGGTACTCGTATATCATACTGCATAATGAGACCATCTTCTGAGGCACTCCAGAATAGGAAGGGCACACCTGGCGCTGTACCAAATCGTTTAACACGTCCATAATGACAATTGCAGACGAGTAATATATCCGAAATCGAGATATCATGCACCCGTATTTTATAGTCTCCAGCACCAGTTACGAGTATTGAGTCGTTTGAGTTTGGCAAAAACTGAAAATGTAATTATCATGTTAAAGTATGGAAATTTTGAAAATGTTTTAATAACAGAGAGTTTATTGTAATCTGTGTGATGTCAAACGAAAAGGATAATTTACCCAATAAGTGAAACTCTTAATTGTGAATACTTTTCATATAGTACATGTAACAATCATATTTCAATTCCATTTATAGTTTCAATGTTTATGACCAGTTATTATTCTCAAAACTGAATAAAAATATACTCATAATATATACTATTTAATATATAGTTACAATTGGATTTTTGCCTCACAAGTGAATTGCTCTGCATTCCATTGTATATTAGACGTTCTTACCTTCACAGTAAAAATATTTCCACTATGTCCAGTTTGGATATTGTATTTTACTTTATAAGAAAATGGATCCCATAAAATGACTCTCATGTCATCTGAGGCTGATGCGAGCATACTGCACCGCACATAATGGAAGTGTTATATTAATACAGATTATTTTGTAAATTAGTTACACATGATATGGTAATAGATGAAAACACTTACGATCCACTTTCATTCCACTCCAAACAATTAACACAACCTTCATGTCCTTCCAGTTCTGTTTCCAGTCCTAGGCGTTTCAGGAAATTTGGTGTAACTTTCAACTTACGACTGATACTCCTAGCAGCTGACTCCTGTAATTATTTGAATAATTCATCTCAACAAATGAAATATGATAGAAATATACTAATAAAAAATTGTATGATACAAAAACACAAAATCATTGGATTTACCTGCAATTCCCTTTGTTGCACTAGGTCTACAACTCTAGAGCCAGGTTTTCTTTTTGTAAATAACTCCATATTTCCAAAATAAGCTGTTTTCTTATAAACTGCATTAATAATTCTTAAAATTGTAAAAAGAATGTTGCATTTCAGTAAAATGATACATTAAGAAATAGAAAGTAAATTGATAAACTAGCGTACTGAGTATACGTACTAGTAATATAACCTAATTTAAAAAAATCAAGAATAAATCCAAAATAACGTCATTTCTAGTCTAAATAGCATCGCATTAATTAATCCGTATATTACTTTCAGACAAAAAACATCGCACGCATTCCACTAATATAAGCCAAGCCGTGAAAAAGACTTAGGAAAAGGTAAATAATATATTAATTTTCACTCGGATATTTTTTAACTAGGAAGCATAAGTCGAACAATCAACAAAAGAGTTATGAAAATGTTTTCAAAGATTCTCAATATTTCGTTGTAAAATATCACTTCGAACTCATGTTTTACTGTCAGCTGATTATATGAAATTTTTTTTTAACTGCTTACAATCGGAACAAGACATAACGTTAAGATTTTCTTTTCATATCTCATGAAGGTAAACTCGTCGTGATGTATTTCCATGGATTACAATAGCAACGAAGCAGTCGAGTACTTTCCCATTTTTGTTTTTGATAAATTTCGAGAAACTACTCCTATCACTTCTATTCATACAACAAACACGTAACCGTATATTCTACTGATTATCGGCAGTGTGTATATGGTTTGTTGTTATTATGATTTTGTGTATATGGTTGTTTGTTATTATGATAGCAGATCATCAGAAGATAAACCTATATTAACAATGTGTCCAAAAGATTATTTAGAAGATTGTGAAAGTCTTTCATCTTATGTGGCTAGTAGTGAGATTGAATATTATGCATATGTTACATACAATCACAACTTATGTTTGATAGATAGTAGATATCCTGTAAATTCAGTTGTTAAAAAGTGGACTCATCAATTCAAAAGAAGTCCACTGTATTGTGATATATGTTTTAGAGGAAACGATGAATTTATTATATTTGCAAGTCAAGTTACTGGAGAAACAGGTATAATATTGAATAATTGGAAGTCAACTGAAGAGCCACCTCAAACATTTGGTACACCATTTACTCCTCCAAGTAATATAGAAACATTAATTGCACTGCAGTCACAAGGGAAATGTCTTAATCCACACATAAGGAATAGATTATCATTATGTAATACAGGTTGTATGGCAACATTTGACCAACAATTAAACAATATATTTCTTTTTACACAAAATTCTGTTAATGACATTTTTTACCAAAGCATCAGTCATCAAGAGACACTAGATCTTTATTCTTTAGAAATCTGCAAGGCTTTGCATAAACTTAAAATATGGGAGAGACAGATTTTGAAAAATGATCACCATGAAATTGTTGCTCCACTTGTAGTAACAAAGAGAACTAGTGCTCGAGAAATGCTTAGAACTTTCATAAATCAGAATCTCCAGCCATCAATAATTACCAAAGATAAGGCAGATAAACAATATGTACCATCATGGAAAAGATCTATAACAGAGCTTAATTCATTTGTTGACATACTCGCCTCGGAGCTATTACTTCCTTGGGAAGTACTAGAAGATGCACCAACATTTCCTATAACTGCAGCACCTCATCAAAAAGTTTTGTCTTGGCTGGGAATGACAGAAAATAATCAACAAGATCCATTACTACTAGATGATAATCATGAGCAGCCAAGGATAGTTACACATGCTCAAAGTCCTAATGCGATTCAAAGACCTAATACATTTGAGGAAAATCATGACAGTGATTTTATACAAGCATTTTTACCCAAAGTCAAATCTCAAGTAACACAGGGTAGCAGAAAAACTAAAAAGAAATCAGATTTTGTTCCGGGTTTTTAGAGTTTAGTATACAAAAGAAAATTATAAATGAGTTTATATAAATATACCAAATTTCTCTAAATTTCATAAAAAGGTAATTTCATACTTTATTCAAAAAGCTCATTTGATATCATTTTTGTATAACTCATATTAGAAAGTTCCTGTTTCGTGTGTACCTACTGGTGTAAAACATTTACATCACAAGGCTATGGAATATGATATTGGAGTTTATTTTGAAGTAAATGGTCATGGTACTGTTATCTTCAAAGATTCTGCTCATAAAACCATCAAAGCTGCTGCTCAAGATAATAGGTATAATAAAAAACATTTTGAGTTAGTCATTACATTAATTCACTAAGGCTCATATCAAAATTAGGTAAGATGACAGATAAATAAAAAAAATTTCCATGTTTTTTGTCGTTTTCAAATATTTATACAAAATTATTTAAATAAATTATCAAAACCGTTAGTCTGTGACTCAAACGTGATCTATAACATAGATTTTAAGATTTTACAACAGAAAATAAATTTTTTTCAAACTCATCAACCCAGTCATCAGCTTGTGTTAGTCAGATAATCATTGCCATCAAAATTTCAAAATTGTTTTATATTCATTTTCCGTAGACAAATTGAAGTCTGACAAAAAATGTTAAATATATTTCTTTTATTTTTTTTCTCGTAGAATAGATTGTCGCAATCAGTTTTTCTTCATAATTTGTTTCAATAATTATTTATAAACAATTACAAACAAAAAATAGGGATATCTTTTTCAATTTACCTATTATTGGCATAGTTTGTTTATTGTTATCTTACCCATTTTTGGCATGGGTCTTAATAGGTTAATATTAATGTTTTAAACATTTTACTTTAGTTTACCTAAAAGTGAACAGAAAGCAGCTTTAATTTTGAAGTATGTTATTGATGTTATTAATCAAACTGTTGGAGATGCTTTGAGTGATATGTTGTTAGTAGAATTAATTTTACATGCTAAGGGATGGGATGTAGTTACATGGCAGGAAAGTTATGAGGACCTTCCTAATAAGCAAGTAAAAGTAAAAGTTCAAGATAGAAATGCAATAACTACTACAGATGCAGAAAGATGTTGTGTAACACCTAAAAGATTGCAGGAAGAAATAAACAAAATTGTATCTAAATATCCGAGAGGGTGTTCTTTTGTGAGGTATATGGAAATTTATTCTGATCCTTCATTATTACATCACAATTATATTCATACTAAAATTTTATTATTTATAGACCTTCTGGAACTGAAGATATTGTTCGTGTGTATGCTGAATGTGAGAGTTATTCTGACATTGAAAAACTCACTGCTGAAGTGTCATTATCAGTTTACAATTTAGCAGGAGGAATTGGTGAAATCCTCAAGTGCCATCATAAATTGAAATGATTGTAAATTTTATCCATAATACATTATACTATTCATTTAATTTTATACTTGTGGAAAAAAATGGTGTGGATGAAATAGTTATGGTTGAAAACAATATTTTTGTATCTATCATTATAAATAAGTTTCAAAGTAAATGTCTCAGAAAAAAAGTATTTTAATAAAGAAATATTTTACAAATATGTATTTTATAGTAATTTATGTACGGATTCTCAACGTATTTATTTGTTATTGCTTCTGTAGGTATGACAACCGTATTGATTTTCTAATTCACAGTTGTTTGAGTAGTAAGAACAAAAGATCCTTTATTTTAATCATTTCAATAATATTTCATTAAATATTGTAAACTGTAAAAATGTGGCAAGACAATTCAGTCAAATTTGATATTGGTTTATCGTAAGTGTAAAAAGTTTCCAAAATGTATAAAAAAATATAATTTGAAAATTATTAAATAGTTAAGTAATAAAATTGTTTGAAACGTGAATAAAGAATTTGTAAAATTGTATTTATTTACAGTCAGATGGAATTAAGATCGGGTGAACATTTAATTGATAAATTAGAACTAATAGAAGATACAAAAGGTAATGCAGGGGATCGCGGTAGACTGTTGGTAACCAATCTCAGACTCATGTGGCATTCAATTGCATATCCTCGTATTAATTTAAGCAAGTTTCTTTTTAATTTTTGTCGTAAAATTTTAAATGACTAAAAATAAACATTTTTCCACCGATTTACGTGTAATAGGTATAGGCTTCAATACTTTTGTTACTATAACAACTAAAGTTATTAATACGGTTGGTGAATACTTTTTAAACATTTTTTTATTCAATTTTCAATAAAAACATCTACTGTACAAACATTTCAGTTATATGGAAGTACTACTCAAGCGTTGTATATTTTAACTTCATTTAAAAATTGTCGGTATGAGTTTGTATTTAGCAATTTGGACACCAGAAGTTCTCGACATTATACTTCAGTAATGGGTGTTCATAGAGCATACATTTCATCAAAAATATATAGAGAAATTAAATTAAGAGTAGGCATCATTAATGATAAAAGATTAACTCTATTACCACAAGAAATTATAAATGAAACGTTACCAGGAGTTTGGAATTTGTCAACAGAACAAGTAACGACTATTTCTGTAGAAAATTTAATTAAAATTTCTTTCACGTGCATCAAAATTAATTTTCAGGGCAATGTCGGAACTTTTATTGTTACTAACATAAGGATAGTTTGGTATGCAGAAATAAATCAACAGTTCAATGTGTCTATGCCTTATTGAACAATAGCTAATGTAAACAAAGTTTTATTTTCTATAAAAATACATTAATTAAACAAGAAAAAAACAAAAAATAAATAAAAACTAATATTATAGATGAATGTAAGGAATTCGAAATTTGGACCAACGCTCGTAATAAACAGTACTGAAGCATCTGGTTCTTATATCCTAGGATTCAGAGTTGATCCAGTTTCTAAATTATATTCTCTACACAAGGAATTAACGTCGCTTTACGCAGCATACAACAAATCACCAATTCTAGGTATTGAATATACACTCCCGCCCAATAATCTTTGCCCACCTAAGAACAAAACGACTATAAATTTTAAACTCCATATCTCGGCTGGAAATACACCTACAGAGCTCTACGTGGGCTCATTTGAAAGGGTTTTTCGAGCACTTTTCAATGGTGTATATTAAAATCATGCTTAGATATTTCCCTTGGAGATAGGGCGACGAATATCAAAACAAAAATTACGAAATTTTTGCTTTTTCTTTAATCGCTTGCCATTTCGAGAAATAAAATCGTAGAAAAATTCTAAACATAGCATTTTTTAGCTCTTTTTCTGCACTATCCAAAACACTCACTCAAAAATAATTTTCGTCTAAATTCAGCGATTATATGAGCATTTCATTCAAAAACAGCATCTATATTCATTGCTCTGTAACTCGGAAAATTCGAGTTGTAGAAAAAAATTTTCTTGGAAGAAAACGTTCTATTTTGTAAGTAGAATACGTGAACGAAATTTCATAATCATATGAAAACATTTTTTTTTCAGTCGTAATATCAAGTAGTCTAATTTTGTCAATATTTCACTTTGGAATAATAAAACAGATCATTTATACTCGAAGCTATTCTATTAATTGTAGACAAATTTTAATTGTATGCAAATCTCGATCAACGAAAAATCTAAGTAGAAAAATTAATCTAATCTACCAAAACTGACATAACTAATGATTAGTGAAAAAAATTTTTTTTTAATGTTGTTCTAATCTCCTAAAAAATTGTTTACCATAGTAACATATTATTGAAGTATGGCACCGAGAGATTTTAGTAAACGTTATCAAGTTATTGGATTTCACATAAATGGTAAAAGCAATCGTCAGATTGCTAGTATTCTCAATATTCCTCGTCGAACCGTAGACTACAATGTAAATAAATTTAAAAGTAGCGGCAGTGTTGAAGACAAAAAGCGCTCTGGTAGACCGCGGAAACGATTGCTTTTACCATTTATGTGAAATCCAATAACTTGATAACGTTTACTAAAATCTCTCGGTGCCATACTTCAATAATATGTTACTATGGTAAACAATTTTTTAGGAGATTAGAACAACATTAAAAAAAAATTTTTTTCACTAATCATTAGTTATGTCAGTTTTGGTAGATTAGATTAATTTTTCTACTTAGATTTTTCGTTGATCGAGATTTGCATACAATTAAAATTTGTCTACAATTAATAGAATAGCTTCGAGTATAAATGATCTGTTTTATTATTCCAAAGTGAAATATTGACAAAATTAGACTACTTGATATTACGACTGAAAAAAAAATGTTTTCATATGATTATGAAATTTCGTTCACGTATTCTACTTACAAAATAGAACGTTTTCTTCCAAGAAAATTTTTTTCTACAACTCGAATTTTCCGAGTTACAGAGCAATGAATATAGATGCTGTTTTTGAATGAAATGCTCATATAATCGCTGAATTTAGACGAAAATTATTTTTGAGTGAGTGTTTTGGATAGTGCAGAAAAAGAGCTAAAAAATGCTATGTTTAGAATTTTTCTACGATTTTATTTCTCGAAATGGCAAGCGATTAAAGAAAAAGCAAAAATTTCGTAATTTTTGTTTTGATATTCGTCGCCCTATCTCCAAGGGAAATATCTAAGCATGATTTTAATATACACCATTGAAAAGTGCTCGAAAAACCCTTTCAAATGAGCCCACGTAGAGCTCTGTAGGTGTATTTCCAGCCGAGATATGGAGTTTAAAATTTATAGTCGTTTTGTTCTTAGGTGGGCAAAGATTATTGGGCGGGAGTGTACGTTTGAACACCAGGTAAGAAAACAATAAGTCATTAATTTGATTTAGCCTTGTACATAAACATACGTGCATTTACAACTTATTGATACATTTTTGTATGTACATGTTGTAATGTATATATATTATAATTATGATACATATTATAATTATAATACATATAATTATAATTACAGTCAGTTCCGCAACCTGAATCGATAACAGAAAAATTTACTGAAATCGAGTCATGTGAAGATGAAATATCAAATGCTTTCAATATGTACTTCTCAGAAGGTGGTGTAAATCAAAGAAAGCCAATATTAGCAACAAATTTAGGACTTGCTGCTGAAGAACCAAGAGAAGGAAGTACTTTAGAAACGTTATGGGAATTACTTCCATCTAAGTAATATGAAAAATATCTTGAGATTGATTACTGTATATAAAATTTTTTTTATCAATAGAAGAAAAAGTAATATATTACATCACATTATAATAATTTCTTTTCAGTACTCTCTCTTCCTCTTCCTTTCTCCCTCCCTCGCTCACTCTCTCCCTCTCTCTCTCTCTCTCTCTCTCTCTCTCTTTCTTTCCCTCATTATAGCGCAGAATGTTAGACACATATATGTACACATACAAATACTTGTATACTGTATATACATGTCCTCCTTTATTTATATATGTAACATTATCTTATCAACAAAGCTTAACTTGGTCTGCAATTTAATGGCTGAGTATTTGAGGAATCTTGTCGATCTTCGTTGTCATCTTGACCATTTCCTGAGCCTTGGCCAGGAAATCTGTATCCCATATTCCAAAACATCACCTCAAAATGATCTGTATTCATTCTAATGTAGTTTGCTATTGCAGCATCATTGGAATTTTCAACTTCCCAAACGTTTACACTTCCGTCCTTAAAACGATATTAATTTAAATTTTAGTAATTAACATTCAATATAAAAATATATTATTGGCATAAAAAAATAGTATACCTCTGGCATAGGACTCCACAACCTGATAACTGGATCAATACCACTGGTAGCTAATAGACACATGGATGGGTGTGGCTGTAAACAATTCACTATCATCTGATCTCCTTTTAAAACTCGTGCTATATTTGTTGTATATCTGTCCCAAATAAAGAATGAGCCATCATCTGATCCAGCGATAATGAATTGACCATCGCTAAAAGAAATTTATTAATCAGTGAGATCTATTGTTAAACTACTATTATTGTCAATTTTGTTAACAAATATTTCAAGTAGATTATAATATTCTGTTTCAACAATAAACTACTTACTCTCCGAAAAAGTTAGCTTCCTTGATATCAGTTATTGTATTGCAATGTCCACACAAACGTAATTTGAAATCAATAGCATTTTTCCGCCACTCTCGCTCGTAGTCTGAAATCTTTACTTCAATTGATTGTTTTGATGCCTGGGACTCTTTATTAGTGTTCATTGCCTCTTTAATATCTTTCCTTAAGGATTTACAAGCAGAATTATTAGTGAATTCTGGGAACTTTTCTGCGAAGTTTTTCATCACAATGTTGGCCTCTTTTACTCTGTTTAAATCGAATAAACATCTTGCCAACCTATGAGCAATCAAATAAACTTATAAACTTTAGTTATAATTACTTAATAATAATGCATCAGTATTTATTTCTCTATATTAACCTGAAATGAGCTTTCACGTGTTCTGGATCGAGAGCTAACGTGACGCGACAATCTCGTAAAGCAGCATATATATCACCATCCCTAATTTGATATAAAACAAATCATAAACTGAGATTTGAGATCGTTTTTTGATTATTTTAATTATTTTTTTAGAAATGATCTAATAAAAGTTACCATGCTCGTTTCATGTAAGTTCCAGCTCTGTTGCCATAAAGTATTGCCGCATTTGGACACAAATCAATTGCATCATTGTACAGTGTTACAGCATTCGCATATCGTTCTTCTTTAAAAGCTTGCTTGGCCTATCAATAAAAATAAATGATAAAAAAATTTTGAAAAGAACAGTTAAAAATAAAAAACAAATTATGATTAGAAAAAATTAGGCAACTGACTCTTTTTTGTAACTCTTCAACTTCGGGACTAAAGTCAGTAAAATTTATTGAAGATAAATCTTCTAATACTACAGGAGTATTGCTGTTCTCTACGATTGGCTCATTTCCATCACCATCATTTGTAACTAGAATTAGTGATAAATATTAATGTAATTGATTTAAATACACTAGAGTTGTACAGTAAAATTATTTTACGCACTTAATTCAACAGGCACAATAAAATTTCTTGAATTTCCATGATTATTAATATCAAATAGATAAATCTGTTCAGCTCCCATATTGACTAGTAATTCATTTCCATCATCACTAAACGTTAAATACGTTGTACAATATTTTTTACAGTTATCTTTGTATCTCAAGTGGCCTATAAATAATAGAAATGTGAATTGACAGATTTTTATAACTGTTATATGTTTATGTACTGACTCTTTTTTAAATACAATCATTTTTCAGTTAATACCTGCAATAAAATATTGAGCACAAGCTAGTGGTACATTATTATCGTAATCTCCTTTGCCAAGATTTAAAACGTTGCTATTTGAAATTGTTGAATCTGGGCTCTGGAAAAGTAGGAAATGTAAGATTTCTGAAGTATCAGTATCATTAATATCAAGTCCATCAATCAAATTAAAACTAAAACAAACATTTGACAGTTTGATCATCCGACGATCATACATCCTAATGTAAGCATCACTGGCTCCAACGGCAATCAGCTCGGGTCTCCTGGGGTTGACATTAATGCATTTGGCCTCAGTGAACCGACCCGTATGATTGGACAAGTTGATCAACACATTCTTTTGAACATTGCTTTTACAAGAATGTGGTACTCGTATATCATACTGCATAATGAGACCATCTTCTGAGGCACTCCAGAATAGGAAGGGCACACCTGGCGCTGTACCAAATCGTTTAACACGTCCATAATGACAATTGCAGACGAGTAATATATCCGAAATCGAGATATCATGCACCCGTATTTTATAGTCTCCAGCACCAGTTACGAGTATTGAGTCGTTTGAGTTTGGCAAAAACTGAAAATGTAATTATCATGTTAAAGTATGGAAATTTTGAAAATGTTTTAATAACAGAGAGTTTATTGTAATCTGTGTGATGTCAAACGAAAAGGATAATTTACCCAATAAGTGAAACTCTTAATTGTGAATACTTTTCATATAGTACATGTAACAATCATATTTCAATTCCATTTATAGTTTCAATGTTTATGACCAGTTATTATTCTCAAAACTGAATAAAAATATACTCATAATATATACTATTTAATATATAGTTACAATTGGATTTTTGCCTCACAAGTGAATTGCTCTGCATTCCATTGTATATTAGACGTTCTTACCTTCACAGTAAAAATATTTCCACTATGTCCAGTTTGGATATTGTATTTTACTTTATAAGAAAATGGATCCCATAAAATGACTCTCATGTCATCTGAGGCTGATGCGAGCATACTGCACCGCACATAATGGAAGTGTTATATTAATACAGATTATTTTGTAAATTAGTTACACATGATATGGTAATAGATGAAAACACTTACGATCCACTTTCATTCCACTCCAAACAATTAACACAACCTTCATGTCCTTCCAGTTCTGTTTCCAGTCCTAGGCGTTTCAGGAAATTTGGTGTAACTTTCAACTTACGACTGATACTCCTAGCAGCTGACTCCTGTAATTATTTGAATAATTCATCTCAACAAATGAAATATGATAGAAATATACTAATAAAAAATTGTATGATACAAAAACACATAATCATTGGATTTACCTGCAATTCCCTTTGTTGCACTAGGTCTACAACTCTAGAGCCAGGTTTTCTTTTTGTAAATAACTCCATATTTCCAAAATAAGCTGTTTTCTTATAAACTGCATTAATAATTCTTAAAATTGTAAAAAGAATGTTGCATTTCAGTAAAATGATACATTAAGAAATAGAAAGTAAATTGATAAACTAGCATACTGAGTATACGTACTAGTAATATAACCTAATTTAAAAAAATCAAGAATAAATCCAAAATAACGTCATTTCTAGTCTAAATAGCATCGCATTAATTAATCCGTATATTACTTTCAGACAAAAAACATCGCACGCATTCCACTAATATAAGCCAAGCCGTGAAAAAGACTTAGGAAAAGGTAAATAATATATTAATTTTCACTCGGATATTTTTTAACTAGGAAGCATAAGTCGAACAATCAACAAAAGAGTTATGAAAATGTTTTCAAAGATTCTCAATATTTCGTTGTAAAATATCACTTCGAACTCATGTTTTACTGTCAGCTGATTATATGAAATTTTTTTTTAACTGCTTACAATCGGAACAAGACATAACGTTAAGATTTTCTTTTCATATCTCATGAAGGTAAACTCGTCGTGATGTATTTCCATGGATTACAATAGCAACGAAGCAGTCGAGTACTTTCCCATTTTTGTTTTTGATAAATTTCGAGAAACTACTCCTATCACTTCTATTCATACAACAAACACGTAACCGTATATTCTACTGATTATCGGCAGTGTGTATATGGTTTGTTGTTATTTATGCAAGCGCCTCAAGCCAAGCATGCCTCATGTCTCTACCCCTACTTTGTTGTTAATTAATATACAAAAGTGTATGTAGGCTCCATTAATTGCTCTCAGTGAGCTACCTCCGGAAAACATTTTGCTCTCTTCGTAAAAATTGTTTAACAAAAGTTATTAATAAATTAAAACTTTGTTATAAATTTTCTAATTAATTATACAATATTTTCAGCGAAAAGTTTGTTCATTTCATTCGTTAATCGATAATAAATATTGCTGTCAAGTCAAACCTCGCTAAAATAATTAATATTTGCAAAAAGTTAAAAGCAAATATTGGCAATTAACTCCCACGCGGTACATATGTAGTACTAGTTTGGTCATGATATAGTCTTTATACTTTCTATGAGTATATAGTGTAGTGCATGTCTCTCTGGGGCGGATTTCTATAACTTTTACCCCCTTTATCCCAACCCACAAAATGTAGTGGTCAGTGAAAAAAAAATACCATTCGAAATATCTCTAAGTGAGCCCTCGAAAGTGATTATTAATTTAATTGAACCCTTTTAGTTGTTCCAAAAAAATTAAGAACTATGTATATTTTTTGGTTTTTTGCAACTACGAAATTTTTAGCAACACTTCATATTTTTGCAAAGAAACACGACAAAAAAATTGTACCCTTGCTTATTTTAATTGAGCCCCTCTTTTACTTTTTAAAAATTTATTAATATATACGTCAAAAATAACAATCTAATTTTATTATATGTTCATACGAAAACGCATGCGCGTTAACTGATCCTTTTAGTAAGAACATACAATAAAATAAGATTGTTGTTTTTGACATATATATTAATCATTTTGAAAAAGTAAGTGGGTTCAATTCAAATAATGATCATTTTTGGAGAGTCGGGTTGGGTTCAATCAAAGATATTTCGAATGGTATTTTTTTTTCACTGTTCACTACACTTTGTTGGCTGGGAACTTTTGGTATGTGTATAGAGAGTACGGTAGCACTGTAGTAGGAGCGCGCGGTACGCTGTATGTATGTACACTAGTCAAAGTCGAAAATATTTACCATCTCCGAAGGTGCACATTTTGAATACAAAGACGAGTAAGTTGCGTCCACAACGCTTTGACAGGAGCTTAGGTCGTGTAAATAATAATAATTAAATTATATGGTACGGTGACAAACAATAAGTATGATACAGAAATACTTTACCAAAACTTTGAAAATAATATTGTTTACATTTTGTTCAAATTTTATTTATTTTAAGTAATTAATAACCCAATAACCCAACTTTTTGAAAATTCTATATTTTTAGATTTTTAACATATTCAGTTTATCCTATTGAACAACAATTATCGTAACAAATTTCTTAATATAAGAAATTTTTTTATAACCCATATAACCATATAACTCACATAACTCATATAACCCAATAACCCACCTTTTTGAAAATTTTATATTTTTTAATTTTCGATATATTTAATTAATTCTATTGAACAACTAGTATTTTCCGTAGCATCAATTTCTTGATATAAGAAATTTCTATATAACCCATATAAAAAAATATTTACCAAATTATTTACACGAGAATTCGAAAGACAAAAAGGCTTAATTTGGATACTAAGTAACCTGCCAGGCGCGCAAGTTACGACACTCGTGTGCGAGAGAGCTTGGGATGGGAAGTAGAAGGTAGTCAAAATTTAATCCTACAATTATAAATCCTAATACTGACAATTTATTTATTGCAAACAAAAATAAAGAAAATTACAATTTTAATTAAAACAGAAAAAAAAACAATAGTAGAAAAAAAAATAATAGTGTTCCGTCTGGACAAACGCTTGGGGTGAAGTGGTGTTCTCGGAGAGGTACTAAACCCTTATAAATCGGCATTTCTGCGTGGCATACGGCGGTGAGTCTTCGGCAGACTTGGACAATCAAAGGTCGTTCAGCGATTGCCTGAGTCTGCGACACCGTGGTCGTCATGCACGCGCCTGGAAGAAAACGAAGAGAGTGAAAAGAGAGAGAGAGAGAGAGAGAGAGGAGAGCTTGCGCTATGCTTGTCGCCTTCGGCTTCCACACCTTCTTCTCTGGTGGACTCGGGCCTCGGTGGTAATAAAGTGAACGCCGACGGATGTGCTGCAGAGGTCAGAGACAACCCGGCTTACGAGAGCTATAGCCAACCAAACCACAACGCAGAGTCCTGCAGCAATCCGCAACGGTGAATCCTGGTCGTCCTCCTCGTTGTTCCCACCGGCGTCTCACCGGACAGAATCTACCAGCCGAACTCTTTCAATTTCCTCTCTTTTTGCTCTTTTTTATTTTCCCTTCCCTCTCCTCTCTCCACGCACCTCCTTGCCTTCACGGCCCACCGAAAGTCACGTAGCTCATCTGTTCTCATCTCCTGAGCCGCTAATCCACACCTCAAGAAAAGTCATCTGAATGTAATTTTAAGTTTTCATCGAGTATTAAATAATTTATTGTATGGCAATCACTTTTTCCGATCATTAAAAAATCTAGATAGTGAAATCGTAAAACAATATGAAGTTTATACAATTTAAAAAATTAAATTTTTATCAATGAAGTATTAAAGTGATAAAAATTATATTAGATACTAATTGTAATGGCTAGTATTAAAATGGAATCTGAACACGGTGATTAATTATGCTAATCAACTAAGGACATTGAGGTTTTTACGGAACAAGATATTGTGACTGCTGCTCAACGAGTCACTGGCGAAAATTCTATTTTAGTTTTAAAATATGATTTTCATTTTTATTCCCAAGAAAATCTCGGTATGCTAGGATCTTATCGGATTCTCAAGATTACGGTTTAAATAATAAACAGTGACCTCTTTTTCTCAGTCATTAATATGTCTCTTATAAAAATTTATTCAATGTCGTCTGAAAATTAATATATGTTTTTTTAGAGTACAAACGATGGCAGTGCCAAAAATCTTGAATTATTCGTCAAATCCATGCCTCGTAAGAAACCTGAGTAATTGAATTATGTTACAAGTCTAGGTGTATTCGTAAAAGAAACATTGCTTTTTGAAAAAATTATTCCTTTAAGTGAAGGATGCAGGGCAACAACTTGTTATTTGATCAAAGAAGATTTACTATTCGCTGTGAACATGTAGAGAGAGGGGATAGCAGCGCTAGCGTCAATCTTAACATTGGTTCTTATGGAAATTTCCCACTTTTACGCCGACGGCGGCCACGGAACTAATTTCTTACCATAAAATTTAACATACATGACTTTTCCAGCTTTTTGAGGGCGCCACCAAACTTGCTCACAGTGAATAATCATAGAGAATTTGCGATCTCAAGGTTACAGGATACTTGATATATATACATACATACATACATTCACATGTATATTACATCATGGAGACTATAGATAATATACATATATATAAAGTCTCCGCTCATAGAGCTTCATCTTTAGTATATCTCTAATGGGGCAAAGGGGAAAAATAAAAATTAATTCTTAGCTTTCTAGCTGTGATAATCAATCAGTCTGATTTCCCACCAAGGAATGTACCACCGTATATACAAAATAATGAAGTTTCTATATTCACTGAATCCACAATAGCAAATTGTTTTTATAATTTTTTCGTTAAAAAATCCATCATATTCATTCAAAAAATTAAAACTTTTAATAAAATAACCTAATGGTAAATACATAAAAACAAAAATCAGAAAATTTTAAAAGATTGTCCACAGTAATGTAAGTATATGTAATGTTAGATGTATTTTTTATAAAGTACTTGTAAATTATAAAATTTAAATTTGATTAATTCTCTGTGAGAAATGATTATTCGATATAATTGTGATACTGTTTACAGATTATAGATGTTTTCTATTCTTTACATTTGACTTTCCTGTTTGTTTGAATTACATGACCTACTGGTCACTAGATTCATAATTTAATAGAATGATAAAAGTGATAAACAATCAAAAGAAGGATGAAGTTAGTTTGTAGCATTGAAGTTTTTCATAGGCACTTAACATTTGTACCAAATATTAGGAGAAGGAAACCTCAACAGTCCTGTTTAGCATTAGGAAGGCAATCTGTTAAAAGTGAAGATGTTTACTTATTACTCCAGACTCAGACAAATAAAGTTGGTACAAAGTTCAAGGTATATCATTTATCATTGTTAAACATAGTTTACTATTATTGTACTTTAAATAAATTAATCAAATAAATTTATTTAGGTTAACAATAATATTGAAAAACTCTTTACAAGGTGTATTGATGAGGGAAAGGCCACAATCAGATTAATAGAACCACCTGTTGATATAAACTTGCAAGGAGATAAACTACAAATAAAAAGCTTTTTAAATGTATTAAAGCTTTGTTTACAAAAGAAATATGATCCTGCAATTTTGAATTTGTCCAATCTTACTCCAAAAATATTAAAAGCAACTCCTAAAACAACACTAGTTATAAAGAAAAAGTCTGATTATCCAGTTTTAGAAGGTTTTCCAAGAATAACTGTAGAATTACATATTGTAAACCTACAGAGAAAATCTTTTGATAGACAAATTTTAAAACTACAAAGTTTGAGAGTTCTAAATTTATCAGAAAATTTAATAACAAGCCTTCCCGCAGAAGTAGGTAATCTTCCACATTTGCAAGAATTATATTTAGCTGATAATCAATTGGGAAAAAGTCCAATCTCTAAATGGACATGGATGAATGGTATCAATATTTCAAGAAACTTACGCTTATTAAATCTATGTTCTAATCAAGTAAAGAGTATTTTAAATTGCACTTAAATCTTAATACACAATATTTTAACATTTATTAATGTAAATAATTTCAGATATTTAAAGTTCCTGATCAAATTGGTAAACTACATGGTTTAGTATCTTTATATCTAACCAATAATAAAATTTCTGCCTTACCTCAAGGAATTGGAAATTTGAAGAACTTAAAGTTCTTAATGGTAGCTAAAAATAAGTTGTTGACTTTACCTGGAAGCATGAAAAATATTCGATTGTCTGAACTAGATGTATCAGATAATGCTTTTCAAATGCGTTGTGATAGTACACTATGTAGTTCTGATGTGAAAGTGCCTAGTCTAGTTGATCTTACAGCACGAGTTGTAGTAAAAAAAAGGTAAAAAATTTTTTGAAATTTTATGTCTTTTATCGTTAAAAAAATTATATTACTTTAGTTTTTAAAAACAATTTCAGGATGTATTATGATGCATCAATCATTCCATATACTTTGGTCTGTTATATAGATAAAGCAAATTACTGTCTATGTGGGATGCCTTGTTTTGGATCTTTTATACAAAAATTTATGCCAGTGAATTTATCTGATATTACTAACGCCGTTAAATTTACGGACCGGAATGACGTATTACTTGAATGTTACTTTTGTTCAATCAAATGTTGTGCGAAATACTACAGTTCTAGTTAAAGGGTCGATTTTTAATTTTATTGTGAATTAGTTTTTACTTATAACTGTGTAAGACGAAAAGTTTAAAAGCTCGAAGTGCCTTATATATATATTGCATTTATTTAACTTGAGATTTTTCATGAAATATTGTTTTTTATGTTACTCGATATTTTGTACATGCATATATACATCTTTTATATAAAACACATGATCAAACTATCTATTAATTTCCTTCTAATACTTTCCTTGAATAAATTCCTGTTCAAAATATATTTATTCTAAAATTATACTTATTGCATAAAAACGTTATATTGAGAAATTTTAAAGGAAGCCGCCAATTTCATAGGAAATTACGTACCATGAACACTAGCTTGATACACGTATTTATTTAGCAGCATGCACTGCGTTGTACAAGTAGTCCAAAGTTCCTTTCTGTATCCGCATGGCGTGTGTATAGGTAGGTTTTTGTAATATTTTTATCAATTTTTGCTTGGTAAAATAAGTAATTAACTTTATTATATACCATTTATTGTTTAAATTATTGTAAAAAATGTCGTCCAGTATTTAAACCCAAATTTTCCTAAGTAATTCAATGGTTTTTAAATAAAAAACTAAATGACACATGGCACGTTATCTCGGCATTTACGTTTAATGACGATAACCTCATCATTTTCGTTATTCTCGATTGTGAATAAAATTTCACAATATTTAAATATATATTAAATATACAACCAACTTGTTGATGATCCCATTTTTTTATATCACATTTTTTTATAGTCTTGCTATTTTGGAGTTTTTATAGTTAGTTTTACTTTCTCCTGCATTAATTGTGTTGAAAATACATTGTACACGAACCAATTCATTTTTTTGAATTTTATTGAGGCTTTGGAGTATATGTTTTAATCTTAATTTATTGAATAAGTCGTAATGTGATCAAAAGTACTATAAATTTATTGTTATGATTGAATTTATCAAGTTAGCGTATCTTGCTGAGGTTTGAAGGTAATTGCTCGCTCAACGTATTACAGATAAGAATATTTTTAAATTAATTATCTTTAATATTTTTCATTGAATGATTTTTTAAGTTATAGATTTGCAGGAAAAAATAGTTTTCCTATTATTGATTCATAATAAATTAACAATATGAAACTTCAAAATTGCAATATTATAAGTTTATTTGTTGATACATATCAACTCTGTAATTTTAATAAAAACAAGCTATAAGTGAAGTTTAAATTTGATATCAAAGTGTGGCAGAGGTAAGTGATTTGTATCGTGTACAATGTATTTACCTAGTAAAATAATCTTATTGCTAACATACATTGTTTGAAATGCAACTAATTTTTACTTTTCAGGCTTTATTCATCTGGCTATTGGTAAATTTCAAAAGCCAATATGCCGCAAAATGAATATATTGAGCGGCATAGAAAGCTATACGGACGAAGATTGGATTATGAAGAACGTAAAAGAAAAAGAAAAGCTCGAGCTCCTCATAAGCTTTCACAAAAAGCTCGTAGTTTGAGAGGTATCAAAGCTAAGATATTCAACAAAGAAAGAAGAAATGAAAAGATACAAATGAAAAAGAAGATTAAAGCTTATGAAGAAAAGGATGTTAAAAAGAAAGCAGAACCTACGCCAGAAGGAGCATTGCCTGTTTATCTACTTGATCGTGATGTCACATCAAGAGCTAAAGTTCTGTCTAATATGATAAAACAAAAAAGAAAAGAAAAAGCTGGTAAATGGGATGTTCCAATACCTAAAGTTAAAGCACAATCTGACTCAGAAGTATTTAAAGTTCTGAAAAGTGGAAAATCCAAGAGGAAATCATGGAAAAGAATGGTTACTAAAGTCACATTTGTAGGAGAGAATTTCACAAGAAAACCACCAAAGTTTGAAAGATTTATCAGACCAATGGGATTGAGGTTCAAGAAAGTTCATGTTACACATCCAGAATTAAAAGCTACTTTTTATTTACCAATTATTGGTGTTAAAAGAAATCCAAACTCACCAATGTATACCACTTTGGGTGTTATTACAAAGGGTACAATATTAGAAGTTAATATTTCAGAATTAGGTTTAGTTACACAAACTGGTAAAGTTGTTTGGGGTAAATATGCTCAAGTTACAAATAATCCAGAAAATGATGGATGTATCAATGCAGTACTATTAGTTTAAAAATAATTCTACAAAAAATGTTGTAAAAGTTATATTGGAAAATGTGACTTGTGGTAATCAATTTTTCTGATAAAATAAACCATTTAAATAAAATAAAACGTTGTATTTTTTGTTCCTCCATAGCTTCTTTTTTCTTAATTGAAATAGAATTTAATTGGATGAAATTTCCATATAATAGAAGTTGAACTTTTAAAATAATTTGATATTTACTTTTCAGGGCAGCCTCATCATGCAGATTTTTGTTAAAACATTAACGGGCAAGACCATCACTCTTGAGGTTGAAGCCTCTGATACAATCGAAAATGTCAAAGCAAAGATCCAAGACAAAGAAGGTAAACATATTTCTTTTAATGACTGTCCCTTATTCCTTTACACATATGTACATTGAGATTTTAAATCTTTAAAACATAGATTAAATTCAAACTTCAGTAGCAAATATGCGTTACTTTACAGTTTTTGTAATGATTGTGAAATTTTAGTACTATACATAATGCATTCAAAGTAATTGATCAAAATAAATATTGCAAAGAGTTAATTTTTAGTTACAAATTTTATTAAAACATTTAATCCTATTTATTATTATATTTTTAGAATATTTGATTTGCTAATATATTTGTTTGATACTCCGTGGGTGAGAACTTGATCATAATTCTTTTGAATAAAAACAGTTGTGATTAAAAAATTTTGCTATGAGACAAAATTAAAAATATATTGTAACCATAAAAAACTATTAAAATGTTGATGTTTTATCAAAGATTATCTAACAAAAAAAAATAATACCTGGAATGTTTTGCATGTTTAAATGAAATAATAATTATGTAATTTTGTTAATCTTTGATTTAAAGCATTCTTTTATAAACAAAATTAGTCAAAGTTACATAAAAAACTGATTAAATTTTTGTGTTCATAAGAGGTAATCATTTAGGTATTTTACTTTATAAAAATTTGATTTCTTTAATAGTCAGATTCAAAATTCATTAAAGTAATGAATGAAGTTTGATTATTTCTAATTGATTAAATCCTTTAAAGGTATTCCACCTGATCAGCAAAGGTTGATCTTTGCTGGTAAACAACTTGAAGATGGAAGGACGCTGTCTGATTACAACATACAGAAAGAATCCACACTTCACCTTGTGCTTCGTCTGCGTGGTGGTGCTAAAAAGCGCAAGAAGAAGAATTACTCTACTCCAAAAAAGATTAAACATAAGAAGAAGAAAGTCAAACTCGCTGTATTAAAATTCTACAAGGTTTATTTAAATATCTGATTTGATTACTTCAATAAAGTATGCGAAATTTCCAATTCACACTGTTTGTTTATTTACAGGTTGATGAAAACGGTAAAATTCACCGTTTGAGACGAGAATGCCCCTCTGAACAGTGTGGAGCTGGAGTTTTTATGGCTGCGATGGAAGACAGGCATTACTGTGGAAAGTGCGGATACACCCTTGTTTTCAACAAACCCGAGGACAAATGAGTACGGAGTATATAATCTGTATTTACTTTTATTATAATAAATTTAAGTAAAAATTACCAGCAAGAAATGTTATACTTGTATATCCTTTTTTATTATATAAGAAAAAAGAGAGGGGGATGAATTAACAAAGCGAATTTTTCCCAATTAAATTTGTATTTTATTAAAGTTCAAAAAAATAATTCTAAGCTGAATACACAGTATATAATTAACTTGTAATCAATTACGCTCATCACTTAAGACCGCTGGTATGAAGCACATACGCGTATTTAATTTTTTCCTATAGATTACTTTTAACTAACTTTAAATTATAATACACGGCAACTTCAACACCTTAATAGTAAATTTCTAATAAATTATTATTTACAAGACTTAATAACAATTATGTATTGTGTGCGACATGATCAAAATTAATTTTGTACAATTGCTTTGTGGTTTTTCCGCTTTTCCACAACTACATCGCAAAACTCACATAGTTAAAAACCTATCTTACAAAAAAAATCTATAACAATTCATTAATCCTAGTCTACTTCTTATTTCCAATAAAGAACATTATATCTTATTTTCTTACACAACTAGTAACTGTTAACAAAATATGATTTTACTTGTATAAAGTAAACGCAATTTTTCTATGTACAGCCATTAAAAATAGAAAAACATCGATTGAAACATTTTTCCGCATACCGATGACGTATTGCAATAAAAAATTAATTGATAACTGTTTCTAATATATGAAATAAAAAGTTTTCAATATAAATACGGCTTTCAAATGCACTTTAAAATGTTCTTTTTGAAAATAAGAACTAGCAATAAAGATCCTCTACAGCGACTTACAACTCATAAAAATACATGCAGTGAAGGTAACGGTTTCAAAGGTACCATTGACAAATTTTGAATTTTAAAACAACATATAGTTGCATTGTTTTAGAAGCGTATATTCAATTGTCACATGTAATCTATACTAAATTTTCCATTTAATTTTTGTAAAAGAAAATTACTACAGTAGTCATTTGCGAATGATACCACGCATAAAGAATAGAAGATTCTTTAAAATTTTAGTATTTAGTGTCTACACGTGTATGAGCTGTAGGTCGCAATGTCAGAACTTTCAAAAATGATTCATGTTTTTACAACCATAACATATTTTTGTGATGTAATAAATCAATTTCGGCAAATTTATTGCAATATTTGAAAATTAACTGTTCAAAAAAAGAACTTATTGTAATTGAAGTGTAGGAAACACAGCCTTGAGCAGCTTTTGAAAATATTCAACGTTATTAACTCCTGTAAAAGCTCTTTCATAGTTCAGAATTATGAGGCTGTTCATTTTGTGGACTATGGGTTTTTAATCCTGGTTTTAATACTGAGAACATTTTTTCAGTCGTCGTTGGGTGAATACTCATCTGCAGTTGCGTTAACGATTCCTCTGTCTTTGTGTTTATTATAAAAAGTAGCAATATTACAATTCATAGTTCTGAAGGAGAAGGCTTTAATAATTTCTCACATGAATCAATTACCTGTCTAAGTAGTTGCGCTGCTGTATGCAGTACCCTTTGCCACTTTTTTATTTCTACATTATGCAAGCTTTCTTGTTGCTGAAGTAAATTTATCCAATCTTCTTCAGTTTTTGGTGTAATTCTGCAGGAAGAAAGATAAATATTTAGTAAGTTTTTGTACCGAAATGTTCATGAAAATTTAAATAAATTTTTTAAAATTACTTCAAAACATGAAGATCCATTACAGTGTAAGTGGCAGCTTCTTCTAAACTGTACAACTTGTAATATAGCAGCCCATTAACAATCATTAAGCACAGTACAGCTGCTAGAAGTACCCAACTAAGAATAGCACTATTATCTCCTCTGGTATCTGGAACTGCAAAGTGTAAATTAAATTCAATGTCACGTGATAAACCAAACAGAACAAAAGCTTTAAGTCAAATGAATTTTTACACATCATACCACTAATATTACGAATATGAGGTACGTCCACTATAGGTGGCTGATGAGTATAGGCTGAATGATCAGGGGAATGAGTCTGTATTGTAACACCAGTAGAAGTAACGCGTCTCCTTCGTCTGGCTTTTCTTTTCAGACCAACAGTATTTGCACCAGTTTCTTCACACTCTACAGCCAAAGCTTTTATCAAGCTATTGAAATAATCTTGCATTCCAGCCCAACAATTTTTTTCTATAAAACCTATCAGAACAAGTGAAAAAAATTTTCAGTTTTTTTTGTCTGCTTTGAAATGTTCGAAATTAAATAAAAACTTACTTTTAACAAGACCCCACACATTTCTCTTATACTTAATCTCAGAATATACTGCAAAACTCGATTCATTTTCAGAAATGCTTGACATGCAATAATGTGAAAAAACACTAAATGAATCAGCATATGGAATTCCAGCATTATTAGCTTCTACATTAATACAATAAAGATGACCCGGTGAACTACATGGAAGCATAACCTACAAAACAACGACAATAAATGATTAAATTATGAAATAAAATAAAATTTTCAAGTTAGTTATGAATTATGATATTTTACCTGGGTTTCAGTAACTTGTGATGATCTAGGACCAACTGTTTGTGAAAGTGCAATTGTTAAAGAAACTGTTCGTAATTTCTGTCCTGTAGCAGAATCCTCTGTCCAACTTGGTTGAATTAAATCTGAAAAAAAAAAGTAAAGTTAGAGTTGAATTTTTTAAACAATTCTAAAACATTGTTATGTTATAATATTGTGTTGTGTAAAGTATTGCTGTTGAAAAAAAACATTAATGACATGTGCAATTTAGTTACCTGTGGTTTTTCGAGCTGTATGAAAATCTAAGAAAAACTTGGAATTTGTAAAAAGCAATGTGAAGAGTTGATCTATATGAATTGGCAATGTAGCTTTTATTAAAAGACGTCCACTATGTGATGATGAACACACTGCTGTGCTTGGTCTTATACCTATTTTTACTATAAAAATGAAAATTAAATTATATTATAATTTCACTTTCTATTTCAAATAAAAATATGATAAATACCAAATATAACTAAAATAAAATTTATATTGATATTAAAAAATAATTAAAATTGGATAAAATAAATTTAGAATTAAGAGAAATTTGAATGCATGCACGGATGAAAAGCATTAAAAAATTAACAGCAAAATTTTTATGTTCAGAATTAGATCTAAGCATAGAAAATTGTTAATATAAATATTATCCAATCTATCAAGTTACATAGCGGTTTTTCTTCACTTTCACTGGAATCACTTAAGTCTGTTGGATCATTTGAACCTTCCGCTATAATGCCAGCAACAGAATGTATAGGAGAAGACTGAGATAAAGGCGATTCTGCTAGGGCATCTGATAATACTGGATTTTCAATTTTATTATCTACCTAAAAATATGAAAAATATAAACATCAAATAATTTTATTTTGTTTTTGATTGCAAAATAACAAAAGAACAAAGCAATATATACTGACTTCAGAGAAAGAATCTATTGACAATCGAGTAGATAATTTGTCATTAGTTGGCACAGATAGTGGACGAGGATAATCTTCATCGTCTGATGTCAAACCCAATTCTTCTCCATAGCAATCATGGACAAGCTGCCACATTTCAGACATACTCATTGACTTGAAAAAATTGGTAGAGCATTATATAGACATTGTTTTATCCGTATTAAAATAATATTTTGAAATAGGAATACAATAACAATTGACTTTTAATACCTCTACTTTACACTTTTTATTCTTGCACTTTTGCTTCCATTCACTTTTTCCAATCTTTTTTTTAAATTTAGATTTTTAATTGGAATATTGACAAATAAAAAAGCCAAAGAAACCATAAATATTAAATATATATTGTTAATGTTGATGGTTGTTATAAAAACTTTGATATATACTAAATAATAAAAAAAAACATTAAAACTATTATTAAAAAATTAACAAATGAGCTTACCTGGTCCATGAGAACATTTTGCCAAATTTTAAATAACATCATATAAGCTTTATCTCTTGAACCAAAAGATGTGAAGAAAAATCGTTCACTGGCAGTAGAAACCAATATTGCATTAGGAATAACAAGTGCAGTTTTTTCTTTGGTCATTGATGTTACATCTTTCCATTGAATAGTAACAAGAGTTTCCCATGTAAAAATATTAGCATAAAAACACACATAATTTTGAGATACATATAATCTTCCATGAACTAAAATCTCTCGTTGTAATGCACATGAGTAATCTGTGAAAATATGACTTATTTTATAATAAATGTTATTTAAATAAAAACTGTTGAAGTATAATAAAAATACAGACCAACAATAAGTCTCTCATCACTTGGAACGTCTTTGAATATTCTTTTGAAATCTGCAGACCGTGATTTATATGTTGGATAAAGAATGTTAGAATACCAAGATTTTTTTTTACTTCTTTCACTTCTTTCTTTCTTTCCTTCAGGAGCAGCATGTTTACTAGCATCAGTAGATTCTGAGGAACGACTTGTAATTTCCTGCAATATGAATATAATAATATATATAGTAATAATAATTTCAAGTTATTATCATTCTGATAAGTTTAAGTATTATCATATCTTGAAGGAAGCACCTATCTTTGGCTTATTTATTTTTTACGAGAACTCAATCTTAATAATTATTTAAGTTTAACAGTTAGAAAGTACTAATTAATTTCTGGCAAAAAATGTTCAAAATAAGGATTAGTTCATTATAGCTACATTTACTATAATGATGGAGGATTTCTATTAATTTTTGCTTCATACTATAATCATACTACATAATATTTTCACATTCTAAATTTGAGCTGTACATTCTGCTTCAAAGTTACTACTCCTATTCAACTACACTCCTATTGACTTGAGGACATTTTATATCATACCTGTGTAATATCAATTGCAGGGATACCTGTTTATTTATTTTAAATAAATATTGGAAGAATTCATGTTTAAACAATGCACAAGTTTCAAAAAAAAAGGAAAGTTATTTATTTGATTGAAATTCATAAAATCAAGAACATACTATGAAAGATATTATTAGGCAGGTGGCTTTGGAAAGTGTCATTGCTGTTAGAAATATCATAGAAATTGTAGTATATTGTTTTATAGTCTATACACATCAAATGTTACAAATATTCAATAGTAGTTAAAAAACATAAAAAAATTGTTTATATGGTAGTATAAGACTGTAGATTAATAAAAGTTTTTCAATACCTGAACTTGATCACCCAATTTCAAAGTTAAATTGTCCTTCTGAGAATTTCCATCTGTATTGCTTTTTGTGGAGTGATCTTTGTGATCTTTGTGGTCCTTATGATCTTTCTCATCTTTATGTGTCTTGTCTTTGTGATCTTTCTTGCTAGTAAAGCGTGGACTTGGCTTAGGAGAAGGACTTGGAGTTGGAATTGGGCTGGTCCATTCATTTTCTGTTCCAGAAGCATCTTGAGAGGGATCATTATAAGCTCCGTTGGCAAGATTTGAAGAGCTGGAGGAATTAATGCTAGTAATAACTTCATGGCTGGAAACCAATAAATTTTCCACTGATTTGTTCCTGCAAAAACAATGTTTTAAGGCATAAGCAAATATGATAAGGCTGTTTATTTTATCATCATGCTTAACACTGCCAATGATAAAATACAACGACGATGACGGTAACAACGATCTCGAGAATGAGGGTATCTGTTTTCCCTAATTGACGTGGAAAACAACAAAGACAAGAAACAAAACAAAAACGCAGCGGAAAACATAACAATACTTACATGCTTGTTATTGGACGCTCCTGCAGGTGATCTTCGAAGTACATAACCGCAGATGAGGATTGCAATATAAAATTTGTTTGTTGGCTGGGTCAAAGACAGCATTATTGTTTGCTCGGTGTATTTGAGTTGCTTAGAGCTTAGAACTACTGTAGCAACCAATGATTGACAGTAATAAACGCATTTTTGTCTTTTCTTGGCCTCGGTGAATCAGTGTAACCAAGTGCAATATCGTTATTCTCTGCGAGCTATAAAGCACGTACCTGCACGCACTGCAGCGTGCTTTTTGCGTGAGAATCACAACGCACACGCACACAACTTAAGAAGCGAAGACTACGACGGAGGAATTGAACTACTGACAAAACGAGCGGAATACCTACGAAGTACCCGAGAAAACGTAACAATTATATTACAAACGCGGGTAGCTAGCGACAAGCTCTCTCGTCCCGGCTGGCCTTCTTTAGGGACAAACCAACAGAACACAGCTATAGTTGCGTCCTCCACTGTCCGTTGTCCGACACATGTACAATTAACTAAATTGCCTAGAAGAGATTATTGAGAGGAGCGACTAAGCCCGCTTTACTAACAGATTATTACATTTGAATTTCACGCAGTAGTCACATTGAGTCGAGAGCTCAAGAGGCTGACATACGATAACTGCTTGGCTGTTCGCTCAACCACTGTATTTTCTTCACATTTTTTTATGAACAATGTTACCTTTTTTTACTTTTTGTCAGCAGCGCACATACTGTTTAGCTCAAGCACTCTCTATCTCTGTCTCACTCTCTATAAGTATCTCTCTGTTTGGCGGTTCGATAGCACCGTATAGCTCGATCCCTATATATAACGCAGAGTCTTTCCAAAGCAAAGTTCACTAAATAACTATTTAAACAAATATTTTTGATACTATTTTTTATATGATTTTCATGCGGTGAATAATTCCAGACGTTCATTGTGTTTTTTTACACATTTATATTAATTTTTTCTGCGTTATTTGATGATATTTGCAAGGTAAATTAATAATAATAAATGTTTTTTTTGATTAATAAATACGTTGTCGAAACTTTTTTAAATTTATTTCTATGATAAGCGAATGACATACTTATTATATTCATCTAGTTTTGTTGAATAAAATAATAATAATTTATAATGAACATTTTACTTATTTTTAAAATGAAAATGTTTTAAATTCAATGTTTACGTGATACATCATCGTAACAATTAAATTAATATTATTAAACTTGAAAGTTGTGAACAATTAACAGAGTTACTTCTGTTACCATGCCATAATAAAACAGCATACAACTGTCATGCTTGTTTGGGTGTTTATAAGATCCTAACCTACGTGCTGACCGTTGTAGTGGGTTTGCGGTTTGTACTGTAGCCTCAAACAAACATAGTTTAATTAGTTTGATGCATGGAGAAATTGTAAAATAACATCTCAACAATCGCTTAATCCACCGGTGAGTGTCATGAACATTATAATAAAAATAATCTATTAAATAAATATGTATTTAATTCATTATAATTTATTCCATTTACAAAATGTTAACGTGATGCAATAAGCCTCTAACGCTAATAATGAGTATACAAATTTTAGGAAAATAAATGCAAAATAACAATGGCATCGAATAATTTAAATACACACCCAGACTATGATCCTAATATTAAAATAAAGTCTGAGCCTAATATAGAATCAGCAACACCTGCAATAAATCCAGTGATATCGAATTTAATCACAAATATTAAAACAGAGTCTGGGCTATCCACATCTAGTTCAACACTTAGATTACCATCTTTCAGACCTCCAAGAGATTATACATTAGGTGGTACTAATGTATTTACAACTATCAAATCTGAAAAACCAAGAAAAGTGTTTACCCCAAATTTGAATGTTCAGAGAAATAAAAATAGAGAGTAACTAACAAAATTAAATATTGTTTAATCCATTGTGATAATTGGGTAATGTAATTAACTTTTAAAAATTATTTTAGAGATGTAAATGCTTCTAAGAAAAACGAATCTGGAAAAAGTGAAAAAGGATTAGATCGTGATAAAAGAAAAAATGATAAAAGTAAAGGTAAAGGTAAAGGACGAGGAAAAGTAACAAGTAATTTAGTACAGGTGATATTTTAATCCTTTTCATTTGTATGAATTGTTTACGTTTAATATGTCAATAACATGTGGTAACTCATTTTTCAGTCTTCGGGAATATTTTTTGAAGGTCTTGCTGATATACCCAGTAGAAAACATATTGGTAGTGGGATTTACAGGGACAGAGATGGTTCTGGTAGCAGTAGAGAAACTGGAGCCATTCTTGAGAGGCCAAAATTATCAATACCTGAGAAAATTAATAAACTAGAAGAAGAAGAAAAGTTGAGAGATCTAAGAAGGGATGACTTTATTAACAATGATGTGGACATAGATATGGAAAATACACCAATATCACTACCTATGATACATGAGAGTATGTATCATCAAACAAATATATTTTGATAACAAAATAGCTTATAAATTTACTCATGGAAACTTGTTATTTATTTCTAGGCAACTTGTTTAAGACAGATTCCAGTCAAAAACTTGATTTTACCAAAGAAATACCTGTATATTTACAAAATGGAAATGGTAACAAAATTTATTTACATGTTTTTGTCAAAATTAATCATTTATTTATCAATCAACTATTTCTTCAGCAGCCAGTCACGCTAAAATGAAGCCTTCAATATCGGATACAAAAATTAAAAAAACAAAATTACCATTAACAGTGTCTCAAGTTATGGAGAATAAATCAAATAATTTTATTTTGATCCAGGTAATTATCATTACATTTTGTAAGTTTTTTGAATTATCTAATAATTTGCAATTATAAATGCCTCCAGTTACCTGATTGCCTACCAGGATTACAATCAGAGGATGATCCAAGGTCTAAACGAGTAGCTGAACCTGGTCCAGAAAATGAGGCTAATATATCAAATCAATTTTGTACTTTAAATAGTTTAAAAGAAGGGATGTTAGGAAAATTACAAATTTTAAGATCTGGAAAAGCAAGATTGATGTTAGGTAATAATAATCTTATTGTTGATGTTGGTTCAAATATCAGCTTTCGGCAGGTAAGAATATACAAAATCTAAGTACTTGATTTTAATTACAAATCTGGTAAAACTAAATTAATTCAATTTTTAGGATTTAATTGTAGCTGATGTAAGTGACGACAAACAAAGCGGAGATTTAGTCCATCTTGGAGCAGTTAGTAGTACTTTGATTTGTTCTCCAGATTGGGAAAACATGTTAAAGGCGTTATAGCTATAAATACTATGCCACACTGTACAGAAATAAAAATATGTTTTAATTTTTTTTAATTACTCTTCTTATTTTTTAACTTTAACATAATCCTGAAGTTTTACGATAGGTGTAAAAATGATTAAAAACTTATTATTGCTCTATTTAGAATATGAAAAAAAATACAAGCAATATGGCAATAAAACGCCGTTTTTTATATTAATTAATTTACTTTTTTTATTTTGATTGCCATCAAAAATTAAAAATTGAAAGGAACAACTTTAAGATGTTTACAAATTTAAGCAAAAATATGGAGCAAATGCTTTCACATTGAAGAAATAACTAAATTAGGGAAAAAAATTGCTAAATTTGATGCTGTATGATAACGAGTAAGGAACATGGGGATTTCATCAACTGACTACAGTAGAAATGCATCCTACATCTGTTTTATTTTTTATGTAAAAGCATTTTCTCATTGATGTTCTCAAGTAATTACAAAAAAATGTCTTATGTTTGCACATAAGTCACACATACTATAACACAAAAAGTATGCATCGATCTACAATCGTTTGTACAAAGCATCAAACTTTGCATATTTATATGTCTGTCTCAGTAATTTTTATAAAGTATCTAAAGTATCTGACAGATACTTTTACAGAACTTGAGAGTAAACTGCATGCTTTAGTTAAGTTTTTTTTACAATTTTCAATGTAAATGATTAATCGCTTCGTTCAACGCTGTGTCCTTTCTTCATTGACTTCAAAGCTTTTTCTCGAAGTTTTTTCTCCAATTCTTCCGTATTTCCCTCGCTAGCATCAGATTCTTCAGATTCTGCTACTTTTTTCTTCTTGTGTTTTCTATGCTTCTTGTGTTTTTTATGCTTTTTATGTTTCTTATCTTTTTTCTTCTTCTTTTCCTCGACTTCACTTTCCTGAAGAAAAATTAGTCAGTATTAGAAATTATAAGTGTATATATAAAAAATAAATAATCAGTTATTTCAAAATAAATCAAAATTCAATCAATCAAACGTGTAAAGAAATAACACTTACTTCAGATTCACTTGTACTTGTTTTAGGTTTCTTCTTTCGCCTCTTCTTAACTTTTTCATCATCACTACTGTCGTCAATCTTTTTCTTTTTCTTTACTTCTTTGTCCTTTTCTTTTTCCTTTTCTGTTTCTTCTTCATCTGAACTAGAATCTCGCTTTGACTTTTTGGACTTAGATTTTCCTTCATCTTCACTACTCGACTCTTTTTTCGATTTCTTTTTGGTAGGCCGCTCATCTTCTGATGAACTGTCTTTTCGTTTGCGTGACGTTTTTTTCGGTTCATCTTCCGAGCTTGAGTCTCGCTTTACTCTTTTAGATCGAGGTTTTTCTTTTTCTTCTTCCAATTTGTTAGCTTTTTTAGTCTTTTGATCTTCATCTGCCGACGAAGATGCTTTACGAGATCTTTTAGATTTTTTGAGATCTTCTTCTTTATCTTTATCCTTTTCCTTGTCTTTATCTTTATCTTTATCTTTATCTTTATCTTTATCCTTATCCTTATCCTTGTCCTTATCCTTATCTTTATCCTTGTCCTTGTCTTTATCTTTGTCTTTGTCCTTGTCCTTATCTTTAATTCGTTTCTTTGTGTCATTTTCACTAACGTCTCGTTTTTTTGTTTCTTTTGATCGTTCTTTAGATCTAGTGTCAGTAGAAACTGTAAAGAACAGTATAAACAGTGAACAACAACTCAATTAAACAATTTATTAAATAGAGCAACTTCGTTTTTTATATATAAATACCTGAACGACTGGAATCTCTTGTCTTTTTACTTTTTTCAATAGTTTTTTTCTCACCTTCAGATTCTGAACTAGAATCTGCCCTACTCTTATCTGATTTATCATCGTCTGTTGACGTTTGTCTGGATTTTCTAGTTTTTTCATTTTTACGAGGCTTTTTCTTTTCTGTAAAAGCATTACAATTTTTAACACAAAGAATTAAACACAATTAAAAAAAATCATTTATTTTGTAATATTCCGGTACCAACCATCCTCACTACTATCGGAGTCTGACGATTCATCTCTTTTGTCTTTTCTCGACCTCTTACTAATTTCAGTAGATTTTTTGGCTGAACTTATTTCCACGAGCTTTTGAGTGCTATTCTTTTTATCTTCGACGACTAACTTTGCTATGGGCTTAGTATTTTTGTCATCTTTTTTTAACGGAAAAACTTCTGCCTTAGCGACTGTGACTTCAGTAACATTCGGTGACACTGTTTTGTCATCCCTTTAAATTTTGAAAATCGTTAAAGCCACTAAATAAAATAAAAATTAATCAATTACATTTCATTAAAAAGAGTTCATACTTCAATGCATTTTGCTGTCGAAGCTTTTCTGCTATAATATCTTCAGTTTTTTTAAAAGGAGATGGAGTTCGAGATAAACTTCGCGAAAACTGCAAATAAAAATTAACGTTCTTTTCCCATTGCTCAATCATATACAGAATTTTTACATTTACAAATTTATTAACAATTACCCTATGTCTAGAAATGGGAAGAGCAGAGGTTGGAACTTTTTTAGGTGAAATAGTTGTCTCTGTCTTTTTTAACAGAGGAATCTCCACTTTTTTGGCTTCCTTCTCAGAGGTAGCTGTGGAAACGGTAGTGGCGGCAGCAGTAGCCGTAGCTCTCTTAGTTGCCTCTTCCTTAGCCAATTTCTCACTCTCCTTGCGCTTTTGTTCTTCAGCTTGCTCTCGCTCTTTCTTCTCCTGTAGTAGCTTCTGCTCGAGGGTTTTTCTGCACATCGAACGTTCTTATTAATACTATTATTCGCAAAATGAAAAAAGATATTAAGAGAAACATTTATTCTATAACATATAAGTATGTAATGAATAAAATCTAATTATATAGCTGTTATAAACTGTACAAATTAAGATGAACTTAAATCGATCAAGTGAGGACGAAGCTTTGAAATACTGTGAAAAAAAATCTACTTGAAAAAAAAAAGAATCATGTATAAATTTGAAGGTGCATCTTACGAAAGTAAATACTTAAGAATTTTATATAGCTCATCTTTGTTTTTGTTCGTTAATTATGACTTCCATTTTTTTCCATATCATACTAATTTTATTGGACCAATTATTACGTGATCGTTTTATAGCGATTAAAAAATGTATAAATTTAAAATGACATTTTCTTTTCGTAAGAAACGCTTTCAAAAAATGCATTCCTGTAAATCATAAAATAAATGTTCGTGTATAAAGCAATTAAATAAAAAAATAATAAATCTTACGTAAGACCAAACGACGTGGAAATTTATATCTACAAAATTGTACAAAAAAGAATGCAACAAATTATTACGGTTTTACTACGAACATAATATACTTTTTATCGGACTCGTGTGCTGCACTTACCCTACCAAGTTAAACGTTTTCAGATTGTACAGCAATAACGCGCCTCTATTTAAAATATTAAAGTATTTTAATTTGTTATTCATACAATACGGTTAATTGGATTTCTTTTTTAACCAATGAGAGTTTTTAACAATGTTACGTAACAACTGGCCAATAAAATTTAGATCAATGTAAATTGTAAATGGATTGTGACGAACAAAAGTATTTTATATTTCATTATCTTGGAAACAATATACTATAGCAATCTTTCATTCATTGATTTTCAAAATATGTGATTCATATCCTCTCGTTGATTGTTTTTTTGTATATAAACGAAAAAGAAAATATTCAAAAAAAGATGCTTACAAATCATTGTCAAACACTTAATTTCCATATTAACAAGCGCTTTTCTTTTATTTTATGCTTGATATTTTAAGATTTACATAAAGTATATTCAATATATGGGAAATTCAAATGTTTGCATTGAAGTACCATGTTCAAGTAAAAATTTATTTATAGCCTGTGATGAGTTTATTAGATTTGGTACTTCAATTTGGTTAAAATAAAACAAATTATGAAAATTAGAAAGGCAGTAACTTCAAATTTTGAGTTAAAATAAGAAACGAAAATAAGAATAAGTGTGTTACAAAATATATATATGTCTTAAATAATATTGTTATTATAGAAGTAAATCTTGTTTAATATGTTATCATTTCTTTACTACAACAGAATTTGAATTTTTGACTATATAGAGGGAAAAAATAGGTTTGAATATTTAAATGAAACTGAACAAAAATATTGTTATTAATTAAAAAAAATATTCGCTAAAGAAACAATTTATAATTCATATGTATCATATATAAAGTTTTAAAAATCACTCCTTTGAAGACTCCATAAATAAATAAACAAAAATATATTTAATATAAAAATATTTTTGAAGTACTGGGCTTTCCAAGTTTCGATTATTGTTAATTTCATAAATAGAAAACTCACTAATATTCATTAGATTAGGTAAATTGAAATCATAGTATACTAATCATTAATAATAAGAGTGAAAAAACTTTATCAATGATTTTTTTAGCAAGAATTCAAGAATGTTTTGAGTTTTTTATCTATGAATAATGATATTCACAGTGTACACTCATTTAAAATATTTGTACGTTTGATAATTCTAAGTCTTACTTTTCAGATGTATCAGCCTTCATCATACTTGGGTAAAAAGCAAACAAAAATGTTGTTTTTTTTAATTTCGATTGTTTGAAATGTCATAAATTTAAAACTGCAGTCTTTTATCCTTTTAATATTGTTTTAGTATGTAAAAAATATAATAAAAAAAATTGATCCAATAATCACATGTAAAGTAAATGATTTGTTTTGTATATCATTCTTACTTTACACATTAGAATCGTAATCGATAAAAGACTGCACTTTATACTATATACCATACAATTCAACATAGCTTTTTAACTCCAGTGGTATGAATTTCATTGAAGTTTAGATATTTAACATATTATAAATTTATACAAACATTATAGATTAGAAAAATCGTTATTAGTGAATTTGTTAATGAATGTTAGATACAGTTCAAAATACGAAGAACATGGATATATATATATATATATATATATATATATATATATATATATATATATATATATATATATATATCATTGAAACCTTTTTTGAATAGTACCTTAAGGAATTATGTATGCGATATGTTAATGATGATGTGAGTAATTGTTATATGATCAATACTTTTCAGAAATATATTTTGGATAAAGTAAACTCAAAGTGAACAAAAATAATATTAATAGAGACTTTCGACTGTTGATTAGAATATGTTATCGAAAAGTATGTATTATTTTACAAAAATCAGAAATGTGTTAAAAATCCATGTTATGTTTGTCGGTGTAAATAAATAGGAAAAGTTATTTCAATTGAAATTTGTAAATTGTTGAGAGTTCATATTAGATGTATTATAAGTCTTAAATAATATTGTAAACTTACATTTTCATGAGACTCAAGTCTTAGCAAAAGATATTCAAATTTAAAGCAATAATTTGAGCGAGGTAGAGGCCAAACAAAAGGAAAGCTCACCTAGCAAGTTCGTCGTCATCCACACTGTCGGAGCTGTCACTGCTATGGGCGCTACTAGATCTGGATCTACCATTTCTCAAGTCCTTTTTAATCACGTCAGCAGTATCGCAGGCAGCCTGCACGACGATTTGCGCGGCTTGTTGCGGTGGCAAGTCATTAATGATTGAACCAGCCGGCGGTGGAATCACTTCCACCAAGTTAGGCTTCTTGGTAACAGGCTTCTCTTCGGATTCAGTGCGTCGCTTCGACTTGTCCCTCGCAGGCGAAACTCGTTCTTTAGACTTGGTACGCGAGCGGCGCCTTCGATCACGAGATCGGTCCCGTCGACTCGAGCGATCGCGCGATGACGACCTATTGCGAGATCGCGAGCGTCTGCGGGAGTCTCGCCAGTCTGGTGAACGACGGCGAGAGCGACGTTCAGATGACCGACGCCTGCGGTCGATAGAGCGTCGGCGGCGAGGGCTTGGTGAGCGACGGCGGTACCGTGCTGGTGACCTGCGTGGACTTCTGTAAATCACCAAAAAAATTAAAATTACGAATTTCACAGTTAGTTGAGAATATTTTTAATCACGTACCTTCGCCTACTGGGTGCTCTACGCGATGATGGTGGTCTCATGCTGCGGCTACCACTGTAGCGATCACGACGATCGCGATCCCTATCCCTGTCACGCCCTCGTCTCCTGTCCCGATCTCTGTCCAGTGACCTCCTGTAAAATAAAAAAGAGATTATAATAGACGCAGTTCTGAACTGATATCATTTAATAAATCTAATTTTTCGAAAGTAACAGGGGGCAGCGGTTCTAGAAAATTTATGGTAAATGTTTGACATGTTTTATTGTATTACCTAAGTATATTCACAACTCTGCTTGCAACAAGAGAAAATTCATGAAAGTAGTATCAATTTCTAAATTATTAGATGACAAATAACAAAGTATAAATTACCTTCTACGTCTATCTCGTGATCTATCACGAGATCGATCGCGAGATCTGCCCCTCGATCTATCGCGTGACCTGTCTCTGTCGCGATCTCTGGAACGATCCCTATCCTTCCTTGGTGAAGGACTGCTACGTCTCTTTGTAGAAGACTTCCTCTCTCTGCTTGAATCACTGTCGCTTCCACTGTCATCCTTATTAGTCTTTCTGTAAGATCTCTTCGTCTGTACGCCATCTTTTTTCTTTCTGATCTCGAAATCACTTTTATCTTTATCCCTCTTGTCATCATCCGATTCAGAGCTACTGTCACTGCCACTGCTTCCACTTGTAGCTTTCTTCTTAGCATCGGAGTTTGTTTTCTCCTTTTCCACAGACTTTGATCTTGATCTACTCTTCGATCGACTGCGCGAGCGAGATTTCGATCGTGACTTGGTCGACCTTGAATCGCTAGATGCACTTCTGGATTTCCTGGACTTACTTCTATCTATACTCTTCGATCTTGATTTTTTTACGCGCGAGCGAGAAGCAGACCTGGAGGAGCGTTTGCTCGGCTTTAATGATCTCGACTTAGATCTGCGAGATCTCGAGCGATCGAAAGATCTGGACGTGGAACGCCTACGTGACTTTGATCGTGACCGAGACCTTCTTGACTTGGAGTTAGATCTAGAATGTCTCGATTTAGACTTGGATCTCGATCTCCGTGATTTAGATTTGGATCTCGATTTGGATCTTGATCTTCGCGACTTAGACTTAGATCTGGATCGATGTGAAGTAGATCTTGAACCGCGTGATTTAGACTTGGATCGGGAACGCCGTGATCTAGACTTGGAACGTGATCGGCGAGATTTCGACGCAGGTGAGCGCGAGTGATTCTTGGAGGCTGGCGATTTTGAGCGCGACTTTTTGGAACGCAAAGACGGTGACTTTGATTTGGATTTCTTAACTACAGGCGGTAACGTTGTTGCCGCTTTAACTTCTGCGTTCTCTTTTATTTCTGGAGAAGGGGATCGATTGTTCTTCTTTTTGCCATCTGCGATACTCATTAATTTCGCTTGGAGCCGAGATATTGCTACAGCAGCTTCTCTATAAGAAACAATAAGTATTAGAAATTTCAATGAAATCAATGCACGTCGAAATAAAATATCATTGATCAGCTTACGGTTTGGTTTTCAAAGGCATAACAGGAATAGCATTATCAGCCTGGGGAGAATCTTCGCGGTCGTTTTTTGAATCGCTCATATCTTTATCTTTAGTTGAACCCTTGCTAGGAGATCTGGAAGATGACCTGCGCTTGCGATTGCGATCTCTATCTCTGCGCTCTCTCGATCTGCTTCTTTTGCTGCAAAGATGATATTTAACTTATACCTAGCAGTCATTTATAAACGAACTCAGATTGTAGAGACGAACCAACAGACGGTCGAGGATACAAAGTTAACAAAATAAAATCGACTCACCGATCTCTGTCCCGTTCTCGACTACGTTCGCGTCTACGCTCCTTAGACGATTCTCTATCCTTTTCCTCTTTCTTCACTTTAATGTCATTGTCATTTTCTTTATTGTCTTTATCCTTATCTTTGTCAGCTAGAGATGCTTGTAGTTTTTCTTGCTCTTCCTGTTACACACCAACGACAATAACATTTAAGAATCAGATGCATCACATAGCTTGAATATTAAGTAACCTCAAAAGCACGGTCTAGCGGTCGATAGTGTTTTATTTTTGTATGACCGTAAAGTATTCGAAAAGAAACCTACCAGTCGTTTTTTTATTTGATCTTTCTTTTGCTGTAGAAACGCTTCTGGGATTCCCGTGTCATTCTCTTGGGCAGAAACCAGCAAGTCCCAAAGCTCGCCCATGAACGAGCGAGCATTCTTCCCATTTAGAAATCCCGTTAAATTAATTTGCATTTTTCGAGGATCTGGGAACTGTAAAAAATTGCAATCGGAGAACACAGGTTTAATTTACTGATATTTCGCCCCTATCTTACGAATGCTTACACATTTCGTGCACGTAATTTTGATTTTGTTTAATGCAATTGGCATTATTTATTGGCATTATTTATTATATGTATATATCGTCTACTGCTTTTCCCCCTCGAAAAAGCAGATTCTGTTTTAAAGATCTTACCAAGATTGTAACGAAGGTTCATAACTTACTGTGTGAAACCTGTTGAAGACACAAAGTATATTTTGATGTGCAATGAATAAGACACATTTTTAAAAAAACTTTGGTTGGATCAGCCCCATTACTGTCCATCCACAAGCTGAAATAAAGGAATTAGTGTGGAAGAAGAGAAAGAAGATAAGGCCGCGGTTCCATTGGTCTCCATAGCATCCTAAATAAGTAGCCGTACGTTTCATAGTCGCTGTCAAAAATCACGCAAATTTTAACAGTACCTCCTGTTAGGTAAACAAGCCACCGGCCTCACAAGCCACGAGCGAGAGTGAGAGTGTCCGTTGCCCGGTAACGAGTAGTCGGTACGAGTAGCAGGTGTGTGCACACTGTTGGCGTGACGGTTGATGACAGCTGTTGATGGCGACGTTGATCTCGACGCGTCGACGTCTCGAACTGCCGACGAAATCAGCAGCAGCAGCAGCAGCAACAGCAGTAGCAGTAGTAGTAGTAGCAGTAGTAGTAGCAGCAGCAGTAGCAGTAGCAGTTGCAGCTTTGCAGCCGTGGCATGCCACGACATTGGCATGCGCAGTTTTCAACAGTTTGACAAAACTGCGACGGTGGTGCTGCCGGTGCAGCTATCAGCGACAGATAGCAGCAGTCGCTGGTCTACGACGAGCTGAGCGAATGCCTTGGCAAGAGGCAATAAGCTCGGTGGTAGCGCTGGATGATGTTTGCATAGAGCAAACGCGAGGCGCGTCGACGACGACGACGACGATGAGTCGAAGACGTAGCTATGTTGCTGCTGCTGAGGTGTCAGTGTTGGTGCAGGAACGACGCGCGAGTTGCAGCTGCGTGCGGACGAGGCGATGGCGACGATTCGACGACGGGGCGAATCGTCGACGGATCGGCCCCAATCGGATGTCGAGAGTCGCTGATTGCGCATCCGATAATTGGACGTGCGGGCTAAGGGCTCGAGCGAGTGCCAACGGCCACCAACGGTCTCTACTTTTAGACTAACGGGGAATTCAAAGGCATGAGACATGATTTTAGTTTACCAAAGCTCTATGGCTTATTTGTTTTTCTTTTTTTCGACGAGGTCACTTTATTTCTCTATTACAAAATAGTAATATATAGTTTTTTTGAATTCGACATTATTCAAACGAAAATTGTGCTCTCAAGCAAATAAAAATTGTTTGTTTTGCAAACAAAAAGAATAATATAGACTTTGAATTTGAATGCATATAAAGCCTACTTACCAGTATAAAAATTTAATTTTTTTACATAATCACAAAGATAAAAAAGAAAAGAAAATGATGCAAACGTTTTTTTAAGTTGCCCATTAGTTTGTTAATACAATTGCTTACACTACTATTTGATTACAAAAAATTACCAATACAAAAATTACAGTAAAAAAAAATCTTGAATGAAAAGAGTCTTTCAGTGAACAGCACAAGAAAAATCATGCAACTAGTCCACAAAACGATTCTTTTTTTTGTTCAGTTTTGTTAATCAAGGACAATGTTTGCATATACTTTTCTCTCTTAATGCTTATTTGTTGATTAGGAATAATATCCAGTCAGTTGAACAGTGTAATGAAATAGCTACATAATATGACTTTGCAATGAAAAACAAAGCTTTCAAACCTTTCATATTGCTAAGAACATTCTAAATTCTTTTATTCAAATTTCCTTATATATAATCTATTTCCTGCTACAAAATTTTGGAATGTTTTATCAACTCAGAAAGACATGCCTTGATTCTCAACGAAAAACCAAATTATTAGACTTTTAAATTACCTATTCAAATTAGCTAGTTATCTACCTAAATCAACGTGTTGAACTAGGCGTTGTGAGCTGAAATAATAGGTATTTAACAAAGTAGTATGATGAGGGGAAAAAGCTGAGTGAACGTACATTTTTATCAGTAGTATCGGTACTGATTAGACAAAAACTAATTTTATTGGATACAGTTATGTATCCCTTTACCATTAAATTTCATGTTCTTACCTTTTCTTCTAATTGGTTAATAACAAACTCTACTACGACATCATCCTCCATTCCTAAGATTTGAGTAATTTTGGTTGTGATCCATGGTTTGATGACGTCAAGCTTTACTTTTTGCATATCCACCTACAAATTAATTGAGTCTCTTAAATTTGTGAAGAAATATACTATGCACAACTTTGTTTCTTTTAATTTTTGTATATGTATACATTCTAATTATCTTTTACAATAAATTGCTCTTATGTTAGTAATTTGATATATCCAAAAAAGATTGACAAAGGAATAGATATATTAATGAGAAAAAAATGGTTATAAAAGAATGAATTATCCAGTAGCTTTGAACAAAATCGAGACAATCCATTTGCTTGATTTAAAAATAGATTCTTTTGCAACCCAAAGCAGTTTCAGTAATAAATAAAAATAGGATGAATAATTACATTCCTAATTAAGAAAAATATTCAACATATGTCTGTAAATAGTACCTTTTGCGTCAAGGAGTCTCCAAATTTCATCTGCTTGAGCAGCTTTTTCTCCTTGTCGCTAAACCTGGTGTCCTGTGTGGTGGTGGTTCCCTACGAGCATATGAGTCAAAATTCACTAACATAGAGTTAAACTAAATTTAATTTAACAATAAATTTCGAAAAATAGTTATGCATTAATAACAAAAATACGTATAAAGATCGTATTCCCAAATAAATATCAGACAAAGAAGGGCGAAATTGCTGATAAGACTTGATCGTGCCCACGTCCATACTGTTAAGAGCATATAAAATGGAGTTAGCCTCACCGTATACATCATCTTGATCGGCGTAGGTATCGGCCGAGTAGCAACAGCAAGAAACGTCAATGTCTACAACGTGTAATGTGCATTCGCTCTGGTTGTGGGTGAGGGAGTAGCCACGATTATTTTCTTGGCTTCCCGCTGTAGAAAAGTTTATAACAAGAGACAGCGCGTGTCGAGTTGTAATGCCGGGATGGCGGTGGCGGCGTCGGTGGGATCAATAAAAAGTCGGGGCACGATAATCAGCACACAGCTCGCTGAAGACGTGGATGAGCGGATGTCGTCGATGAACTAATGCGGACGCTCGATCCGTAATGTCCTAAGAGGACACTGGGATATGCGCCAATTTAACACGAGGTACAATAATCACCGAAAATATGCACTGAAACGCAAAGCGGCTACGACTCTCGCTCTAGTCAACGCAAGAGACGCTCGCGAAGCGACTCTCGGTTGGAATACGTTATGCTTCCCTCTCTTTCTAGTACGAATTTACTTTCTCTGTCTATCCTGTGTGCCTGTATGCTTGGTCGATATAGGTGCGCTCGTACAAGCCTACACACGACACACGTGATCTATAGGTATGGCTACGTGTGTGCGCACATTTGGGAGAATTTTACTGATGTTGCCAGTTAGCGAATATCGATTTAATGAAATATTTGGTTAGGTTATGATGCAGAATAACAAGCTGCAATCTACTTCAACATACTTCTGCAAGATATCTTGTAAAACTGAAATATTTATGGGAAAAGTAAATAGTATAGCTTTTCGTGCGCCAGATAGTGGCGACCTCTTTGTAGCGTATGAGATTAAGCGGTAAATTGAAATTAACATCTAGCTTTTGAAAATTAAATTTTTAAAATAGCCGTTATTTATCCAGAACGTCTACATTTTAAGCAAATTATGTATATAATTATTGACACATACACAACACATACGTTTTAAAAATAAAATTCAGTAAACGGTTGTGTGATGCTGTCTCCATATCTTCCAAGAAACACTAGATAAGCGATATCAAGTTTTATTCCGTTGAAGTCAACTTTTATAGTGGCGATAAACTGATGATTAGCATTGTGCCAAGAAAGCAGGTCGTCATATATCTGACCCTTACAAGTTATAACCTATAGACTCGATATTGCATGTATATAGGCAAGTTAAAGCACAGTGTATGTGTGTGTGTGTGTGTGTGTATATATATATATATATATATATATATATATATATATATACATATGTAATCAAAGCTGATACGTGCATAATGCAGTTCATGTCAATGGAACCTTTGAATAAGACTGTAGGAATTTTTATTTATCTATCACATCCACATATGGTTTTCTAAGCTTCATAAATTAATATACCACAACTTTGATCATATTCTAAAATATGATCAGATTTGATTAGGTCTATTTAACGATACTATGCGTTCGTTTGAAAAATTAAAGAAACTTCATTTTTGTTGTTCAAATTGATGCGTATTGAGTATTTGACGTTACTCGCGCTTTATTAATACAATAATGTATTTATTAATACGTAAAATGATAATTACATTGCGTTATTTTTAACAAGAAGGATATTCTTATAACTGTTACTATGTATATACATTATACATCCTACACATTTTTCGATTAATTAATACGCTATTATATAACGAATTATTATTGCTATGTGTTATTTTTTCATTTCATTGGTAGGGGAAAGCAGGGTAAATTATTTAACTTTTTGCTTTTATTTTTTTTGACATTGTTAAAAATACAGAATAATAAAATTCTTTATTCGAAAGATTTATTATAATTGTCATAACCTTAAAGGTGTTTACTTAATTGCCTATTAGAGTTCGAGTCACCTCTCGAGTTTTTCCAGATCAAATATTCGCCTCTTTCGTAATCTTACATATAATTGTAATTTTTACTTAATAGAACTCGATTAAATTGAGCCAGAAAACTTGAATATTCAAGTAGATTAGAAGGTTTAAGATAATTTTTAAAACATAGTGTGTAAATTATGTCGTGAATTTAGAACTTCGAGTCGAATCGAGCATCTGCACAATCCTAGTTTAAAAATTATCCCAGTGACAGGATAGAATTACTCCCTAGTGTGAGGCATTTTCAAGAATAATTATTTCAACAATAACAGGTGGATATAACGAATTTTATAACAAGTAACTTCTATATATATACTAATATATACTAATCTAGGATTTCTTCGTGTGATGACGGAATAATTAAGAAGATAGGTAAAAGTTAAGTTTATTGGAATCGAAATACAAGGTGAAAAGCGTACGTGTTCCCTACACAGGCGCTTTCTTTAGAACTGATGCTGCTTGCCCTTGTCAAAAAGAGCCTCACTCGCTCAATCCGCACTCTCACGCTTTTCTATTACTTTACGACTTTTCTCGAAGTTCAGTTCAAACTGTCAAACATATACTGATAAAATGCAGACATACTCTCACTTTTCTCAAAACGCAATAACATCTTGAATACTCAACGTTTTTACGCATTAATTAATTCCACATTAATTTTTTCTGGGCATTTTGATTTAAAAAACCAACTCACCTCTGTACTTTTTATCTGAAATATTGGGAATATGAACATTAATTTTCAATTTTTATGGGATCGGAAAATAGTGTTTTTTTTATTTGGTATATCTTTCAGTGACAAGTATAACAAACAAAAAATACGAACGGCTCGAAATTCTCACCTTTTAAAATGATTGTGATGATACTTATATGTCGATCGCTTTAACGACGACAATTTGTACATGTTTGAAAATATTGTTCGGGAAACGTGTTTGGCTCCATGTCTTGAACGTTCGGCAAAAAGAATAAACAATCAAATGTCACGAGTATAATACCTGACTACGGTAGTTACCAACCACCCTCAGATTTTCCTCAATGTGAATCAGCAACGACATTGAAAAATCAAAGTACGTTGCAATTATTGAACAATCATTATTTATCCGTATTGAACGTTTTCCCCCAAACAAATAGTCCCGCATCAGAATTATACAACGAAAATAAAAAAAGCTTACACTTTGATTGGATCATTGAATCCCAATTAATAGAGTGCACGTAATCAGTTGGAATGATCAGGAGCGATAATAAATATAGTAAAGTCCGACCGGAAAAAGTGGCGGCGTATCAAGTGGGCGCCTTGCAGCATTATGCGGGACGTGGGATCGGTGCAAAGGGGTCAGTCATGTGCTGGGAAGGACCTTATTGAATAGGGTAAGGCCGCGAGTCGCCGGCGGCCGTGCGCCGTGTTAATGCAATGGTTTTTTTTCTTCCTCCACAGTGACGCGAAGCGCACGTATAGCCGGCCGCGCGCGCGTATAGGAGTCGACTGAATAATCCCGCAACGGGCTAACGGTAAGAGCAGGCTCATCGGAATTCGCGCGCCGCGCGCGTACTCGCCGTACTACAACTGCCGCGCGCGGCTCACGGGTCCATTGGGTCAGCGTACCCCAGGACCGATCGCTCCATCCGAGTCCCACATTCTCTGCCGCCGCTGCTGCTGCTGCTTCCGCCTCTCTCTGTTTATATGCCGATTTGCCGATTGGCCGTGAATCTTGCTTGTTGATTGACCGCTGAGCAATCAAACCCGTCGCGCTGATTATACGCGTCAGCCGTCGTTTCAGCCGATCGTTGGACGTAACTGTCGTACTTTCTCGCCAAATAAAGCAAAGCAGTTTTTTCTCCTTTTGCACGTGCGATCGCCATGACTGTACTAAATCATTTATTTGACTTATTTTTCCGTGGATTCTGCGGGAGATCTTTTCGTTAATAAGACTCGATCTGGCAACGATTGTCATGCGAATGGCTATAGAAGTCGATGATTCAACAAAGTTTTCTCTATTAAGAATGTTTCCGATTGACTTCAATTGAACTGATAACTAAACATCACGAAACGAAGTCGTAAAATCAATTACATCGTAGAGATGCAAGTAGAGTCTATAAATAATATACTATTTCACACATGCGCTTAGACAAAGTGTGAATATTATGAATATTGTAATTTATGAAAATATTACAGTTAGTAAGGCAAGTACAAAATAATACAACAATACGTGTATTTATAAATAACTTATATATTAATAATCGTACAGGTATAACTACAAATAAGATCTACAATGAGAAAAGTCTTGACAATTTACAAGTATAATGATCAATTGAGTGTTCCTTAATTATTGATACATCAGTATTGACTTCAGCTTGTATAGATCATACAGTAATTATCGGAACCCTTTATTGTTAATTAAAAAACAAAAAAATCAAACATACGTTCGAATTGGGAGGCAGTCAATACTACAACGTACATCTTACGGTTAACATCGCAATTACGATTAACGTAATATCATCACGGGATAATCTACAGACCGGAAACGGTGCATATCTCGGCCGCGACATGCAAATAAAGTAAAATGATTTGCGCGTCGCAAAAAAAAAAGAAGTATTAAATAGAGTACAGAAACACAAGAAATCGTCGACGACGGGTCGTTTGAAAACGGGAAATTCTGCGTCTCCTCCGGGGGGGGGGGGGGGGCAGCTGCGTTCCAGAGTCGCGGGAATTCTTGACTACACATTTGCTCGTTGATTCGCGCGGACCGTTACACACCTGATCCGCGCCAGCTGAGAAAAAGAGAGAGAGAGAAAGATTCGTCTGGCTGCGAATAAATCTATATATTACACGTGCACGTCAATTACGTTGTGGGTCAAGTGCAAGCGTTGCTTTGCATAAGATGCGCCTCGTCTCCCGTACTCTCGAAAGAATGTACGTAAAGCCGTGGTCGCGCGAATGGAGGCCGCTGACTCAACTGACGCTGTATCGTGTACTTATATGTTTGTGTAACGTCGACGCGCGACTCGGACGACGAAGACTTTCTACTCTTGTATTCCTGTCGATCTCGCAGTCGCAGTCGAGCACCTTTCATCGACATTCAACGTCCCAAGCGGGCAGTATTTTCGTGTATTGATTCTTCCGCGCCGCGGGCAATTCCAACGGATGATCGACTCGGAGGCGGCGTTGAGTCAGAGTGAGAGCGAGCGCTCGTATCCCAGATACGAAGTGACGAACCGATGACCCTCCGCGTGCCACCGAGAGATCGACTCCTCTCTCACTGCGGGTACATTGTTCGGCTCGCCTCGTTACCCACTTGCTCGCCGTCGGTTGTTCTCCTTTTCGTCGTTCTCCCTCTGCCTTCGTCTTCATTTGCGTGCACGCGCGCGCGTTGCCTTCGTCTTTCCTTTTCGAGCAACGCCGCCGTTATCAGTCGCGCGTGCCCTCGACAAAGAAGAACGAAGAAGTACGCGCACTCGGCACGGTATACGCGCCAGCGCGTCGTTCAATTGCTCTTGGTATTTTTTTTTTTGTTTTGTTTTTTTTTTGTTATTCCATTTTTTGTTGTTTCGTTTTTATCAGAAGCTGCTTATAATTCGTTGCGATTCTTTCGTTTTAGAACGGTGGGACGGCCGGTAGGTCGGACGAGGAGCTGGAGCCCAAAGTGTTTTTAGGCTTGCAAACGCAGCCACTCTCGACGAGTACGTAGTCCTGGCCGGTCAGCGTTACAGGACCCAATGGAATCACTAGGAACAAGTAGGGCACGTAAGTCTGTGTGCACTCGCCGTGCACGATGTCGCATTCCTTCGATCTGAAACGAGCAAATTGATGTGGATTCGTTAAAATGATCTCGCGAAGGCTGAATTTGAGAAAGGCCGAGTATCGGATATATGCAGTCGACGCGAATAGTCTGCGAAGAGACGAATGTCGACTTGTTATCTCCATGAAAGTTCAATATACTCGTAAATGCAGTTTATAGTTGAAGTTATAACGATTACAGCGTGCAGAGCATGGTATTGCAGGCCGATCGGTTTTACGACAATCGCGTACTAGCGATAAGAATACTCACTCGCAAACCTCGAAGACGACCTGCTGCAGTAGATCCGGAAATTTCTGAACAATTGTGACCGGTTGGCCGCTCGTCAGACTGACCCCGTACATCGGCGCCGTGGTGTTGTACCTCGTCTTGCACAGTCGCGACGGCGAGCCGCAGGTGTCCTTCGTCGAGTACGAGCGGGCTGTGGAACGATCGAGCATCGATTAACTCGCGTGCGCCGGACACGAGTCATTGCTTCGTTAGCAAAGACGCGCGCCCGTTTCGCTAATTCGGAAAGGGCAGATGCGCGCGCGAAGGCCTTTAAACCCAAAAGAGCTCGCGAAAACGCTCGTGCAAAGATCAAGGCGGTATACGAGCGGGGCAATTGGGCAAACTAAATGCCATCGTCCTCGTGGTCGTCGCCGGTCGGGCGGCAAGTGCCGGCGTCCCGTTATTCGTACGCTCGCGAGCGAAGGAGCCGAGGCAGTCGATAACTGTATTGGCTGGGAGTGCGCGAGGACGAGTCTCCTCTCTGCACTGCGCCTTCGCGCTTCTTGCTCTCGCTCTCTTTCCGAGCTCGCTCGTTACCTCCGCGCACGTATTCCGTTTGTTCTGTCGTTCTCGCTTTTTCCTCGCCACTTTCGTCTTTATGGATTGTACCATTTGCGGGATCGATCTTTCCGACGCGTGGCTGAATTGGCACGGCCGTTTAGGACTAAGACGATCGTTGAAATTTTTACCGCTTCCGAAGAAACGCATTACTGCGGCTGCTGGTAAATGAATAGCCGAGGCGGCGAGAAGCCCGTAAAGTTCCTTTCGGTAACTCTAACAGTTGGTTCATTGAAAATAAAAGTAACGTTTTACCAAGAGCTGCTCCGAGCCAAGTTATTACTTTCAATCTTTGCCTGCTGCCTTCGGAGCTCTATTCAGTCGTTTCAAAGCGCACATAACCAGCTCTAACAGTCACTTCAAGCGGTAGAATTGAAAACTAAGGACATGCGCTTGAATAATGGTCTCGACGTGCGCGATTCGAGGTCGTCGCCGATTCGCGAGAAATAAAAACAGCCCCGCAAGGTGGGGCGATGTGCGCGTGTGCAGAGTCACGAATGGGCGTTTTCGTGTCAAAAGAACTCGGAAACTATCTTTGGAAATGAGCCTAACCGACCATCCCGCCGCAAACAATCGCGTACGAGCTTGAACTTCTCGCTCGCGCGACTGAACGGATGCTTATCGTGAAATTGACGGCGAGGATACGCCTTCGTTGCTCGGGGATTTTTCCCCGGCTACGCGGGAATATGTTTCGTTGCGTCATGGGAAGCGATACGGGGCGCGTTTGAAGCTCGATGGAACGTGCGCACAGCTTTAGGAATAATTTTGCGCACTGATCGATAGATCGTTATTCTTGCGTCTCAAGCTGTGCATTGTGTATCGTAAAGTACAGGTATACGGAGGAGCATGGCAGTGACCGATTTTCTCGAAAATCCACGAAATGCAAATCGGACGGACGTTGTTTCTGCGTTGGTTTTCGACTCCTCGTAACGCGATAAATCGCGTTGCCGCAAAACCGCGCTAGTCACGATCGAGCTTTATCGAGTTCGATAGTACGTATATGGCGTCGATAAATCGTCGCGAAAATTCACGAAAATTGCACGTGTCGATGAGTTCGCAAATAAGCCGGCAGCTTTCCCCGTGGCAAGCTAGACGGATTACGATTTGAAACGTAGGAATGCCAATATCACTTACCAGATCTGGAGCTGTCCGCGATACTGTAATCTCCGTGAGCCGCTCTGTAATTGTTAAGAAGCGCTTGCCTCGTCAGTTCCGGATCAATCGTGCGCGGCTGGTAGTGTCTGGCCGTTCGGCTGCTTCCCGGCCACGTGCTCTTGAAATTGCGTGCTATCGCTCCCCTGCCAAATTTTTACAATATCTCGATTGATCATTCAGGGATTAAAGTTGAAAAGATACGCGAAAGAATTTCGTTTTCACGCAGTACTCTCTATACTTTATACTGTTTGTATTCCGTGATAACAAATCGAAAGGACTTCGGTTCGTTTTTTCAAACCTTTCTCATATAATCACTCTTTATACATATACATACTCATGGACAGCTTATAAGTTTTTTTATCATTCATTTTTCTGCCTTATTTAAACCGTCGAAAGTATTCGAAAGGAATCGAAAAGTAGAATGAAAACCGGCGATAAGTAGGACGAAAAAGTGAACTCACGTTGGATATTGCATGTTGTTGGGACCAAGGCAGTCGGTGGAGTCGGTCAGCGCGTCTCCCCAAACGTACTTGAGGCCGAGGCCGGTGCCCTGACATTTCGTGGCCGCGTACGCCTGTGACCGTAAGCTTGCTCCTACCAGCAACAGCAATGCTATCTCTGCCAAACTGGACACCTAAAAACGAGATCGTTTTCGCTTTTTCTTTTCATTTCGTCGTTCCGCAGCAAGCCGTGGCTGTTCACCGCGGCGAGTTTGCTTTTCATTTACTTTTACTCGAGCTTTTGACGCAAAAGCCAAATCGAGTCAGCCTCGTATGCACGGTACATTATAGTAATTGAAAATCAGCGCAGATAAGTTCTATTTTGTGCAGAGCCCGAGACTTTCGTCTCGTCTCGTGAATGATTCAAGAATGCTCGCGAGATAATGTTATAATAGAGAGAAAAGTCCAGCGGCCGCTCGACGACGCGCATAAAATATTACGCGTGAGAGATTAGCTATACGGTACCCGTGCGGCCGAGGAAAAATTCAAGAGTGACGCGAGCGGGCAACCGTCGTCCATCCGCGATGCAATCGCGCCAAATTAACGTGAAAATTATGCATCGCAGTTGTCGCTGCGCGAAGGAAGTCGCCTCGTCAAATTGCGTAATTCCGCGGATAAGCCAACGTACGTACCTCCGGCAACGCTAAATTTTCAAGTTCACCGTTACGCATTACATTAGCCACGAAAGGGCCACGGTCGTGCTCTCGATGACTCCACGCTAGACCGCTATCGCGATAATAGAAAAGAATATCGGGGGCTGGACCTTTCATCGTCCTCGTTACTTTTTATTACACGAGCATTCTATTTTTCTTTACGAGCGTGCGAATTCACGACGTGCCATTTTTTTCAATGGTGCGTGTGCGAAATGTTTCGTGCGTTCTCTAACGGAATTGGGAAATGTATTTACGAGAGAAAATGTCAACTTTAAACGAACGCAAACTGAAATGCACTTACACATACATAAGTGATTCGAGGTTTCTGGGTTGCGATCCACATAAAATCCGTTATGTTGCCGCGTACGAGCCGAACGGTGAGTGAAGACGAATCTAGACGAGTGAAAGCACACACGTGTAGTGTTGAACAAGTTGGCAAATAACAATCCGCAATGGTACTCACGCCCGCGCATACGCTTTGGAATTTGTACTTCCGGTGTATCGAAAAATATTTTATGGCACCTTTAACGATTGATAAAAACTCGATATACTAAGCATATCTTGAGTACTTTTATTCGGAATCGTCATCCGTGGAAAAAAAAAACATCTGAAAATGAAGACGCTATAAGAAGATTAGAATACTGGTTTGTAACGTCACGTACTTCACAAAAGGATCAAGAAATGCTTGCCGAAATGACCTTACATAAATCTCTTGTCAGAGCGATGAAAAAAAAAAAGAAAGAAAAAAGAAGACAGTTTCGCGGGGTTAACGAACCATCCTGAGTATATTACGAAATGCACGAAAGCCCGGTAAAACGAAGCGTTCGACTCTTTTTAAACCATTCGTCAAGAGAGAAAAGGGTCGATCCGGCATAAGAAGACTCGAAGTTGCGAGTATGGAGGCACGCAGCCTTGAACGCTCGACTTCCTAGAAGGTGTCGCGGAGCTATATTACAACGAGGCGGCAAGGCAAGGCTGGTCGTTGACCGCGAGAACAGGTGTCATGGACCGAGCCGAGCGCACGTGAAATCCACGCCGCTCGAACGTCGCCGCCGTGGCGCACGCACCGAATCGCGCCGGGCGTCTTACCATAATACTCGCTCTCCTCCGTGCCCGCGTCGCGTCCTCATTGAATTTCGCGCTATAAAGAATTTTTCAAGATTACTGGCACACCTGGATCACCGGCCAATCGCGGACGTTTCCTCTGGGTTCCAAATCCACATTACCATAACCTTCGGGTAAATGACATTGCATTATAATAATTTCGGGTGACGTGACCTCCGAAATCTCTGTAGCGTGTCTAATTTGCATCGGACGCACGATGTTCCACTCTCCCATTATCGTTTTACAGCAGTTGAATCTCGACATTATCGCAGTATCGAAGGACTTTGCCCGGTTAATAAGCAAAACCCGCGAAAATAGTTGACAGCTGAAGATATTTATGCAAGCTCCACTTGGACTCGACTAAAAACGTCTAACGCAGACGATCGTGTTACGATTGATTTCGCGTTCGCCTAGAGAGCTCTACTACTGGAATAGTATATTTCTGGCGGCGTGTATTTCAACTTGTTTTTCTTTCCCCTCGCTGCATCACTGTAGGAGCGAATCTGACGAGAGCCAGCGCGATAACGAGCTTTCTTCCCGAGTTTTCTTCAACTATATAGTAATAGTAGCGTTACATTTGCACAAACGATTTTCTCGTTTTTTATTCGACTTGGTGCAGTTATGAAACGGCAATGTCATGGAAAAGCGCCTTCATTAATTACCGCGATACGGTTGTTAGGTAGATGCAGTATGCCATAACTGAGTTATGAAATCGCAATTCACTTTTATTATAACATTATCTCATTGAGAGGTTTTGCTATTTAACAATCATTTCGTTAATTTTATTCGCGTCGTTTGACTGTTAGTGCGCGCATATAGAATCACTTAGCTACACTTGCTGCCGTTTGCAGCAAGTATCAGTTACAAGAGCTTCAAGCTAGACTTATCAATGAGCATTATTTCGTGGAGAACAATCATAAAGCAAAAGCCGCCGGGGAAAAGAAAAAAAAAACCGACGAGAGCCGTACATTCGTACCGGCGCTACACAGCTTATCAAAAGTGAAAGAAAAGCACGTTATCGATACATGCGTGGTCAAGAAAAAATGCGCCAAACGTGGAAAATATAAGCGGGACAACTTTCGTTCGTCTTCGTGGCGCGTTGGTCGACAATTTTCCACTCCGAGGCGAGACACGGATGCGAGCTTGCAAGATGAACGAAGACACTTTCTAAATTTCTCGACAGTCGCTTATAAAAAAAAAAAAAAAAAACAAAAAGAAAATTGACGCACAATACAATCGCGGAACTATTTCTTCTGATGAAGAAACTACTCGATTACATGGCTTTTCGTTACGAGCGCTTAATTGCCTTAAAATTTACGCGGTCACGGAATGATTTTATTGACGAAAGGAGGGAGCTATATTATAATGTACTTTGTACTTTGAGGCTTAACATTGGAAGTTAGTACTATGCACCAACGATCTTCATACTCGACAAAATTATGAACGAACGCTTATGCGCTAATTGCACGGAAGCGCACGCGTAGTTCTCGTTTTTGTGGCGCAAATCAATTTTCTCTTCGCCCGCTCGTGACAGATCTGTCGCGGCTTTGTGCATGCGCTACTGTGTTAACAGAAAGGGAAGTGCATTTGTGGATGCAAGTCGTACAATGTATTCCAATGCAAAATAATGCCAAGCGTTATTTGATTTGTATCTGGCTATTTCCCCGCTTACGAATGTTATTGTAGCATAGAAATAACCAATTGCGTCAATTTGGCATGACGCAGCTACTTCAACTCGCGATATTCGAAATGGACGAATACGTCAAATAATAAATCAACTAGAAAACTAAATAAAACGAAATGGCAAAAGTTATTGCATCTTTTACATGAGCGAATAAATTAATTGATGTAATACGTTATAAATTTGAAAGATATATTATTTTGGTAGTATGCAATCGATAAGTGCCCAATTAAATTATGATTTTTAGTAATTACTTAGAAGCCAGGATCATCTGATTTTTTCTTTTCAGTATTTAATTATCACTTTTAAGAAATATAGTCGAAAAAGGTGTTGACATAATACTATATGAAACATTAAGTTTAATAAATAACCAAATCAAATTGAATTTTCATGTAATTAAATTGCTATGCAATTGCATTGAAAGTCATCTGTCTTTACGACAAAAGGAAAAAATATTAGAATAGAGCAGAATTAATAAAGGCCCAAAATTTCCCAAGCAACGGATTTCTTTCTTTTTTTGTAATACCTTTTTAGAGTGTCACCTTGTCAAAAGTAATCATTTTGAAGATATACATTTTCGAGCGATAAATCATGAGAATTACGAGGGTACATTGGGCCCGGGTCTGTCCAGAATTTAAACGTAATATTACACGTCCGGTCGAAATCGATGTCAGTCAAAAAGAGACATCGAGTGAAGCAGACGAGAAGGAACGCAGGTGCGTGCGATTCGAAATGCGCCACGCGTGTCTCGGTTCGCGGCGAACGAACGAGAACGAAAGAAAAAAGAGTCACGAAACGCACGCGCAGAAAACGGTTCGTGGCGTGCCGTCTCGAAGCGCGTACGAGTGCGCCAGGCCGCAGCCCGAATCCAGAGAAGCTTATTAGGCGCACGTTATCGTTTTGACGCGCGGGCGGGGCGCTCGGCCGGGGCTCTTCGTAACGGGTACGGGGACGCGCAGGATCGCAACGGTACCCCGCGCCCGTGCATTTTCGGCCGTGGCGTTCGGCGCGCCCTTGAACTTGCGCCGAGGATTCGCAATCGCTGCGCGTTAGCGCGCGCGCGGCCGGGGGATTTGCGGTCGCGGCTCGCTCAATTTTTCGCCGGGTGCTCCGACGAGCGGCGCGCGAGAGCTCGAACCGTGAGAAAAGCGCCGGGTACCTGTGACGCGAGTGCGACCAAGGGCGCGGGAAATAAGCGCGGGACGAGGCCCGAAGCGGACCACGCGAAAAGGCGCTCGCGAGCGCGCCTGTACATTCCGATGTGCACGCGAGCCGCTGACGCTGCAGCCCTCCGCGCTCTCTGACAGCACAATTCCATACCCGAGCCTCGTTATCGGTTCTCCGTCTTTTTTTTTCTCTCCCCCACGTCGATTTTATCGCGAACAAGGCCCGCTCTGCCGTGGGCTGCTTGTTTCTCCGAGTTCGCTCTACGCGAGCCTACGCACTCTTTCTCTCTCTCTCTCTCGCAAATCGACTTACGCGCGCATGTCGCGATTGTTGTATTCGTGCGTATGAAGATGGACTTGTTTTCTTTGCAGTGCTCGCGGTGTGCGTGTCTACTCTGGGCTCACCTTTTTTCTTTTCTTACTTCTGCCAAAGATGCTTGGCTCGGCTCGAGATCGCGCTATCGGTGATAACAGTCAACGGTTGCGTATATGGACCTTTTAATGATTCTTCGATGGGATTCAATAATTTTTCAATTAAATCTTTGAAGAAGATTGATAAAACACGTGTAGTCTACGTTTCTGTGCATTCACGATTTTGAAATATTCTCGCTTGCGCGACGTTATCGAAATTTAAATAAGAATTTTCAATGAATTCGTGCAGGATAAATTTATAAAATAACGAATACATTTTCCGTTGAATCCGCCCAAACTAAAACGCGTTTGATCGAACGCTTCCCGTAATAACTTTGTATTCTCAAAAATTTGTCGATCGATCCAATGAAGAAACCGACAGACATTACTTACCGTAAAAGCGGCTATCCTCGTCATGATGAGCAGTAGATTTCCCTCAACTCTCAATCAACACACACGCCAAATGACAGCGAATCGCAAAGAGAAAACAACGAAATCGTTAATTAGAAGCAAGATCGGTAGGTAGCAATCGAAGAGAATGGATGAGAGGTTGTGGATGCGAAGTAGGTCACAGGGTTCTGTGGCGCATGTCAGGCGCACAGGAGGTTGTCGGGGCCGTTGTCGCGCCGGTAAACCAACTATATATACAAATGTATCGTTGGCTATGGGGTCGAGCACCTCTCGGTTGGACGTGCAGAGGTTGACTGGTAGGAAGTGTGCCCGGCTCTCTCGCTCTCTTTTCCCCCGGTAGAAAAGAGAGAGAAAGAGAACCGGCTTACGCTCGGCGCTCGCTGCGCGGCTGCTCTATACAGATAAAAACCGAGACCGAGAGAGAGAGAGAGAGGTGGCTCTCCTAAACGTCGCGTCTTTTCCTTTTCTCTAAATACCTCGCTGCTGTTTTTTGCGCTTCCTCCTTCCTCGTTATCGCTCCCCTTTTTTCCTTTTATCTCCCTATGCTGCCGAGGGCTCTCTCTCTCTCTCTCTCTCTTTCTCTCTCGCGTGCATGTTGCTCGCGGCCTTTTCTAAGCCGTCATTATAGTTATCGCCGAGCACTTTTCGTGCACGAGGCTTTCCTTTGCTTGTTTGCCGATTTTTCTCTTATTTCTCCGGCGATCTTGATAAAATCTCGTGCTCTTGTTTGTTGTGACGCACTTTGTTTATTTGCGTATATATTGCATTAAAAAAAAAAGAAAAACAAATTATGTACTTCGATGCTTTGACAAAAGTACAATATAGGCTTACCTGATATAATTACAAGGCCGAATGCGGTAAAGCTCCCTTCCAGCTGATAGAAATAGCTCGAATAGCTTGCAAATGATTTGTTTACGATGATGAGGAGATGCGAGCGTGATAAGTAAAATAATGGAGAAGCAAGGTGCTTTGTTGAGATTTCGCCGTATGCTTTCGTAGATAAACAGGCTGTAGATAAATTTTGCCTAAATATTTGTGAGTGTTTAAACAAAATATTATGGGAGTATGTTCGTAATCTATATTACGATTAGTAACTCAATGTTATGTTAGATAGAAATCGCGTTAATATATCTTCATGAAAATAATAATAAAATATTCTTTTTTGGTAAAATAAAAATCTTTATACATGATTACCAGACACTCGACCACGCAATTATCAAAAAAGTATCATTTTTTCAATAATGTAAATGTTAATAATAGCGAAAAAATTATACTAGAAAATTTTACATTTTGTAACTTTATTTCATGTCTATAATGAATTGATTGATTTCCTGATTTCGACATGTACACATTTCAATTGATATTTACTAAAAAATTGAAATTACATTTCACATTGGTACATACACTATAAGGAAAGATTTTTACACAGAGCATACGGTAGTTTTGATTTCTTCGTTTCTTGTTTTCTTTCACATAATATTCAATTTTATATTAAACATTTTTTTAATTATAAATATTTACATAATTTATCTAATCTTTTAATACTGTTTTATAATACTACGATATAATTCACATCTTTATTTTACTAATCTCTTTTCTTTCTCGTTACAAATTACCGTAAACAATATCTTTTATTTCAAGATTCAAAATCTGGCATGCATATGTATGTACATTATACATAATTTACAATAAATATCATACAATTTTGTATAATATACTTATTCTAAATAAATAAGATAAAATAACTTTTCATTGAGTAATGTAATAATTTATTTTGGTTTGAATTGGTTTCTTCACATTAGTTTATTTTTATTTTTACAGACAAAAGACAACAACAATTCTTATTATATAAAAGCCTACTCATTGTTTTGCTCTCCGTCATTTTCGATTATTTATAAAATGATTTTCGTAGGCTTACAAGTACGTACAATCAATTTTTCATAGTAGAATACCAATCATCGTCTAAAATCACGTCTTTGGCACGAGAATTCACCGTCTTGTAGTACAAGATTTTATTCCTACAGCTACTAAGAAAATAAAAGATTATTTATATTTTAATTCATTCATAATTCTGTAAATTCAGGTTTAACATTTTAATATGGGATCAGGGCTCGATGTATCAATTTAAGAATTAAAAAATATATAATTATATTCTGCTTTTACGAATCATCTATGTATATTTCAATATAGATTTTTTATATGTTTTGTAAGAAATATTTCTTTTAGTTTTGAACTTTTTGATAATACTTATGATATTATTTTTTCATAATATATAATATCTTAAAACAGTGCCATACTTATATCCATTAGGACGATATTTTTGAAAGTTTTAAAGTAGCAGTTCATTTCAAGTTTTGCAATGATGTTCTGATTGGTAAAAGTTTACGTGTCTTGTCAATTTTCCATTTAGTATTGGAATAGCTTTACTACTTGAAAACTTAGTTGTAATGAGCACGTGTGAAATTTACAACACTAAAAAGTTAAACATACCTGGTACTACTTTTTACAGCTACTTTATTTTTACTGGACTACCCCCAATACTTTTAATAGAAAATAATTTATCCGATCAATATACTTTCATTATTATAAACAGAAATTTTTATATTTTATAGAGTTGTAAATATTTTTTTTTATAAAATATTCAAAGTTACTGATATCTTTTTTTACTTTGAAATGAGATTAATACGTTAAAGTCATTTTGGATTTATTGATAAAGTATTTGTACTCAACGGTTCATGAAGTTTATTGCGGAAATCAACAATATTGAAATTCGTCTTGTAGACAAACTTGAAACATTTAAGTTTCCTATCTATGTATAAGTTCACGTATTTAGAAGAAGCATAAAAAACAGACGGAATTTCAATATTATTCATCTACGATGGAAACAGAGTTCTTTATATTCAAAATTTAGAAACTTTACCAATGTTTTACAACACAACGTTGTACTATATATTATTTGAATATTATACGTTGTCCAATCTATAAGTAGCACTCATTAACGATATATTTTTCTCTTTTTAAATTCATTCCATCTTTTAGAAACCGGTTTTTTTATAATTAATTAAACGTGTCTGCAAATTACTCTTAAAAGAATAATTAAATATCTTCTGCTTTATGTCACAATTTCTTTTTGAAACTCTAAAGAATATATAATTGTTACGATGCAGAATAAAAATTCCGTTATTTTTAGAAACTGGTATTACCCTAAATAAATATTCGGTATTCAAATGCATGTTTCTTAAAAATAATCTTGGTATTTTTTCTGAATCATAAATGTAGTTTACTGGAAAAGAGTTATCTTCATAATCTTATTTTGTTCCCTTCAGTAATGTTACTGTTTGTAAAGAAATTTACATTTTATAATCTTTGTCAATTGTCATTATTTAATCATATAAAAATATATTTTCGAAACATCAAATGTTCCTTTAACAAATATTTTCTTTGAAATGAATGACATTGAAAAGACGATATACGTTGAACAATATAATTTGAAAAACAATTGATGTGTATATACATATTATATAAACAAGTATGTAGAGGCAAAAAACTTTCACTTTAAATATTTTTCCTCTATCCACTCTCTATATTTACGACAGCGATCAAACTCGCAAGCTACCAGAAATTTATCAGATGTTCGTTCATCCATTTAAGTCAGGTATCGTATCGTAGGTATACACGCTATACATTGTATTATTATATCACAGTGACAGACAATTGCTGCGTACGCGCTATTTTTAAACATTACAAATACGATTGTTGTACTTAAAATCAGCCCTAGTTACGCGTATGCGTTTTTCTTCGGGAAACTTGCAATTTAGCTGAGCTTGTTTTTCATCGGAATGAGGGATTTCCACTTCCAGTACCAGCTCATCTCCAACTGATTGAAGCCCGTGCTGAAGAGGGATATGCCAACAAACAGTAGAGCATGACAGAACACCCACAGTTGGAAGATCGGCGATATTACTAACATCAACAGCATCGCACCTGTAATTCAGATCGTTCATTTTTTTAATTTATTTATTTGATGTCGTATCAACAACTAGGGCCATTAGCGACATAATAGAATACAATATTACAGTGAATACAGAGATTTACAAATATAGTACAGTATTTAAGAATTTGAATATATATAGATAGATACATATATTTTGTGATATTGGAATATTATTTTTCATATGAACATAGTACATGAATAAATTTACATAAACAGTGATTTACGTATAATGTACGTCGGTTTATTAACCAGACTTATTTTAGATTTTATCGCATTTTTATAGTTTTCCTATGTCATTAGTGTGTTTAAAAAGTGTTAAGACCTTAGTAATATTCTTTTTATTCTATAGAGCTATTTTTGAGTCTTTGAGAAATTTGAGTGAGTTTTTCAGTGTAGGTAGGTGAGTACAGTCGAAGAGTAGGTGTTGGATTGATTGTTTATCATTATTATTACAGAATTCGCATTTGGTCGGTAGCTTGTTATTTAGTGTCAGGTTATGCTTGTCTGTTCTTTGCAGATGAAAGCTTATATTTGAATTTTTTGAAAAATATTATCTCTGATTGATAGCAGGAAAGTGGGTTTGCTTTTAAGCCACTCTTTAATCTATAAATTTAGTTTCGACGTAGTCAATTTCTTTATGTGCGACACTCATTGGTAGAGAGGATGAAAATTAGAGTGTTTGTAATTTTGCAGTTTAAGTTTGATCGTTACTATTCGACAGATTGATTTTTATTGTCGTGTTTCTATTTTTCACTTTCATGGCATTGTTCTGAATATTTTTAATTTCTAGATCAGTAATGTAGAGATTTTTAAGAATTCTTCTATGATGGATTTGGATTTAGTGAAGCGGGTGATGCGTATGAGAGGATTATTTCTACTGATAAGTAGGACAAATCGTTTGGTCTATGGCAGCAACCTTGACCGAGTAGTGATAATAGGATATGGTTGAAGCTTCTGAAGAGTTGGTTTGGTGGGGATGAGTACAACCAGCCCCATATCTTTTTCGTTTGCCACTCCTTCAACATAGATAAGTATTATATTAGTTGGTATTAGCTACAGAATTACCCTACGTTAAGTATAAATCTAATACTTCTGTTGGTTGAGCTGAGCCTACTTCCGGTTAATTTCTGGAAGGTAGTTTAAAAGAATTTCTTCGTATGTAGACTTCTCAAAGACAGATGATAATTTGCAAGCGTGTTTGCATATAAATATCATTCGTTTGAAGGCAGTAGTTTAACTTCGACTAATACATCGATGAGGAGACTAGAGTAGAAAGCTCCTAAAGCTAATCTAATACCTAAGTTATGTATTATGTCCAGGATTTTTGTTTTAGTTGACGATCCGTAAATAATGCTCCTATAATTGATTTTTATAGAAGTGTTGCCTTATATGTATCGAGAAGTACTTTTATATCGGCTTCCTAGTTTTGTGCCACTAGTGTTTTTATAATATTAAGTTTCTGCTAGATTTTACTTTTGAAATCTAGAAGGTGGAAATGCCAGCTAAGTTTTTCGTCAAAGATGATTTCTACTATTTGTAATTGTCTAACTTTATTTATGTTTTTATTTCGTACAGTGAGAGTGGCTTTTGTAGTATTAGTCCCTTGTTTCAGTAAAAATTATAAATTTGGTTTAGGCATTTGTTATTTATAAAACTTTATCCAAAAGCTTCTATAGGTTATTGGTAAGAGAAATTGGTCTTTTATTTTATGGAAAAACTCTGTCTTTTCCTGGTTTGGAAATGAGGACTACCGTGACGATTTTCCGCTGTGACGGGAAAATTTCTGCGAAAGTAAATGTTCATCTGGAGTCGTAGCGGATGCCTGTCAGGGTATTTCAATGTTATGAGCTTTCTTAATATTCAGAAAGTTTTGGTCATATTTGGCGTCGGTAGAATTATTACTAAATGTTTTAGCTAGTACATTTGCTATTTAATGGTGATCATGAAGGAGCGAATTGCGTTTATTTTTTATTATGTCGATTTTGGTTAATTTGTATTTATCTTGAATCTACTAAATTTTTTCAATATAATATTCACAGGTATGTGTATATTGAGGAAGGCGACTTTGATTTTTTGTTTCGATTCTCTAACTACTCTTTTATATATAGCTTCTTTCCAGTTATGTTTGATTTTGTAGGCTGTGATTTTATGTTTTTTGTACCTGTTGAAGGCGTGCTTCAATTCATTTTTTGCTGATTCACAGTCGGCATTCCACCATGGAACTTGTCTATATTAAGGTTCAATCTTTTTTAGTGTAATAGTTAGGTTTCCTGCGGCTAGGAGATAGTTTCATTAAAGTTGTCTATACTACTGAATGTCTGTGGTTTTTGTTGCTAGATTTAGATAGTTTTAAGATTTTTAATGAATTAATTAAAAATATATTGATATACAGCCCAATTAACTTTTTTATAGCTACATATTTTCCTATTGATAGTTGAATTGTGTAGAATATTATCCGTCGAGGATGGTATGAGTTATTTTAAGGAAGTGATCACTGTTGTAGAGTTCATCTAAATTTTTCCATTGGAGACTATCAGTAATAGAAGAAAGTATCATTGTTAGATCTATAATGCCAAAAACTTCGTTTGAAGAGTTAAATGTAGTTGGAAAATTTTCATTTAAGATCGATATATCAGAATCATTTAGGAATTTTTCGACTATTAATTTTCTAATACCTGTGCAGATTGATTCCCAAATCATGCTGATGCGGTATTTAAAGTTACCTGCCAATATAAATGGAGTGACTTTTGTAGGTTAGTGAGCTGCTCTAAATTTAAAGTTAGACTGTTAGGTAGGTATATTGAGCAGATAGTGAGTTTTTGTAGGGAAAAATACTATTGCTGCCGCTTCAAGTGTAGTTGTTAGGATGATCTATTTTTAATAAACTGAATTTTGAACATAGATTATTGCTACACCCTCGCGAGTAATATTTCAAAACTTTGTCAAATTCACTTGGGTTTCCAATACTGTTCTTTTTGAAGTAGGGTTTATAGGAGGTACATGATAATTGGGTTTTGGTGTGATTTAATTTAATTTTTGCAGGAAGGGCAACTTTTTGTAGAAGTTTCATTGTATTGCTTTTGTATATGTTTTTCAGCGAGAGAATTTCTCTGTTTCTGAGTATTAGCTATTTTTTGTATTACTTTTCTAGTACGTATTTCGATGATCTTTATAAATTTAGCTTTCATTGATCTTGAACAAAGGGGAATGTACATTGCGCACATCATTTTCACTATGTCGATATTAGTTGTGTTGAATAATCGATACTACTTTTTGAATCGGAGATACATTTCATTTTAGTTAGTGATGCGCCGATAAATGTAGAATTGGACAATGGCCGTTTAATGATAGTAGAGGCGATATCTCTCTACTGTCATTCTAATTTAATATTATTTTCGGTCTAGACTCGAGAATAAACTGGTGTGATTGAGCATACATTGGATAGTATTTGCCTTTTGAAGCGCGAGATGAGAGGTCTGGTTTTCAAAGTGCGATCCCTTACCGAAATTTGCTTTGTGGTTTCTCTTAATTTGTCAGCGATTGCCTTGGTGAATAAATAGATACATACTCTGTTGTTAGGAATTCTTGATGCGAACCTTATGTTCGTTGATTCGGTGTGCTTGGCTATTGCGACGACGTTTCCTTGGATAGCACAGCTCTCTATCGCGTCTGAGATGATTACGTGATAATTTTTAGGGAAACTGTCTTCTTGATGGCGTCAGCGTAGTTGACTTGAGATTGAGTTTTGGACAGTGGTAAAAAGTTCTTTAAGTACTGATGCACCACTGTACTCAGCGAGTTGGCTGTTTTTATGTTGCTGCACCTTATTCTTTGGTGGCACTCAATGTACTTTTCTCAATTTTTACAACTACAGTATTACAACAAATTTGAATTCGGCCAGGCCATTAGAGTGAGCCGATCTTCTGGCACTCGTTGCCACTGTTTACCTAGGTCGTAAAGACGTCTATACACTATACACCAAGTCTGTGAGACGACTGAAATCGTTTACGATTTGTGTGAACCGATTGAGCCTAAGGAAAATCGTTGTACAAATAAGAAGTACAAGCCAGGCGTGGTCAGACAACCGTCTTACACGCGAAAGAAAGTCTGTCAATAATTTTTCTAAAGACTCAACCTAATACAGTATATAATTATCATAGGCTCACCAGATAACATAGTCCAAAAGACAAAGGCTATCCTCAGCGGCATGCGACTCGACCTCGTCCATGCCTCTCCGGGGAAAGATTTATCCTTGTAAAATTGCTCGAGCACTTGCTCTTTCTGCCTCCAGCGTTCTTCCAGCCAATTCCTTAGCCCTTCCTCGTCTTTCGGAACTTCCGTGTGGACTATTCGTCGTATGTGGAAGTGCACTTGGTCGGGCATTTTGCCATTCAGCAAATCCAGTTCGGACTAATGATCAAGAAGTAGGCATCCTAATTATTCTGTGTCGAATCGACAACGATTTGCATCAGGCGAATCTGTACGGACCTGCGGGACGAGATCCGGATATCCGATTGTCAAATCGTACACGGCATCCAGATAATCGACCTGCTGAAGATGTCTCACGAGATAAGTGAAGCCTGTGGTCTTGGGATGCAAGGTATAGAGGTACTCGGGCAAGTGGTGGCTGTTGGCGTATCGGTCGCTACGCTGCTTGCTGCTCGGGGTCAAATCCGTACCCTCGGGGAAGATAAGCAGCTGACTGCGACGACGCAGCGCTACCAGGTAGTCCAACGAGCGCGACAATCGACCTTGGTCTTCCTCCCAGCGACGCGTTATGTATAAGAATCCGTTCATCTGCATTATCCAACCTGAACGTGCGTTTGGATGCTATATTATTGCCATTCGAGTATGTTCGGTTATAGCGTGTTCCTTAACAAGCGAGACGAGTCCAATACATCGTCGTTTGTTGATTTGGATTCTTACGTGAATATCAAATGAATCTTGCCGAACTACCGATAATTGAATAACGCGCGCGCAACAATGCGATCGATAAATGGTCTCGTGGTCTACGTTGCAGTAAAACAGAAAGATGCTCAAAATAGTTCAGCTCGCGAGGCTCAAACCATTCTCTCAGCTTACGTCATTCGACGGTAAAAACATCGAATTATATTGCGAGCTAGCACCTAATGTCTCGAGAAAAGTATAGACATACCTGGGCCAGGTATGTGCCTTATCGGGTCTTTCAGTATGAACTTGAGTTTGTGAGCGGCGGCGTGCGGCATGCAAGCCTGGTACATCGCGCCCCACAAAAAGTTCCAGTCGACTCGTGTTCTGTGGTTCATCACCATGATTGCTGAGTCATCGGGTCGAATGTGATCACCGGACACTATGACTTTTACTCCGAACAGCTCCATCAATACCTATGCCATGATATTCATTATTTTTAAGCGCAGCTTCGAATAAGTGACGTTTTATAATTGTTTCAACGCGTCGATAGAAAATAATATTAATTAATAAGCTACGTGACTGTCACTCGACAGCAGTACGAAAATGGAATACTATTGCGCGTTTGTAAAAGGTACGGGTTTGCTTTTTTTTAGTTTCATTAGATCAATCGTTAATTTAAAACTCAGAAATGGTACTTCGTTTTAAAAGTTAAAAGGAATAGAATAGAGGTGAGCGATCGACGACTGTCGAACAAAAAAAGGCAAAGCTATCTAGAAAACGCGATCAAATTTTGATTTGAAACGATCACGAGGCGAAGACCTTGATTCTCCGCGGGTAAATATATACGTTCTACAGTTCATTATCCGAGGAAATCAAAGTCTTGTCCAATAATTTTTTTCTGAAAACAGATTGTGCCAGCATTACAATCTATTTGCAATGTCATACTACACGATGTTCCACGTGATGTTATTATGGCGAATAATTTCAAAATCTCCATGAATATTAAAATGGAAATTGCTCGACAACAAATTATCAAATCTCTGAAGAAAAATCCAAAACTGGTCGTAAGTTAAAAGTTAAAATCGTACGATCGCTACTAGCCCGTGCGATCGTGCTCTGAAAGGTAGCTACGTCAAAGACAAAGGAGAGCGCGAGGGCACAGCAACTCACAGCTGGATACATCTCCCAGCAGGAGAACAGAAGATCGCCGCACTTTCGGAAGGTCGGCGGGCTGACGAGGAGCAGCGGCAGGAGCGGGCAGGCAATAAACAGGAAGCCCGACATGATGCTTCCATACCAGAGGAGGCAGTACAGCAGCCCTCGCAGCCTGCGCCCCATCCTCCGGCCTTCGTTAGCCTCCTTACCTGCAACCAAGTCCAAAAGTCACGCGTTTGCCGCGAGTCCGCGCCCTTGACACTCTTGCACATTTCCACATATACCGCGCGCGACTTCTTATGCAAGGCTTTACTGCGGATGGCCGACTTTAATCTAATAAGCTCTAGTGCATGTTTCAGAACTTGATGCACTTGACGTTAATAATGAGACCTCGCTTGTCTTTCAAACAGCTTGTCGAGTACATTTTTACCTGAAAACTTTGCTTTGATGCGCCGTGTTTTGATTTATACACAGAATGCGATTCATTTTCTGATTATATATAATATCGTGTCAAAAGAAAGAAATAACTAGGACGACGAAACATGCGCTATAAATATGTTCCTAACATAGTAGATTTTATTGGTTTCGGTGAATTTCTTTCGTTGTTCTGACTATTCCTTTCTTTCGGAATAATATTTTTTCATTTTGGTACAACGTATGGAACCGTCGAGGTCGAGATTATTTCATGAAAAAGTTCATTAGCACGATATATTTAACAAAAAATAAGTATAAAAAGTTAAGCGATAGCCTACAGTGTATCACCTAGTAAACAAATCGTTTAACTCTCTATTATCGATTCGGAATATTAAAAACTTTGGCACAGTTGGCAAATTATTTTCTATAATTTTTCAAGAAAGCACAGATCTTACGATTTTCACTCATAAATGCACGTATTTTTATAATGCAATGGATCAACATCCGTATAGAAACACTTATCGTAAGATTCTCAGCAGTCGAAAAAGAAAATAGATGAAATATATTTAAGAAGTCTCATTGTTGCGAGTATTAATCAGCTAAATATTGCATAACCAAGATACAGTTTTCGTCGCGCTCTAGACATTGAATTTGCCTGCGGCATTGACCTTCTTAAAAACTTGAAATATAGAAAACCACACGCTGAACGAACGAAAATTATTTGAACGAACTCTGCTAGTTTCAATGAAAATAACTCCGAATAAAAATAGAAAAAGAAAGGTTGAAGTTAACTCTGGACACGCTCCACGTGCAACGAACATCATCCCCCTGACGGAACACGATCAAGCCCTCACTTCGATAAGCACGCGTGATTCACAATAACCGAGGCGTTAGTTTGATGTACCCCGCGATGCAAGCCTTTTAAATTATTCAGCTGACGTTACGCACGCAATCTCCCAACGCCCTTTTTCCCCAAACAGTTCACTATGCTCGAGCCAACTTCGGGGCGCAGCAATTTTCATTTGAAAAGCACGATTGCAGCTCTTCACCTCGATGTCCAAACGCACGCGCGTGCACTGATAAAGTCACTGCTATCTCGGCACGCAACCCTTCGGTCAAAAACAAGCGAACATCCGCAGAATGGACCGAGCCGCGCGCGCGGTTGAAGCGCTCCCTCTCTCTTCCTCACACTCTCTCTCTCTCTCTCTCTCTCTCTCTCTCTCGCGTTCGCCACTGGCGAGTCGACAGAAGCCGCGGACAAGCGACAAGCCAAGTCGGCTAAGAAAAAAGAAAAAGAGGCGTGGATGTTCTAAAGAACGTACCGCATGTGAGATGGCCCGCGCGTCGACTGCCTCCGCTGGCGGCTGTCTGTGCTGGGCTTCCCTCTGACATTACACGCGCGTTGAACGGGGCTTCGTCGGTCGCACGCGCACGCACACGCTAGCGGCACCCCACGCCAGCCGCCCGCCACGGGATGCTGCCGGAGAGAGAAGGACGGGACCAGTCGCTGCTCTCGCTCTCCGAAGCTATATTGATCCACGGAAGCAACCCCTGTTCCGCACAGTGAGCATGGAGATGATTAGACTCGCCTGTTGTCAAAGATGCTCTTCGAATCATTCAGGCCCCTCCCTCTTCGTTTCCCTCCTGTTTTTCTTCATCGTTCTCCTCTCCTTATGGAAGGGCTACTGGCTTTTTCGACGATGAGAAAACTTTTCTTGTTTTGAGATGCAGCTTTTTACATTCAAATTAGTTACGTCAGTTTATCAAAATAGTTTTCGTTTTTGGATTATTCAGGCAAAAAATAATTAGTAAAAGACAAGGTTCGAGTAAAAGATCCATTTTATTATTATTTTCACGTCAATGATCAGTCGTACAATAGCAAATCGTTACTATGAAATTGCTCATTTCAACGTTAAATTTAACTTTGTATGATGTGATTTAAATTATTATATGAACAGATGTACTGATGCGATTTTGTTTGTTCTTTCTGATCACTTGTGTCAATATGTAAACAATACAACACTTTACAATTTCAAATCCTTCCCACGTTGAGCTTTGATTCGTCATTAACATGATATCTCGTGTAAACAAAGAAATTTGCAAATATATACTATCATAACCATTTACAAGCGAAGAAAAACTTTTTCAGCACCATTAAACTTTCACCATTCTGCCGTATAATATAACCGTGCATTATAAGAAATATTGTCAATAGTTTTTTCTAATGTCCCTTTCAATAAGATTCCGATATAAATAGAATTTATCTGTGTATAATAACGTGACGTAAAGTAAGTTATAACAATCATTAATTTTAAATCAACGTGATAGTAAAGTCTACTCATTTAAATTAACGATGCTTTACAAAAAACCTTTGACACGATTGATTTATCCCAACGTGTATGTACAATTATTCACAAACAATCATTTTGTTTACGAATCACATAATAAGCTATCCTCACTGTGCACTGTAATTTGTAGAACATTGAAATTTTTTTTATCTAACAAATCATGTATAATCGCGTATTCATGTATTATGGAATGAACAAGTACAAGAAATCGACACAGCTATGCGTTGTAATTCGCATATCTTTCGGCAAGTTGCCTTGCTTCTTCGTGAATTTCAGCGTCTTCGTCGCTGTCGGACGGACATTCACGAATCTTTCTGAGCCACGAGACACCTTCTTTATAATTGCCGATAGCAATGTAACTTTTTCCAAGAAACAGTCTGTTTTCGTGATGTGGCTTTGGAGCAAGTTTTTCGGCAGTTTCAAAATGTGGAATCGCGTCTTGGTACGTTCCACTTGGCACCTCGGCGAATAGCGTAGCAGCAACCTAGATATTTTTTAAAAATTAAATTCAAAAATATATATGTATTACGATTACACAATAAATTGTAAGAATTATTCTAATTACCTTTCTTTCTAACCAACTCAGTTCAGAAACTTCATACTTGAATCTTCCCAACAGATGATGAAGAAGACTATCATCGGGACATAACTCTAAACCTTTTTCCACGTATTCTTTGAAGCGACAGCCGTATTCAATTTTACCTTTTGTAGGTAAATATTTACTTTTAAGCCCCAAAAGAATCGCATACCATTTATATAAATTACCATCTCTTATATGAAGAATTTTTTCGCAAATTTCACATCCTAATAAAAAGTTAGTGATTAAAAATCTATTAAGAATATTAACATTTTTGTAAATTTACCTTCAAAGATGTATTCCTTCTGTTTATCATAATCATCAGATTGAATAGAACAATTATAACAAGCTCTAGAAAACCTCCATACAATTTCTACATCATTTGGATTTTCTTGCAGTAAATTTTTTACTTTTTGGTAATGCACAAAAAATTGAAATTTATCCTCACTTTCCTGGTCAAGTTTTAAAAGCTCTGTCTTCTGATTTACTATTCCTTCATTTGTCCTACGGCACTAAACATATAATCTCGATCTTTTTACGCTAGAATTTTTGTTCACATATCTCTCTGAAATTATTGAATTGCTGTACCCAATTAACAGTATTACAGTAAAACAAGTATTTGTAATGGTACAGTCATATATCATACTCAAACACTAAGCAACAATTAAAACTAAAATTGACAAAAAAATAAGTTTGTCTTTATATTTAAAGTACAAGGGATCAACTAGCACTTATAAAAAGCAATTCAAAATTCAGCGAAGATACAAACGTCATTAATAAAAATTATTTACCAATTGCCTAAATCAATTTCCCCTTCATCATCTGAACAGTCAAAAAATTCATCGTCACCAATGTCAGTACCAGCTGTTGAAAAAGTATCAAGATCAACTTCTTCTGTTCCAGTGTAGGTATTTTCATTAGAATACACTTGTCTTCTGATAAATCTCTTCTTACTTCTATTTTTCTGTAAATTAGCTTGTTGTGCTCTATGAAAAAAAAAAAAAAAATTCAAATACACCATAACACTTGAAATATATTGGTAGAGCTTTCAAACATCCAAATGCAGTTGGAAAAATAATGTATGAGTGTAATTATAAGAATTTCAAAAATTTAACAAGAATTGACTACATTAATAAATATAAAATGATTAGGAGAATTATTAAAATTACTTCAATACAACTAATAATGGTTTATCAATAGGCGTAAATTAATATAATAAAAAATATTATTACATAAGATACAGAAATATTAATTTGAAACTATTTCGTACATTAGCTTAACCATGTATTCATATAACTACATCTAACTCACAAATTTTTATTTCCAAAAACTATACATAGTTTTATTATAAATAATACATTAATACCTACTTATTATTAGATTAACTTTTGTAATCTATACAATTTGTATGACAAAAAATATTTTTGTTTTATTACCAAATAATTATTGTAATTTTTGTAAAGTAATTTTTTGTTAATTGACAGTTCAGTTAACTTATTATTGCAATTTCAAGAAAATATTTTCAACATAAACATTTTATTATATAGGAAGTAAATTTAACATAAACATTTCATTATATAGGAAGTAAATGTGTGAACATAATTGAAAGGAATACCTCAGTTCTTCTAATTCAGCTTGTAATTCTGAAACTTTGCGATTAACTCTATCTATGTTGGTTTTCATAGCAGCACGTTGTTGTCTTTCCAGTACTTTGTTGTAGATAAAAACTGTAGCCACACTAATGACCCCAATAGCTGCTCCTACTGCAGCAGCTATTAGGTTTGAATTTTGCATTGTACTCATTTTGCTGTAAAAATAAGTAAATAATGGAAAATTTGAATGTACAAACAAGAATGCAAAAATATCAATGTAATCAAAAAAATTCATGATATGTAATAAAAAATGTAAAAATGTATTAAAAAGAATTTTATGCAAATTAAATTTCAAGTGTTCAGATTTTTTCATCTACAAAATGGTTTCGGCGACATCTTACCTTTTAATTGTATCGTATTTTTTTACTTTAATCTTCTTTTGCAGTTAATCAGTAAGAAAGAATTGAAAAGATACAATAATTCTAAATCACATCAATATACTTCAATCAAGGCAGAAACTTTATTATAATTCTGCAAAATTATCTTCTCCAATGCCCTGGCATTTTGATAGATAAGAGCGTAACATTGATGTTATTCAAGATCTTTGTCTCCAAATTTCGTCGAGGCAGATAAACACTTCGCCGGTATAAATGTACTACTGCAATTACATTATTAAGCGATAAGCGGTTATATACACGTGGAGAAACTGCGCTGAGTGACAATGCACACTGAAAGCAGATTGCCTATTGTCCACGACCCAAGGCGGCGACCAGACCTGCATTACATACCTCAAATTTCGTACACAAAACACGAAAAACTGTTACCGCCGCGTAGATACTAGAACTTTCTCTAGCCGCATTTTCGGTTACTTAATATTAGTTTCTGTTTTTCGTGGCCACGAGTCGCTTGGAAAGAGAGAGAGAAATGAAAAACGCGTGCGCGTATCACAATTCGTGGTGCACTGTAGTGGCGGCGGAGAGGCCTGTTTTTTTTACCTTATTAGCCTTATCGCGACCCCGATTTTTTCCTTATGCGTGTAAGCGTTTTTTACACGCATGTGGAATCTGTTTCTCTCTCTTTCGCTCTTGCGGCTTTTGTCCGCTATGAATTTATATATCTACACACATGTCCGATGTGTGCGGCGTTGAAAAATACTGACAGTCATCGGGCAACCTATACGACTTGCCACATAGACGTAGTTGCAACAGGCTTCGCGCTCCGCGAACACTACGCAACTAACCTTATTAAAATATGTATCAATCTAAAGTTTTCCTATGATATATTTCCAATTGATTCATTATATTGTTTACGAAAAAACAAATAAGTCAATACTTGCAATTAATTGCTCGTTCAATTATTTTATTATTTTTTCATTTTATAAAATTCGTCGCGAATTGTTAATTATAACATAACCATTGATTCTGTTATAAAATGCACGGCCCCAAGCATCGAATTTTATATCATTTAATCAACAACATAACCAACGTATAAAAAGGTTAAAAGTTACCGGAAGTGGATTAGTAACATTTTAGATGTGTGTGTGTGTGTGTGTGTGTGTGTGTGTGTGTGCGTGTGTGTGTGTGCGCGCGCGCGTGCGTACGTATATATATATATATATATATATATATATATATATATATATATATATATATATATATATATATATACACACTACGCTCGTAAAATTCACTCATTCATTCTAGTTCTTACAAATTCAATATGTAATTACTTCTGAAGATTCGACTAAATACAATAATACGCTGCATTGTTAATCCGCCGTTTCCGGTCAAATGGAAACAGATTTGTTTTGATATATGAGCAACTAAAAAGTATTATTTATAAAATTATTTATTTAGAATAAGTGATTTGGAATGACTTTCGAATGAACATGTTCTAATGTAGTAAGGGTGTTCACAAAATGATTTCGACACTTAGAACATAACATAAATCCTCATATATGTAATATGCTCAAAAATATAGATGTTGGATATAACAATATTTACAATATTCGTGATATTCAAATACCCATTTTGGTAACAGTTCAATAATTTAATAATCATAATAAAACATTTTTTTGCAAGTGCATTTTTCAACAAAGAGTGCCATTTTGCAAAAAGCTTTTAAATTTATTCTACTGTTATAATTATATTACTAAAATCCTTATTTAAATATCACGATTTACGAGAGTTTTTACGACTGACAACCATTTTCATGCATATTTTATATAAGGATTCATCGCGTTTTCTAAGTGTCAGAATTATTCTGTAAACACCCTAAATCTAACGCACCATTAAATTAACTGACGTTACTGAGCTAAGCGTCTAGGCGTCTTGTTGCTCTTCATAAGTCATAGGACGCTAGCTTTGCTGTAGTTTGTTTAGTGTTGATATTAGTAGTGTTTATTTTGAGTATTTAAAAGCCATAACAATAAACACAATGGTGTCAACTCGCGGGCTGAAATTTAAATTTTCGGATGGAGAAAAAGTTCTTTGTTATGAGCCAGACCCAACTAAAGCAAAAGTTTTATACGATTCGAAGGTATAACCTCTAAATACATTTATTTTGAATCATCGTAAACATTAATGGAATAAAATAGCTTTTTGAATAGGTTCATTTGCTAAAATGATCATTGAAATTGATAACTTATAAATTAAATTTAATCATAGTTCTAAATTTCTTTTTTAGGTTTTAAATGTAATTGTAAATAAAGATCAAAGAGGTAGAAAAGCTGTAGAGTACCTCATACATTTTCAGGTAAATTAAATATTTTATTGTCAAAATCATGTTTTAAAATGATCACAATTTAATATTTTCATTAAGGGATGGAATTCATCCTGGGATCGTTGTGTGACAGAAGAGTATGTTCTTAAAGATACAGAAGAAAATCGACAATTGCAAAGAGATTTGGCACAAAAGGCCCAGTTACAATTGTAAACTTCTACATTTAAAGTAAAATTTATTTTTCAATTGTTCATAAATTTTACTGAATCTTAATAATTTTCATTTTAGAGGAGCATATTTGTATAGGAGAGAACGTAAAAAAAGATGTCATAAATTTTCTGAGCGGTCCACAGAATCAGGTACAGATGCAAAAAGAAGAGGTAGGAGTAGTGGTAGTCGAGCTACTTCAGGAACTACAGGTTCCTCAGAGGATGGCAGCTCTGGTCAACAAGAAGATTACGACACTGAGGTAAATACTATTTAATATAATTTTTGAAATATACATTTTATTTACATAAATTAATTTGGAGTTCTTTCATCATCATATTATAATGTGAATTATTATAAATACAAGATACCTTGATATTTCTTATAATACTGTAAGCTTTAAATACTAAGTCATTGTTATTGATTAAGTAAAAGCTTAGATTTCCTTATACAACATTAGCTGGTGTCAGTTTAATTCATTCAGACCTCAAGTCATTATAGCAGTTTCAGTTTCATGACTGTTTGTGTTTACTTCTTGAGATTTGCCAGATAGAAACTATCTTGTTGTCATCATCTTTGTGAATGTTTATTTGAAATTTGACAGTGTTTTATTCCAGATATTGTTAATTTTATTCATTTAAAGTGTTCTTGTGATTAAAAATAAAGTACGAAAAAGTTACAAAAAAAAGTATGGATGAAAACATAAAATCTCCATCAGAAGCTCAATTCAAAATTCCAGTTGGAAGTCCTTCTAAAACTGAGATAGATATTTCTTCTTTGAAAATAGAACCTCAAAATTCACCTAAAAGTCACAAAACCAAGATAAAAGTTTTTCCTTCAGAAATAGAAGTTCAAAATCTACCTAAAAGTTCTGCTACATCTGTACCAAATAGCCCATCAGATATTCCACGTCCAATAGTAGAAGTATCCGTTGGGGCCATAATGAATAATGTGAAAAAAAAAAAAAAACGTGTACCTAAATATTGTAACACCAAATTATACTTTACAAACAGAAGGAGAAGGTTACAACAAAGAAAAGAGCGTCAAAAACAAATTTTATTAATAGAAGGAAAGATAGCTACAGAAAAAAAGATAGCCACAAAAGAAAAGATACCCGAAAAAGAAGAGATATCCAGAAAAGAAGAGGCATCCAAAGAAATTTCTACTGTACCAATTTTCTATTTTTCAAATCTATTGTTAGCTGGAGTGAGATATAATCCTACATTTATTTTTATATTAATTTGAAATAATTTGTTTGCAGGATATTGTCACAGAAGATAGTGAGAGTAGCTCTGAGTTTGAAGAAGGTTCATCAGGAGATGAAGACAGTGGAAGTGATGCAGGTGGTCCTCGACATGAGGTAGACATTGAAATAGGAAATACCCTTAAAAGAGTTTTAGAACAGGATCATGTATTGATTAATAGTAAAAATAAGGTATGATAAATTATTGGTATGAATATTCAAATCTTTGCAGAATTTATAAATAATTATTTAATAGCTTGCAGTATTACCAGCTCAACCAACAGTTATAAGTATTTTAGAATCTTGGGTACTACATTATACTACCACACAGTTAAATAATATGCCTGATAAGCGTCAAAGAAATAGTAAAGCACCAAACATTTTAGAAAAGACAATTACAGATATAAATTTATGTAGAGAAACTGCAGATGGTATTAGAGTTTATTTTGATCATACATTAGGTTTATTGCTTTTATATCCAGCTGAAAGAAGTCAATATAGCACTATCAGGGAGAAGGCTCTTTTTCTACTTGAATCTAGTGAAGAATCAATTACAGTTAAAGATGAAATTATCGAGTGAGTTGATTTTTTATTTTAATAAATGAAATAAATAAAGATTCTTAAAAATATGGAGTTGAGATTGTAATTGGTGACTTTGTAGATCTGATATAACTATAAAAGATGAAATGGATGACTCTGAATTTGCTCATCTACCTCCGTTTAAAGAACAAGAAGCTGAAGCTGAAAAATCTGCTTTGAACAGTACAAGACGTAAATTAAGATCTTCACGTGTAAATTCTATAGAGGAGCCAAAACCTTCCAAGCCTATTGAAGAAGTAAAACAGGAAACTGGAAACGTATCAAGGCATGTGTTAAAAATGTCTTATGAAAATTCAATTTTTTCAAATTATTTATCATTTAAAATCCATAATGATTTTTACAGTTTGAACAGTTTAGCAAGTACAAGTTCCAGATGTTCAAGTCCTCGAGGTGTCACTTTGAGAATGTCTGCCCCTCCCATCAATTCAGCTCAAGTAAATGAATTGCTTGAAAAAGCAAGTAAATGGCGTTTAGTAAAAGAAGGTGCAGCTAAAGCGGCAATGCCATCAAACATTTATGGCGCCATTCATTTGGTTCGACTGTTTGGTAGGTACCATGCTAATTATTTCTATAATGAAAATTATTGTAAATGAATTTAATATCATGTTTCTTTTTATTTTAGTACGTTTACCTGATTTACTTCAAAGATCGGATATAACTGATGGAAAGCTAAAAGTTGTTTTAAAGTATATTGATATGTTTTTGAGGTAAATAATCCAATACTATTTTATATAAAAAAAATTGAAATGTCTCAGTTAATGATAAATCAATTTTTTTTAGTTTCATTGAAATGCATAAAGAATGGTTTGGAGAACAATTTTATATGTCAAAAGCAAGTTTTGAGGAGTCCAACACGAACACAGTTCAATGAGATATTGCGTATGAATAGTACATTTCGATATCAGTGCGAAAAAGTTATTTGAACCCCGTGTGGAAGTTTGCGTCCGAGCGAAGCGTGAAGAGGCTATACGAGGGCGAAATCACTTTTTCGCACATGTATCTAAATTTTATTTTTCGATACAACGTGTGTGCGATGAAATTTTAAGTATGCTCGATTTCTCGAGTGTGCGTAGAACTCCGCACACAGAGTGTCGAAAAAACTATTTTTATAACATTTAGTATTATATAAGGGCGTTTGTAAGTTTTAATAATTGTGACTTTTTACTTTAGTAATGTGTACGTATTATTATTAGTCAAAATTTATTCTCAGTCTACATGATTTTATCATTATATATTATATAAAGTACAAGAATGTTTAGAAAAAATACAATTGAATGGAATGTATGTACAAACAGAATGACAGTTATCGTTAAAAAACAAAATGACCACACAAAGACTGTAAATGTAAATAATATGTTTTTAGTGCAATTACCATTAAATCTGTATGAACCAGTAACATAGTTTAAAAATACAAATTAAAAAAAATCAGTAAAACTGTCATTATAAGCGGGTCTTAAATAAATATATACTCAAGTTATATAAATTGTTCATGAAATATCAAGTACCTTTCCTTGAGATTTTTAAACTTTTATGCAGGATTAATCATATAATTAATAATTAAAACGTAATAAATCTCGAAGTTTACGACTTTCGTGTATAATGTTACAATATAACGTATGGTTTTTTTATAAAATATTTACATAGTGTCTAGACAAATCATCTATATATTTCTTAGTGACATTTTTATCGCCTTTTCATAAAAATACTTTTATTAAAAACTATTCATAATAAAACAATTCAGTGTAGAAATAATATTTTGTACATATAAAAATATTGTTTGTTTTTGTTTTGGGATGATTAAAATACATATAAATCTGTAGCATTAAAAAGTGATCAATAATTTTAGAACATTTTTATGCGATTATAAAAAAATTTATGTTTAACAAAGACAAAATATTGCTGCCATGTAACGTGAGAGGTAACTGTATAGAATGTAATATATAAGTCTTAGTAAGTGACTGATTAATTAGTATGTTGGAAGACGGAATGTTTATAATAACAATCGAAATTAATTTTCAATATCTGAAATATTGAATCATTATAAAAGTCATCTTGCTTTCAGAGTGTTAAAATACAAAAATAAATGTTTTCTTCAACAATAAAATTATTCAAGCGTACATCCTAATTTCTCTTGCTAGAGTTAATAAGGTATTTGCAGCAATGGGTAAGTAAGTGTTTCTCGCCAGAAGCATCGTGATGCGTGGGAGTTGTCGATTCACGTGTGTATATATCAAGACCATACTGTCCTTCCTCTGGAAAGCTTATCGTGAATGTTACGACATCGTCGTCTGTCACCAAATGGCTCACGTACTTTGACAATCGTTTCTCTTCGATGCCATTTTTGTGAAGAGTCGCCATAAAGTCGGTCAATGGCCGCGACATGCGAAATTGTACCTCCAACTCACGTCCCGCAAATACCAATGCTTCCTGAGATATTTAAAAAAGAATTTAGCTGGTAACTCAAAACTTCCTTTCACATATTAATTCTACAATAAGACTCACTTGATGGGTAATCGGTACAAGTCCGAACAATCTCGTAGCTTTTGTTGGTCCCCATTCACCGCTCGCGCAATCGGGTAATGGTACCATAACAGTTTGCAGCTCCTCGCAAGCAATTTTAAATTTGCATACACTTTTGAACTTCATAGGTTCGCCTGTCAAGTATTCCTTTGGTGTTACAGCATTGGCGAATACGTCGAGAAGAAAATCACCCGAACACGGCGCGTGCACACGGAAAGCCACTAAATTCCCAACAACAGACTGTAATAAAAATAAACAGATTTAATACAAAGTGCTTTGATATAGTTTAATTCACTATGGCAAATATAACAATAAAACTAGCTGATTACGAAAAAATTGTCGTAAAGTTATCTGAACTCTAAAACAAAACTGTTGTAGAATTTTATCATTGGACCAATTTAATTCATCATCAAATTCATTACTACGATTGCAACACAAGCAATCGATAAAAAAAAGCCTATGATTTGATGAATCAGTCGGTAATAATAAAAAAGAAATTTAACAAAGTGTGGTCGATCAAGTATAAAAGAAAAGACTCACTTGCATAACGAATCTCTTCAACGAGACGCCGTCGTAATTGTCACCGTCGCTGTCGTAAAACTTGAGATTATAATGAAAGATAAGGGAGGATTGCATATTGGCAGGCATCGCTATCCTAACTGTTGCTGCACCCGTTGCATCGGTATACATCACCGCATTGGTGTTAGTGTCGGGGAAGTATAACCCATACCTGTGCGCACGTAAAAAGTTACACGGGGTAAAAGATATTTACGTGTAAATATCAGGCGACTCGATGATAAATACCTGAAGAAGAGCGAGCGAACGAACGGCAATTCCTCAAAGTCTTTGAGGGAAATGGGTTGTTTAAGTAATTGCCACTCCTCTTGCAGCGGGAAGAACTCGTAGATAAACTCGCGGGGATCCGTTAGGAAGTAGTGGTCGTCGTACTCGTATCTGACAAGAAACAATTATTGTGAATATCCAAGCCCACCCACTGATGAACTGCTAGTACGCTAGCGACTTAGGTGATCGCTGAATAATTTTGAATCAAACCTCAGACTGTCGCTCTTCTCCTTCGGCTGTCCGAGATGTGGCACCTCTTTGGCATTGACTAAATGCCTTGCGCCCCAATTGCACTGTACGAACCTCCACGAGCCAGCGACATAAACGGCGTTCCAGCTGTTTCTGAAGCGATTATCCTCGAATCTCACACCGGGTTGGTAACCCGCCGATTTACTGTATCCCTTGATCACGACGCAGTGTAAACCGGCATAACTGCAAAGTCGTTTGAATAGAACATGATAAGATTCGGTGCCGTGTTTGATTCCACGGAGAAGACCCATTGGGGTATCGCCACGTAAATTCTCGTCGAATTGCATCGTGTTCAGGTTCTTCACGGTAATCCAACGGAAAATCGTGCGTGCTTTCTCGATGTCCGAGCCGCATTTGCTGACCAATTGGCGAACCAAGTCTGTGAAGGTCTTTTGGTCTTCCTGAGCAACCTTTAAGATACACGCGATGAATTAATTAGATATCGGACATTGTTTCAGCAGTTGAAATGTCTTTTTAATTAAAAATTACAAGTTAATAGTTATAGTTTTTATCGTAAACTGACCTCTTAAGAGGTCTAATGCAAGAATTCGTTGTATCTTTTTCAGACCACAAAGTTCCAGTATGCCACTTACGTAATTTTCTCAAAGCGGACCGCCAAAAGGCTCAACGTTAAAAATATTACATTAAAAATCTATCCTATTTAAAGAACAAATTATAAAGCCTTCCAAAAATGTCGAACATCTTTCTCGAGATTCTTTTTCCGTCTAATTTGTGGAATTATGATTTCGTATAGTTGCACATCGCTGCATTTACGGCAGATAATCATAAAATTATAATAAAAGAGCTTTAAAATATATAAATACACTGAAAAACTTTATAATTTTTCATTTATACAATTTTTCCAATTTCGAAAGTTTCATGAGATATGTAAAATGTAGTTATTTTGTCGTACACTGCAATAGCATTAAACGAAACTTTTGTCGAACTTAACATTTTTAGTCATGAAAAATTACGTTGTCTTTATTTCTATTAGAATTTTAATGATATTTATGATTGTTTACAGGGAAACAAATTTATAAACATAAATTGCCACTCAGCGTTGAAGATTTTTGCAATTATTATGACGATAATTCCTACGGTGAACGCTGAAAGGAAAGTAACCTTCTACAAAGTAAGTAAGATTGACGATTCTGCACGTTATATTCTTTTAAACTATTGTTTTTTGTTATGGAGATTACAAAAACTTTGGCTATGTGTATTTATTACAAATGTACGTACTAGTAATAAATATATGCTGTTCTGCTGAATCAAACTAATATTCATAAATTACATATTTTTCTCTCTTAAATTAAAAATTTCGAATTTCTCTTAGTGTATGATCTTAAAAACTACTCTGCAATATCATGTATAACATTTTTGTTGTTCACGTGTACAAGCTATTCGATCTAATTAGGCCGATTATGGTCTTGTATGATATTACTATCTATTGACCCACAATTTGCACTTTTAATTAATAAGTTATATATTATCTAATAATGAATCAATTAAACTTCTTTTTTATAAGAATTTGTTTGAAAAGTTATGATTGCATTTATAGCATAATGTTTGTATGTATTTAATACCAAAGTCATTGTCAAGTGTTGAATGAAGAACTTGAAAAACTAGTTGAGAGCAAGTGGAAATCCGTATATCAATTTCAACTAAAAAAATATTTACCAATAAAAACTTTTTATATTGATGCAAATTTACAAAAGGATGTTATTGTAGGAATAAATACTGTAAAGTTAATATTAATTATTAAATCAGGGAACTTAAAACGGCCACTATTTTCTCGAAAAACTGAAGGACGAACCCAACGAAGACATATAAAAATCTATGTTGCGGTGGTAATAGTATACATTACGATACAAGTGCAGAAAAGTAGATTCGGTTCGCTCGAGCGTAAACGCCAGACGAGACGAGAAACTTTTTCCCCAATATGTGCCGTACCGTATTTTTTAATACGACGTATGGAAAGTGCGATTTTCAACGCTCGTTTCCTGCCGAGCGCGCGAGAAAGACGCATTTTGCGCACGGAGTATCAAAAAACTTGCTAATGCTGTTGGTTATCCCTTTAATTGTGATTCTAAACTACCAAAAGTTATTCAGTGATTTATGGACAAATCCACGAAACCTATAATTTTTTATCAAAGTAAGTGGAATAATTTATATAGAAGCACACTGCTAAAACCTATTCAGACATGTTTTTTATAGCTTATAAGTGATATAACTACAAAAACAAAATTTCCACGACAAAACCTCGAGTAACAAAAATATTAAAGGTTCCGTGGGTTTTCCCTTTTTATCATTGTTAAAATAAACTAGTTATCAAAATTAAAAAGTTATTCTACAGAAATGTTTTACTTAAAAAAAAACTCTTTTAATTTTTACAATTCATAGGTCTTATTACTGCTCATACGAAAACTCACAAATTCGTAAGATTCAAAATAATCAAAGCGTTTTCTTCTGAGTATTAGAATTACTAATTAGAAAAATAGTAAATTGTTCGAAAGATCATTAGATCTTCAGCACCGTACAATCGTAAAAAGAAAAATGTGATTTCATTGAAATCTCGTGAGCATTAATTTTCTCATACGGGCACAGCAATAGAAGATTTTATTCTACGAACAGTCATAGTTCTTGATTGATAATCCTCGATATTCGTTTCATAAAAAAAATCATCCTTTTGTCTTTGATTCATTACATTATCCCTCGGCGTCTCATTAAAGCTTTCGCTCGAGCAAATATTACAGATTCATACTAAAACTAGGAATCCACAATAGAAAAATATAATAATTCAGCGAGGCGGTGCTGTGCGTTTTACTTTCACTAACACAGCAGTTCTTTACTTTTACCCGCCGCATTGTTATTTCGCATAATTAGTAGGCGATAAATAATCAACTCTAATTAGAGCAAACTGCCATTCTGGATTTTTCATGCAAAATCGCGATTCACTCTCTAACTAATCTATCAGTTTGCTGCGTATTTTCTAATGATTATTTGCAAACTTTCACATTTGTTTTATTACACATTTAACTGTTTATTCAGTTAATTAAGTTACAACATTAACTTACCGAAATAGCAATCTGATCTATATCAGCAAACTCCAGAGGATCGTTATACAAATGATATTTAGCGAGAGCAGGTGGATGTGGTGGTGGTGCACGCGATGGATATGGACTCGGTGGTTGGCCGTGAATATAATCGACGCCCTCGTCGAGATAGAGACTCTCTTGTTGCATGTACTCGCTACGCGCTTCATTAATCAACTCCAGCATCTCGGAACTTTGCTTTTCCACGAGTGCCGCCGTCGCCGCCCTGTAAAAATCCAAGTTCAGTTTAGGTAATCACATCGAGGAGCGAAGCCGAAATCACGATGTACCTTTCGTGCTCGAGCATTTTCCTCGTCAGGCTCTCCTTCTTCTTGTCCCTGCGCAGCGTCATATTCTTTTCCAGATCCTCTTTCTCTTGTTGGAACTGTTGCGTACGACCTTTTCGCTCCCATTTCTCGGACAACTGTTCGAGTTCCTTTTCCCACTCGTCCTACACGCACACAGATACAGATCATTTAGAATTGTTTTCTCACTCTCACTTGGATAAAAAGAAATGTGTAATGAAACAATAAGATAATTACCCGGAACTCCTCGCGTATTCGGCGATCCTCCTCCTCGCGATGATGCGCAAACTTCCGGTAAAGGTCGTCCTCCTCTTTGCGGTGCTTCATTTCTAGTCGCGTCTGCTCGTCCCTGTCCTGCAATTTCAGCCAAAAGCGAAAGTTTGTTTCTTTTTATTATACCGTCGTCTCTGTTGATGTGGCGAGTGTACGCCTTTGCGCGATCATTAATGCCATTCACCGTAGTTTCTCTTGTGGCCTAGTGAAACTTGTCAATAGCTATCATTTCGCTTTTATTTTTTCGCGATTTTTGTTGTTATTTTTTATTGGGTGACTTTGATTGTTCAATTGAACGACCATCTTTCCTCGTTACTTGTTTAAGCACCTACGAAAAATCTCAAGAAAACAGTACAAAGAAGAAAAAACATAACAGAAAACTAGGACACGACTCTTTGAAACGGACCGAGCGCGCGTTGCATCTTCCGCCACCACGCGCATCATAAATAACGTACATCGTTGCGTCACGGACCTGCACGCAAACGCGCGCGCGCGCGAGCATTTCCCGCAGCCCAGCAATAAGTGTATCCAATTTTTTTCCACATTCCAAATGATGCTCTCAGCTTGATAGACTCATTATACCGCCCCGAGAGCTTTGCAGTGAATCATCTTGAGAGCTATGCGCAATTAGATTACGTATGAGAGTTACTTTGCCCTTTTCCTTACAGCGTGAATATGATTTATTTGGCAACGGAGCTCAACTAGACGATGATGATATCAACGGGGAAGTAATTTCAAATTCAATTCCACCGTCAGCAGTTTCGAACAGATCATTTCTAATTGAATTATTGACGCGGGTTTTTTTTTTTACAGAATTGCAAAACAATTAAGCGTGGAATATCATGTCACGAAAGTGCCTACAAAGTATTATCGACAAATACAATGAATCCTCTAAAAATCAAAGACAAAAAAACAAAGACAGAAAACAAGAAAAAGCCTAATCCATCCATCGCTGGAGAGGTTGTTGTTGGGTTTTGTTCCCGCGCGCGGTGGCGGCTGAATGAAGCGCACGAAAGAAGAAGAAAAAGAAGAAGGATGACGTTCTAATTAGAGCTGCAGGCGCGTGTACGGTACCGCAAAGCGGAAGTGATTCCGCGGCGGAGCGCGGAAACGCGAGCTGCTGCTTTCCCTATTTCTCTCCGACGCGATTTCACGTGCGCGCACGTGTGGATTGTTTCGCTAAGTTGTTTACGCGCCCGTAAGGTTCTTAATTTTTTTCATCCTGGCTTATGATACAGGACGACGAAGATTGGAATTGAGTTGTTACGCGTCCTGCAGGAAATAATGCGTAACGCGTGCGTGGCGCGTTTAACTGTAAAAAAAATGAAAATTGAATCGTAACGACAGTTATGATGCGCGGAACAAAGAGGATGCGTATGGTAAGAATAATTTGCGAGGAGAATTGAATGAGCAGAAAAGGAACGTCGTAAAAAGCAACGCTTAGGCGAACTAACGTCCGATCATTGCTTTGGAAAACCCGCGTGAAAATACGGCCATTGCTCCGAAATAATTGAGAACTCTTGCGACAGTTTCCATACCCAAAAAATAAATAAACAAATAAATAAAAACAAACAATAGAAAAAAGGAGGCAGCAACAAGAAGACAGGAGGAAACAGAACGCGAAAAATAATCATTCTACGAGAAAAAACAGCCTCACACGAAGATTCAGCAAACCGCCTCTCGGCCACCAATCACTCCATTTGCCAGGCAATTTGCGTGCAGCAACGGCATATAATACAAAGTAAAAACTTTTTCGCGCGGGAAGAAAGAAAGAAAAAAAAAAGGAGGCTGGCCTGTTGGCTTCTGCCACGCACTATATGCGCACTCGCGATTTCACGCTTAACCGTAAATCATTGCAAGAGAGGGAGAGAGAGAGAAAGAGAGAGAGAGAGAAGTTTGCCGCTGTTAGGAAGAAGAGGAAAAACACAAGCGCGGCTATTATCGAAGCGCCTCATCGTGAGAGCGAACATGCCTGATTTCGAACTTTGATTTTCAGACGAAGCCGAGGGAGGACGTGCGCCACGGGTTGCCTTGTCTGCCTTGGAAGTCATTTGAATTCTGGAGCACGCGGTTTTATCATTCTTCTTGCTCGTCGCGATGCGCAAATTTTCCCTCCGCGTCTTCCTTCTTCCAGCGTAGTTCGCAGTTGTTTATTTGCGTTACCGTTACGGCGCTTGTGTTATCAGCCGACACAGTCGAAATCAGTCGGCTGCGTTTACGGACGTACGAGAAGCTTTAAAAGTTGCCTCGCATCGGTAGGTCGATTTTCGCAATGCAAAAATCGCACGAGCAATTTTGCGCGTGGGCATACGGACGAGGCGAGTTGCGAGCGAGCGGTTACCAAAGACCTTTAAAGCGTTCGCTCTCGCGCATTGTTTCGTGCAAAGTCAAAGCAGCAAGAAAAAATCGTAGCTCGAAAAAAAAAGAAAAAAAAAAAAAAAAAAATAATAAACTCGACGCGAGATGCAAACACTCTCTCGTGCCAAGCGGCAATTACGTCATTTCCATACCTCTCGCATCGATTACCGTAACTTGCGCTCGAGCATGCACAAGTTTGAAGGAAACTCCCTAATTGAAGGCTCCGTCGACTTTTTTATGTAGGTCATTAACGTCCTCCGGTATTTGCACAGTCGACGTAGATGTTGTTTTTCATAGTCGAATGAGAGAAAAAGCCATAAATATTTCTGCGCGATGACTTTCTAAAACGAATCGAGTCATAAAGATCTGTTATCACGGCGACGCCTTAATATTATAGCCGATATTCCACTTTCCCTGCAATTAGTTCTGCTGAAAAATTAACATACTCGACGGATATTCATCGCTCCTCTTTTCCTCGTAAAGACTGTGATGCAAGGCATCGAAATTCATCGTACGCGCGAAGCATGAAAGTATTCGAGTATCAATATTATATATGAAGCGCGAATGTGTGCCATACCACTTGACATCTTGTGTAGAGAGGAAAACTTGTTGTTCACGGCCATTAATCAAATGCGATATGTATTAGAATCTTTAATAGATCTTATGGCCGCAAGGAACTAATTAGAGTGTAAAAATTCCTAATTAACAATTTACTCGGCTCGTGTTTCGTGGACCATTTCACGGGAATCTAGAAGTCTTTTGGTATTTTAATTGAACGTATTTCTGATTAGACAAACACGTGCTATGTTACTTAATCTGATTTTGCTAGTTGCGAATACATTATGTTCGTAGTGAAACATAATATAGTCAATAAGTTAATTGTGACATTGCATGCATTTAGAACTCTTGGGAAATATTGTTTTTTCTATTTATTGTTATGAACACGGGTGTACTTAATTATAAACATAATTTGTAAAATATACTGACACAAAATGCACATTGTTGTATTTATTTGATCAATTAACGTGCTGATTTTCTACGTCTCTAAAGTATTTGAAAACGCCATAGATAAAAATACTAAAAAATACTTTCTAATTAAATCGTTCAATTAGTCACTACATGTGGATGTTTATTCATATATCACATAGAAAATGCAGTTTTTCTGTAACAAGGTCTTCTGCTATCTATGTTAATCATTCGGAAACTAAAAAAAAACTCTCTTCGGTATGTTAAACACTAAATAAATTTAAAAATGCGATGATAAAATTAGATCTATTCTGACTGCTGCATAAAAGTATTATCTTCTCAACACCGACATCAAAAGATGGCTATCTCCACTTGACAACTCGAGTAATTGCCAAGTAAAAAGACAATGACAACTCTTAAGAAACTGGCATGTTCAAAGAATAGCACGACGAAAAAGTCAGGCGTGGCATTGTCGTGCAAAAAGAAGCAGGTTAAACGAATCCGCTAAAATCGAAAAACCAATACAACAACTGCTTTGTTTCTTCTTTTCTTTTCCTCTTCCACTGGCGCCATATCTTTCTTCGCTCGGCTATATCTTCTCCCGTTGCTTTTTTCGTCTTTCTTTCGAGTGCAGAATAAGAATTAGGGCATGACGAGCGGCGGAGCTGAGCCGAGTGAACGCACGCGGATTTTCTTCTCCGACCTAATAATGCCGCGAGCGCGAGTCATCGTCGACGCTTCTGCGCCCGAACCCTCATTATTTCGCCAGAGAGGCCTCTCCTTATAATGCGGCGCTGCTATGTATTTGATCGATAGCGGGCTCAGATTATCTGTGTTAATTAATTGCGCGCGAGAAATTTCAAGCTTGCGCGACGTACTCATTTTTCTTTATTATTATGGCGATTACGGTAGAATTTTTTTTATGCAAAATTCATCATTCAAAATAAATTGTTTTTTTTTTTTTTTTAAATTCTAACTTTCTTAGCAAAGTGTACCGGATATTAATATCTAATGACAGAACTTTACCGTCTATTGGATAAAATTTGGAATTACTTTGCAAGCACCAATGTAATGAAATAGATGCCTCTAACGCTTCTTTTACGGCTATTCAAACAATGATTTCATAAAGACGAATCAATATTTTATCTATAAAAAGTAACAATAAGACTATAATAAAAGCTGATGTTGCAATTTCAGAAGAGAAAAAGCTTTCCTGGACTTTTTTCACCCTACCTAACACTCCAGAAAAAGATAGCCAAATAGGCTATAAACCTCACGCCACGTAACAGAACCGCGCGCAAAAATCGATTATAGACGCCGAATGCAATTTACTCCTCGCCCGGCGAGTGGCTCTTCTTTAGCTTATGAAACCGATAACCTAGGAAATCGATTCGCTTTAATTGATTTATTGTTAGCACGATGGAGAATAAAAGAAAAGAACGGAAATTGTGCGCAGGATTTCCGCTCGATCGTGTCTCTGCGTCGATGCTTTCATGCGGTTCGTTATTTTTTCCAAGGGCACGCGCCAGATCGATTCAATTTCTCTTTTATCCGCGGACGATCGACGACTTTATGAGCAGAGAGATGAATTTGATTGACGTACGTGAGAAAAAGCGCGGAGGATGATTTTAATGCGCGTTAAAAAAAAGAAGAAAAATTGGCTTGATCCGGCACACATAGCGTACAAATAATGTCAAATGGCTCACACGTGCTATTTTTTTTATGTAAGCTATGCAGTTCTGAGAAGGAAAATTCAT